AAAAAGTATGATTCGTGCTAAAAAAAAGTTTTGCGGTGTTATTACTTTTTGTCAGTGAAGACCATGGTAGTTCCTGCTGTAGCTCTAAACACTTTGTTGCTTTTGGATACAACCAAAATATTAAGTTTACTAAATTCACGAGTTTAACCCCATTCTTTATGCATAACTTGGGTAATATAATAGTACATTGCTGTATGTTAACCTTTGTGGAAAAGTTTCAACGGGTTTTCTGAAAATTCATTGCAAATCATAGCTGACGCAGAACTAATCATACCTGAACCGAAAATGTTAAGACTCCTCAAAGAATGAGAATGACTAAATTTTTTGGTCAATCATCATTATGAATTGGCTCATTAATTTCCGACACTAACCTGTTCCTTTATTAGAAAAATTTTGACGTATGTGATAGGCACGAACTGCAAAAATCATTTTAATAAATTAGATTATCCTGACTGGAAAAAAACAGAGGCTCCCTTTATTATTCACTGGATGATAAAGAAGGTCAGCACTCATTTCGAGGTCATAAATAGGTAGCTACAGTTTTTCAAGTCTGGAATGTTCGAATCTGTTCATATCACTTACATCTGACCTAGTTAAGAGATGTCAGCGACCCTTCATGATAAAAACATTGGAAGGAAGACCATATGTTCAAGATTAGGGACGGACTTGCGAACTCAAAAAACTTGTCCTAAAAGTAAAACTAGACGGAAGGAAAGGCATTCAGCTCAGTCTCTTGCGCGCTCTAGTCCGTCAAGAATACGATTACTACCTTCAGTCGCCGTAAGAACTTCGAGGTAACTTCCTTATCAAATTTGAAAACCGTTATCATCCGTTAAGAAGCGCCTGAGCAACTTTTCACTGGATTTCCAATCATGTCTTGATTTTTTCAGGATGCAATTCAAATCATGAGCTCTAGCTCTCGTAAGATGTTTAAATATTGGTGCGAATTGTAAGACTGCTGCTGGGGAGCGATCTAAGCAGCAAACAACCAATCTCGAGAGTCCCCGCCCTTACAGCAAACAACCAATCTCGAGAGTCCCCGCCCTTATATGTCTGTGATTGGCTGGATGCCTCCGCGCCACTCCTGTATAAACGTTTTTTGAGGTCATCACAGAGAGCAGAATCTAGTGGAACATTTGAAAATCGTGAAGCATTGTTTCTAGAATTCTAGTGACGCACTTGATAAAATTCTTACTAAAGAACTTCTGCGATGTGTCTGCGCAGATAGTGAAGCCAATGATATCGTCAACGGACAAGCTCGTAAAGCTTTCGATTGATGTCGTTATAACGATTCATTGCGCAGAACCCTGCACGCCCTGCTTGTCTTTGCTAATCTAAGCCAGAAGAGTGGCTTACAAGACTGCAAGCCGGACTTTACTCTTGAATTATTAGTTTATTTGGTGGACAGTACTTTGGATTTTTCTTGTTCTTCTGTGGTCATCATTGTAAATGACCAGCAGCCTTTCAAAGCATTGTTTCTTTTTGAAAATCAGCTATACCAAAAGTTTGAAAAAGGCTTCAAACGCAGATCATACAATGTTCCTGACTCTTGGAAGAAAGTAAGATGAACAATCGTTCATAAATGCTGCTTACGACGTATTTTCTCTTTGATCCTTAGATCTCCGAATGCAGCACTGCATAAAGAAAATTCCGCGAAAATAATGGCAAATCATAGGAAATTCTCTCTAAAAAATTTGTTTGTCCTATCGCCTAATTTTCACAATAATAATGTCAATCACTTTGTACCAGTTTCGTATAGAATTATAACCTGCCACTTCTAAACCCATTAAATGTGTTCAGGTTTTTTCTCCCCATGTAATATTGGTTCCGGTCGTATCTCGAAAGATTTTATTTTTGTTCTTCGGAATTAGAGCCCTTGCACAGCCACTCACAATTAGTTAAATCACTTATAATACAGTTCTCTTTCTCAAGAAACAAACATACTCGCCTAGAAAGTGCGACTCAAATTAGGTTTCCGCGATGGTCTTTCTACAAGTACTAGAAAACTGTGTGAAATCTAATCTGTTTTGGTCCATAAAAGTCTTTTCAATGAGGGAGAAAGTTTTTGGGACTTTTTCCTCTGTAAAATAATTGTAAAATACTTTGGCAGAAGAATCTTGGTCACTAGAGTCTACAAAATAAAGTTTGTTGTTTGAAAAAAAAAACAAGGAAATTTTGCTTGCATTATCTTATAACGCAGTAGACCACCTATAGATCCCTCTCCCCCATTATGGTACCTCAATAGATTGAGATTGCAAACGAACCATTTATGAAAGGGAAGAATAGTTCTAGCTAAAATTCGTCAAATGTCATTTTGTTAGCTCTCTTATCTAGCATCTTTCTTCCAACGTCACCGCATTTTCTAAACAACAGTTCCATTCATAGTTCCACTGTCTAGTAGTATAAGACATCATATGACGTAATCCGTTTGCAAATTAGTCAAATTAGTCCTTCAAACCAGCAAGTCAGAGAAAAACCAATCGTTATTAGTATGACGCGGCAAGATTTACAATCTACAGAGGTTTTATTACATTGATTCAGCAAATAATCTCAATAAATGTTTGAACAAAACAATAAGATTGCCATTGTAGAGCACAAACTCTGACTTTTTTGCGCTGCTCCAACATTTTATGCTTTCCTCTGAAGACTTTTCCATTTATATCTAAGTTAAGAAGCTGTGTGATGTGCAACTGGATACATCGCTTCACTTATCCGTAAAACTGGCTCAAGTTCTAAACTCTCAAACAAGCACATAATCTGATTTAAGTTATGGTTAAACTGACTATAGCAGCTCAGCGAGATGATGGGCTCATCCAGTCGTGAAATAAAAACAACGAATCACTTGTCCAAGAAGTTGATAATCATTATCGTTGATTTTTTGCTCCTTGATAGCCACTATGTGGTGACTGGATCCATAAAGCCGGAGATTCAAAGAAATCTATTATATAAGTTACTAAACCAGCTATCAGGGCTTTATTATATCTCAGATAGATGAACGATCTGTTCTTTTCACATCAGATTACAATTTCCGTCTACAGTATATATAATAAATAAATAACATAAAAAATATTATATATATATTGAACAAAATCAGCTTTCGCATGTTGTATGCAAACTTCCCGAAAAAATCGTCTATTTGTAATCGCTTGAATACTAACAATAAACTGGGAAGGAATGTTTTTTAGCAGTCGAGGATCAATAAGAGACCTCTTAATCGCTCATTTCCTTGTGAACAATTTTGACTATTATATTTTCTTCAATTTCTTGCTTTGAAACACAATAGAAACCTCATTTTTAGGAAAATTTGCTCTCTCAATTTGCAGCAACGAATTAACTTCCGCGATCATGGGGTTAATGTCTTGCCCTGCTTCAACCTGGAAACAAGTTTTGAAATAGTTCAGTTGCGACTGTCCCAGAAAAATGTGCCCATTGTTCGATCATTAATAAATCCCTTCCCTCAACGTCTTCCGTGAACCGAGGTACTATGCTAGAAGACTTGCCTCGGCAAATATCCGGACGGTTCACTGTTTCCCCATTTCTGTAGGATTACGGTAGAATTTTGACTTAGGTAAATTAGCTGTCATTCCAGAAAAATTCCAGTGAGCCTTCGATAATCATCTTCACGAAGGAAGCAATCAAAAAATTATACACTCACACGCAAATTGGACTTTTCGCACTTTTAGCACTTTTAGCAAACTTTCTTTTATGTTAACTAGTGGTAGTGAACCATTGATTAAAGGTGCCAGATTGTTTCTGCGCGCTTCGGGACCGCCACGCGGTTTCCCGCTATTTGCAGATTTTTGAATTGCGCTTACGTTTCCTTATTATTAGATCGTAGTAAGCTGATTCCAGAATGCACTTTGTACAGCTTTGCAAAACATTCAAGTGATATAATCAAATTTTGGTGGAATTTTATTAGAACATTCTTATAAACAAATCTAGCAATCTTTGAACGAACATTACTGTAGGATGATTTCAATACCAATCAGCTATAGGATCTTCTGGTAGAGTTTCCAAATCTTTCCAAATGTTTCTTGAAATAAAATTTGATTCATTAAAGCGCAACATGCCTTTGAAAGCTCTTACCGTAATCCTACAGTCATAAGACTTTTTCTGAATTCGGCGTCATTACCTCTTGCCTTTTCGAGATTTCTATCATCATAACATCTAATTTGCTAGCTACTCGAGTGCTGTAAATCACAGAATCATTAGGTTTCTATCACTTCTGTGTTAGGAATAGTGGAACGGGACTGCGCACACATCTCTACGATCATCCATCATCAGCTTCACCATTGCTTTTTGCCAGTCGTACATCTGTGTTTACGGACTGTTTCGTCACTAAAGTCTCATCTGCACTTGCGGATTGCTTGAAGCTTGTTTGGCGCAAACTTTAACGTTTATAGGCTACAGCTAGTCGCTTCACAGGACTATGTGTGTCATTGCACAAGATGTTAGTCTTTGCCCTGAAAATCCTGCATTTCTGGTCATAGACACCCTCCAAGGGAGTGTTTTTGGTGTTTTTTTATGTTCTCAATCCATTCAAACACAGTCCATAAAACAACAACACATTCTTGCTTAACAAAAAAAAATCCCTGGATGACGACGGCAAAGACCAATATTGTGCGCAATGACGCCATGATCACATAAAATGACTAGATGCAGTGAACTCGGCGGGTAATATAGAGCCGATACGGTGCCGACAACATCTGCGCGTCAATGGATGGCCGTAGGGCGCAAAACTTGAATTTGCGCAATATGGTCATTGTGCTTTCTCATGTGCAAGTTGCCGACATGCCTGTTCACGCGCATCTGTTGTCATCACCGTAGCTGCACTATTTGACTCGTCAAATCTACTAGCCTATAGAAGCGAAATGTGCGCGATCCGTCGCGTCCGTTCCGTATCTCTTCTCTTTTTGCGCGGAATTTATGGCTCGGCTTGGTTTCGTGTCTCGTTGTTCGTCGCGTCGCGCATCGTCGCTACTTCGAGCCATTGCCCTTTCAGGCGACTGGCTGCTTTGGCACTTCGGTTCCGCTCAGATTCGCATCGCATCGCACCGCGATTGACTCGATCGCATTTCAGACCTCCAAATGCGATAAATGCGGCGATTCATACTCGTCGCCCTTGTGGGCGCCGTGTGCTGCGGCACCGTTGCTGCCGTCGATCCACTCTGCTCCGTCTACGATCCCTTCAAGGTGCTTCCGGACAACAACAAGGTAATTTTCTAGTGAATTTTTTTTTGAACAGTGAGGAAAGTACACTGAGTTGTCATGGAGCTTTTTTTCTTATTCTGACAACTATCGCCACATGTATTGTGCTCGAACATAAGTCTTGCACCAAAAACTCTAAAAATTTGATTTAAAAATGCTCAGAGCGGCGTTTTGGTCTGTAAAATGTATTGAAATTTATTATTGTACATGATTTATGCAATATTTTTTCATATACATCAAAATTTTATTTCAAGCAATATTGAAATCGAAAGTAAAAACCGAGAATCACTTCTCGTAGAGATGTCTCCTAGAGACGTCAGCACAAATTTATTTTAGTTAACAATCTTTAACTAAAAAAAAGTAAAATTAGAGATTGTTGGGTCATTTTTTTTTCGACATTTTTGAGGAAAAACTTAGGTACTTGCCTTCAACAGGTTCTGTTGGCGCGATAGACAATGAAATTTTTGCTTAGAGAATTTTTATGAAAAATGAGTTTTTTCCAGGGGAGTTTACGGAATTTTGAAAAACTTATTGCAAGACTTATGTTCAAACCTATCATTCCTGAAACTAGGCTTCTTGGATAGGCATTGCGCACGTTGTCAAAACAAGTTTGTTCGTGCGGTTAACAATTTTGTACATGTATCTAGGTTTGTTTACTGCTCATTACCAGGTAAAATCAAGTTCAAGCCTGTTTAGACACTCTGCAGAGCGTTTTCTTGCTTTTCTCACAATTATGACAAGTGCCTTACCAAGAAATGTGGCTCCAAATTTTTCCTCAAAAATTTGTCTTCTCTAATTTGCTGTGTCTTATTTTTGTTTACCATTTCGATTGATTATATCTTACTTATCCTGTCTTTGAGATCACCGCAGATATTATCGGAATTGGTTTGTCTATCCTGCACAAAAAGAGCTTGTCCGGAGAAATGCTGCAAATTAATCGCGATATCGAAAGCCAATCTCGCATCTTTTGCTTTCTGGGAATTAGCCGAGATTTTCACCAGGATTAGATTCTTTACATTTTTTGTCCAAATCGCTTTCGTCGGAATCCGGCTTTACGAATGTATCAAACCAAAATATCTTAGCGTCTTTTGAGTTTTGCCTTCTTTCAATATTATCAGCAAAGCAGAGCTTTTTCAAGCCATCTTCCTGAAATTTTAGTTATGATTTTCGAAGAAGGAGCATGTTCCTTTCAATATTTTAGAGTTGTGAATTTTTGAAACCCCGCCAGTAAAGACTCTTCTTGAAGACTGCATTCATTACGCGTGAATATTGTTATGATCACACTGTTACGATCTATGTTGCGCGATTTCTGCTTTGACGTAACTTTGTTTCTTCTAACAAAAATTTTTCTACGAGAAAAAAAGGAGAGGTCTCTTTTCAGGAATATGATGCCTCTCCCTTTCGCTCCAAGCTCCTTACTTTTGCAAGATTGTAAACTCTTCAGAAAATGAGAGCACATTATCCAACTCCTATTGTTAGAAAGTCATTAACTTCGCAGCAGAATTTGAAACTTTATAGAATATTCAACAAACAGTCTTTGATAACTCAATTATATGCTCTGAGTTTCGTTTAGAGTGTTGTTTTCCTATTTTTGTTGGCTTATCCACTTGCTGTCAACCTTAGTCAAAAAAATTAAGATTCCACCGTATGCGAAATAAGTTTGAAAGAACAATCTTGAAAGATTTCGCAGATCTTTCCTGGACGCTTGAAAAGTGTGTAGTCGACAATATCAATAAGGAATCTTTAAGTATAATTCTTAGTATGCCAAATTATTCACTAAATTGCGCTCGAAACAAAAACCCACTTTTTGTCGCAAACCACTCCAACTATTCTTCAATAAAAACTCTAGCTGAAAAACTTTCCTAAAAACCCAAGAAGTCAAAAACTTGTGGTTTTTCTTGCATAATGGGAATCCAATGTACTTGTGTTCAAATCTCGTTCAGTGACTTGACAGAGTCTTTTTAGAGAATTTTGTGCCCACGATGAAAATTGTACCTGCTAAGAAAATCTCAAAAAATTCCAATAAATTCAGTCCTGGAATAACATTAAATTCATACCTTCTACAGCGTTGATGCCCTGTTACTTTAAATGCCAATCTAATCAAGTCTATTAATACACTGATTCATTAGTCTAAAATTGACTGTTCTGTTCTGTTGTTCTAACTGTTCAAAACAGATTGTAAGAAAAACTGCCTTCGCGATAAGGCTCTCGATTTTTCGATGCAGAACAGAAACAAGCAGAAGCATCCTTATGTCCTTCAATTCAACACTGAAGCTGTCTCGCAATCGTTCGAAACTTCAAAGTACGTGCAATGATTCTGGTGCATCCAATATACCATTTTTCTTATTGTTTTCAAGAATTGGACAACCTTTATTTTGACATTGAAAACTTCAAAAAGAACGATGAGTAGTTGGATCGAGACAGCATGGCTCAGTGTAAACAGTGTCGTAAACCTTTTCGTTCTCGTTTCCATCCAGTACCGAAAAGAACCGAAACGTTTTTGATAGTAGTTTCTTTTTGTCTCATTCGCATCACGGATCATGCTGTCAGCATGAATCAAACAAACACTCCGTCTTATCTTGACATTTCTTCGAATTGGCAATTTCGACGAAACCACTTTTGGAGCAGCTAAACGGACATTTTGTAATGTAACCTATCAGCCAGAAAAAAGCCTTTGCAGATGGCCTTGAAACAAGCAAAACAGCCAGTGTTGGCGAGAATGTTTGGCAATGTCAAGGGGTTTATTCATGGCAGTTTTATGGAAAATTCTCAAGCACCAATACTAGTGTGTTTTTATAGCGTCTGCCTGGTAAAGTGCCATTTTGGTGACAATGACCGCAAAAGTAGAACGACAATTTTCGGAAGGGTGTAAAGTTTTCACAGCTCTTGAGGTAAAACCAACAAACTATTCACCATTTTTTGCCAAATTCGCGGGATGCGGAAGAGGAAGTAGTTTGCGATAGAATTATCCGTAGATGTTTCCATTTTTTGTGAAATACAACAGTTCTCAAAAAGAAATTTGCCTCTAATATCTAGAAGTTCTTCAAGCAGGAAGTTCTTTGCGCTGAAAAAAGATTTTTTATGGATATCCATGTATCATTGCTGTAAGAAGTAATCCTAATACACGATCGGTTTTACCACTTTGGCGCAATATCAAAGAAGTTCTTTTGTGCAAATGAAAGTGAAGTAAGAAGATGCCATTTGCGAGAGCTTAATCCTAAAACACAACATGAACTACTATAGAAACAGAACCGCGTTCAAAGCATTTGCATCTTTTTCCAAGAATAAAAATCTGATTCAGAATTATTTCTATTAAAATAGCTATATACTCGTTGTGTTCTTGATGTCAAACCTGTCATTCCCTGTTTTAATAACAAAGTGGGAACTGAGATGTCTGTGGACAAAAAAGAAAAAAATTCTGTTGAATTAGAATAACGAGCGTCCCATAAATTTATTCGTAATTTTTAGCACACCAGATAGAGTAGACGTTCCTGTTTTGAGAAAAATTTGGCGATGAATTTTTAACCCCGTTGTAAAAATATTTCTGAAAATGACATAGATAAAAGCACATTGTCCAGGAGACCAGAAAACTTCTAGATTCTAATTTTGTTGGAAACTTCCTAGCTTTAAGTTCGTGCACTTAATCTGCTTGAGCCTTTACCTTCATAACCATAAAGCGAATAACAATATGTGGATTGCATGCATAGCAGGATTCATGAATAACTGAGTCAAGAAATTCAAGTTTTCATGATTGTGGTAAAGATTAATTTGTTATACTCTAAAGCAGTAGAGAAAAGATCTGAATCCACACTACGATGACATCACTTCTCAAATTTTCTAAAATCAATCAAATACCGGAATGCTTCAATCTCTAAGACTTGAGTATCGCTTTTGTTAAAGTGTTGTAAAGTTTTCAAGTATGAAATTTCTTTTGCACCATTTTTTTTCTCACATCTTCTTGAACTCGAAGTAGAGCAGTTCTGCCTTGTTTACACAATTCTATGCTCCTCAAACATAGCCATCTTTTCAACAGCAGTGGAACGGTAATGAGACGTTGCAGACTAGGGCCAAGGTCAACTTTGTCGAAACTCTTGTCAAAAAATGTGAACGCAGGCATTGTGCCAGAAAAGTAACTGGCTTCCTGTCGTAAACAAGTAGCACAAAAAAATCTTTTGTTTGAGATTTTCGAGAGAACCTGCAGAAGGAAATAAGGAAACACACAAATTGGATAAAAACAGTTGTTTAGTGCACAAGAATCAACATGAAAATATGAAAGTTTTCACTTTTGCAAAGCAGAGATCAAATACGTAATGAAGTTCTAGATCAATGAAACAAGGCCTTGTCGGTGACGTTGCACAGATTTCCGCATATGACTGTCTTCGGAAACATTTGGTTTCTTTAGTTTGTTGATTATCGCTACAGGAACGATATTCATGTATTCTATCGTACTTACATTAAGGCATTACTATAATAATTGCGGTTAGTGTACTGGCTACTCACATTTTTGTTCAGTAATTTGGCGATGTTGCTCTCCAAAACTCGTGTCAAATTTTGATTTCGATTGTGACTTCGATTTCTTATTATATCTGCAAGAACTATGGAATTTGAGGGGGTTTGGTTATAATGGTTCAGTGGTTCCACAAGATCTCCGAAATCTAGTATGGAGATGAATTGTGGGAAACCGCTGAGAAGAGAACTCTAATTTTACAAAATTTACAGAAATCGTCCTTTGCTGATGCATGCGACATCACATTTTGTCTAGGTTCCAGCAAATTTTTATATATCGTGCGGTCAAGAACGACATCCGGTTATAACAAAATCAGCTTTGGTTTGATTCATTATCAAACTCTGACAAACTGTAATAGAAAAGTTACAGTACTTGGCATTTTTGCACGATTTCAGTATGACCTTCTGGCTTGCCGTTAGAGCAATTAGAAACCACGAGAGAAACGTGCATATAATGCTTTGAATATGATAGATGTTTATGGGAAGTGCGACCACCTCGCAATACCTATCAATTTTAGTTCCAAATCGGAGGAGCATTTCCACTGCACGATCAGGACTGCAAGAAGTTGCTTCCCGAGACCGTTCAGGACATAGTTGCCATCCAGTGGGCGCTTACACACTGGAACCAAAATCCGGCAAATCATAATGCAAAATTAGGCACGTCACGGGACATTTTGACGCTCAGAAAATTTCCAGAAGTTTCTTTTTATAGGTCTTTACGCTGGAGATACATGTTCACGAGCACAGGAAGCGCTCTCGCAATCGTTGCGATTTCTTGATTCGGTCGGATATCATGAGCCGAAAGAATGCCGAACCGAAACGGCCGGAGCCAAACTGCTGGGTTAGTCTTTATTTTCTGAGGACTTGGGCTTTAAAAGGGAAATGTCAAATCGCGTAATCACCATTTATGGTTCGAGTAGTGCCAGTGTACAATCAATTATTCCTTCTTCCTAATATGTACAATTGCACAATTCTAAATGATGGTCCAGATCTCGAACCATTTCTCGAACCATAGCCAGCCAGATATGGTTCGAGAAATGTTCATTGTTATTTCACCTTTTCCCTACTAGATACATTTAAGATTGAAGAATCTCGATTATGTGTACTCAGTCATTTCACTTCATAGCGTGATATGTGCGGTTACAGATGCTATCCAAATTACGCGTCAGATTTTGCATAATTTATCGTCATATGCCTCTTAGTGTTAGAAAATAGTTATGCGCTGCGGTTTTTGTTTCTCAAAAAAATGAAAGCTAAGATAAAATACTATCAAGGTTTCTCGAACGATACTCGACACGTGATCATAAGGTAGAATTTGACGCGCAATGTGGATGAATTGTGCAAATGCACATATTAAGTTACATGATGACTCTACTATGCTGTCATAACGAACAGCTTAAAAGAATGCTGGAACGATTTACTTTGATTACCTCCCATGCAAAAACCTGGTTAACCCATGTGTATATCAGCAGTTATTTCAAACATCACGATCAGAAATGTTTACCAGATTCTGAATTTTTTTCATGTTACTACTGAATTCAAGGAATCATATAGAAATGTTCTGGATTACGACTGGAACAAAATATCATTTTTCATTAACGTCCAAATTAATACAAAAGATTATGAATTCATTCAGCAGCATATGATGTGCAACAGATTGTCAAGATTTTTTAAAATGCGAGTGCTAGAAAATTCCATTCCATGTCGAAAAGGACAATGAAAAACCTTGCACATTGTTGCCCTTTGCGGACCAACTTTTTGTGTCTAAACTCCAGGAACCAAGGACTCGTCTGTTACAAATCGTATTGCATTTGAAAAGGAAGATTAGGGATCATCGCAGGTGTGAAAGAACTTCGAGCGCCCTATGCGACCCTGATCGCAATTTAATCCCGTTATCCACACCACAAGCCGACTATTGGGGATGCTGGATGTGTAAAATGCAGCAGTTTTTGCGGAATGTTGTTGGTGTGAAAAGAAAGATATAGTCAACTCATTATGTGAGAATGCGCACATCGCATGCGCCGTTTCACTACTCTTTGGTTGTAAGTACTAACTAAAATCTTTTCACCGAGCAAATGCTAAAAATAATAAATTGAATGTATTTACAGCTGCTTATACCCAAAAAGAGTAGGAAAAAAATTCATGCAGGTTGGCGAACATCATACAGTTTTCGTGATATGCCGTGGTGTACGGTACATCCGTAGAGTCAGAAAATGATCGACTGTATAGTCAATTTAATGATATAAGAATTTGTGCGATTGCACGCCGCAGAATCTGGATCAATATGGAGATGCAAACTGTTTCTGAGAATGTTTTGTTCCAAAAGTCTTGAGAGTGGAACTCAGTAGCCCCAATCAGTCAATATATCTAATTTGATTCGTGAAAAGATCGTTTGCATGGTTTTCTGGGAGTCACAATCGCATTTCTACTGATTAACTTGGTCGTAGTTTTTCGAAGAAGATTCCATTGGGTGAGAGAAACACATGAAACTGCCTCAATTTTTCCAAATGACAAGCCAATTCAACAAATTTTTCTTATACCTTAGAATGGTAGCTCAGAATTCGGTAGCTCTCTCAGTTCATAGCAGCAATATAATCACTATTTCATAGTACACACTGTTTTTCGAAGCAAATTTTCAAATTGGCTATGATATGACCAAAAATATCATTTCAACGAAAAAATTTTGCAAATTTATATTGCACCTGAGTAATAATATTAGGTTGTCGGATAATTTCTGTTACACTTTTTATTTTAATTCTTAAAAATCTCAGAAGCTCTGGAAAGATCTCATGTTCACAGCGTGTGGGCAGGGTCAGAAGGCTTATACAAGGGTACCGTCGCATCCGCGATCCGTGCGCAAAACACCCACTTTGTGGCTGAAAGTCCGTTTCTTCCCATTTTTGTAAATGAGCTGGCGTTCTCTCACGTGATGACCGTAGACCGGACAATGTGGTAATCAGGTAAGGCATAGTCTGTAGTGTTTAGCTAATATGGGGGGACAACGCAGACATGTCTACACACGTCTTTCTGAGCGGTTCAAATCTCAGTGTGCGCCATCTTTGCAATCATCGAAATTTTACCAAGAAAACGTCTTCAAAAAATTTTAAAAAATTATTTTTACGTTTTCTGTATTTAATTCTATACGATGCACATAAAAGAAGAATTTAGGAAAGTTTTTGAATTTTTTTTGATATTTTTTCACCCCTCGTTTTTGAAACGCTAGAGGCACCGGAATGCCTTCATGTAAGAGACAATGCCAAAATACGTTCTAAAAAATTCTGGAAGTGGGAAAGCGCAAGTAGATGCAGAGAAAAAGATTCAGACAAAAACTGAAAAATTTGACTGCTTTTACAAAACTGCCGTAAACTTGTTGGTCATTAGTGCACCTGCGGCATCAATTATGCTGGTAGGTAGATCCTGCTATGTCCTAAGCGTATTGCAAACTTGGAATTTTCAGAAAGCTTCTGGGATTTCCTAGAAATTTTGGAAAAAAGTGTAACAGAAATTATCCGACAACCTAATATTTGAAAAAAGATTGGAAAATCATGATCATCATTGAGCTAATACTTTTCCTCTATGGACATCGTCTTGAGATTTACTCTTTGAAACTTTTTTCGCGAAAATCTCGTCATATCTCTGAAATAGAGATTTTCGTAAGTGTCGCTCAAGCACCAATAAAACTGAGTGGACTGATAGTAGTTTTGTCATAAATGTCGGCTTCGAACCTAGATAGCTAACCGTGATAAACAGATGTGACCGGAAGGTGCTGGCTTGTAGAAATATGCAAAGAAAACCATAAACGAGCAGGCATGGTACAAAAAATAGTAAGGTGACAAAGCGTACATAGTTGACGATTTCAATTCTAGCGTTGTCTTTACCACATTGATTCTCGTAATTATTCAGTGGCTTGAGGCATAAAATGAACTATCAGAAACTATCCCTTTCAAGATTTTTATTTAAACAAACTTTATCGACCGAAGCTTGAGTAACTTATCGAAAGTATCCTTGGATACTCAGAATTTCAATTAGTATATCCATGGAAAAGCTGAAACTTTCCTTGATATTCTCGAAAGTGCAATGAGAAACTTATAGGACTATCTTCTAATTGTGGGTGCAAAAAATATCACAATGATCTATGTTTAGGTCTGATAGCACCGAAGGACTACATGTCATCGACATCGGTAGCAACGATGCTCACAGTGGCTGAGCTACCGGTGGCTGCATATTCGAGCCAGGCAGCGAATGCACTGATCGAACTAGAAGTTCCGAATATCGTAGTTACAACTCCAACAATGGAAGTCTACGTGGAAGCTTTGATCAAGTACGCACACATGATTATTTTCTTCTTTTTTATATTGAAAAGGCAAAAATTACGAGCAAAATAGCATACTGAACCAACTATAAACGGCTATTGAACAGCTTTTGTCAGCTGGGGGCATTTCAAAAAAGTTCCCTCATGGAAGATTTTTCAAGAACAATGCTGTTATATCAGTTATATTATACTAGTAAATCTCCCCAAGAGACTGCGTAGCTCTCAGTACGAATGCTACTACTGATAAAAACACGAAAAGCTCTCAAGTCTTAGTCAAAAAGCGTTACCAATGAAAACGATGAGAAAAACAGAAAAATTGTCCCGAGAACCAATTATTTTGTTGCCTTTTTGAACTGTGTTTTATGGTAAGTATTTCTATTACTCGATTTCAGATTGATGACAGCTTTGCGTTCAAACCTAGTCACCGTCGTTGAAGATGGATCAAATGGAGAGACTGTGAAGAGGTAGTTCACATGTCTTGAATCAACTTATTCACTAGTGAAAAAATTTTCAGAGTTGTGAATCAATTGAATGAAGCCGACATATTTGTGTCAGATGTACTACATGTAGATCATCCCCAGCTAGCACAAGCCCTTGAAGATAGTGATAGCGATATAATCGTTTCCTTACTGCCCAAAACTGATGTAAGTGCTAGAAAGCAATGATTTGTGGTTTGAATCTTCATACTGATTTCCAGCTCATGGCCGCGGTAAATGACCCATCTTTGTACAAAATGGATAAGCTGTGGATTTCACTACCAGTTGATGGAGAAGCGCTTGATAGTGAAGAACAGACCGAAATCTTGCATCCACAGGCAGAAATTGAGGTATGCTACTCAGAATGGCAGAAGCAAGATAGCTAAGCTGGTTTCAAAGTGACCTACCAGCCGTTCGCAAACATCATAAGAATGTCTCAAGAGCCAGAGATTGCTTAAAACTACCTTCCCTAAACAATTTTCGCGGACCTGTGAAGCATATCTTGACTGGCCTCAACTCAAATTTATAGCGCAAAATAAATCACTCATCGCTTTTTGTTAGAGAACTACGGTAAGAACTTCTAGGTTGTCGTCGTTGCAAAACAGATGCAGCCAATCAGAAACTACAAACCGTCGAATTCTATGGCATCATTTTCAGATCCGCTGATTCTATTAAATACCTTTATAGGTATTTGTAGAGCCGTATAAATGGTATACTCATGTTATTGACATTTACCGAAATGGCATTCCTATCGTGGTTTCAGTTATAAACTGCAGTAAAGCGAAAAGTTGATATATGGATCCTTATAACCGCACCTTTTCAAAGTTCTTACCGTAGCCGTACAGTATGGTGAGAGATCGATGGCAGTCTCTATGTGAATCTAAGTTGAAGCTACATAGCTCTACAAGATGGTTCCTGATCCGCGAGAGCTGTTCAAATAAAAGAGTTATGATCGATCAAACGTTCGATACTTTTATTTGAGATTTTTATTCGAGACTTATGTTTGTGATCACAGACTAGAAAATCAAATTAGCTTTGTCAACAAGTGTGAGAAACTTTAGCACTAGCGTTTAAATTTTTTTTTTGCAGATCATTTCCCTGCAACCGCACTTCATTGACCTGCCACAGTTCCGTGACTACTTCCTTCGAGTTTTGAAAAACAACTACCAAAGCTATCAGCTTTTGACTTCTTATGTACAACAGGTAAAAGAATATAATCAATCTTCAATTTTTGAATCATTAAATGAATTCAGGTCTACAACTGTACCGATGAGGCTTGCGAAGTTGAGAAAACTCAAATGGCTCTGCGTTATATGCAATCGGCAACCACCGAAGCAGTAATCAGAATGACCTATGCTTTCGCAGCTGTCGGCCAGAAGATCGGAAGTGATGCGGAAAAAGAACGAACATGGTTAGTATAGGAAGATTTCTACTAGAAAGAGAAATAAGAGTAGTTTTTCAGCGCTCATCCAACTCCCGAATGCACATCGCTAATTGTGCAAGAACTGCTAAGTCTTGACTATGAGTTCGGCATCAATGATCCGTCTGAATTCGCTGGAGAGCGCCTCAGCTTCTACAGAGGTATCCGCACCTAATCGTAATCAATACGTAACTCACGATTTGACCTAATTATAGGAACCTCTGTTTTGCTAAAGCATTCAAAATGTGGTTCTAATTAAGTCATCTGCATAAAAGCCAGTTTTTTACAAATTCTAAAATTTTCGATTTATAAATTTTTTGATTTTTGAATTTTTTACAAGTCCTAAAAAGTAGACCGTTTACGTAATCAAAAAAGCATCAACGCGCCTAACAACAGGTTTATTCAGAAAGGGGTCAATAAAAAAGAAAAATTGATGGAGCAACCGCAGGGAACAACGAATAACAACAACGAACCGCAGAGATAACAACGAATATTTTTCCCACATTTTTACGCCAACAAAATAACCGCAACTCATTTTATAGATTTCAACAGCATTAAGTCCATTCCTTTGCTATACCTTGCGAGATCTGATGTGCTCATCAACTGCAGTAGTTATCTGCTACTTCTCCAAATTCGAGCTTTACCTAGTGAAATTGATAGAAAAAATAATTCTGCTCATAAACCCACCGCCCCTATTTTTAACCACATTCGAGACCTCATAGTCCACACCTATAAAAGATGTAGCTCAATGACAAAGGAGTAATCTGAACTGTTGATACATGTGGACTTCATTTAGTATAATATACTACCATATAGTCGAACTAATACATAAACACAGTTTCTTTGAAGCGTTTGGCTTAAAATTCATAATTTTGTAGAAATGGTAGCATACAACCATTCCACAGATTTTGCTCTGTTTCAGGTCGCGAGAAAATGCTTGTAGCATCGGGCATGAATGTGAAAGCCATCGAACTGTATAACAGTGGTGGAAAGACGAACGTATACGAGTTGATGTCGTTCACCACTGGACGTCAGCCCTCTGTAACGATGTCATCCATCAGAACAGCAGATCAGCGCAAACGCTCAATCTGCAGCCCATATCGTCCTTTCTGCGGACAATGCCCCAATGTTCAGACTGTCGATGGAGAGGTATAGCAATTTCCCATTTTGGTCTCGATATTTGACAAGAAGTTGTGGAAAAAATTTTTCTTGTGGGATATTCAGAAAATTTACTTACAATTAGACTTCCAAGCAATAATACAAAATAATGGTTGATATTGAATCACGAATCAAAATGTGATTGAAAAAAATTCCAGAGGCACTTCCTGTCTATTCCACGTCACTATCAGATGTACTTGATTGGGTTGTTCGATCTCCATGCCGGCTCAGCATGCTCGTCTATGAAAACCACCGACATCAGTTTACCTATGGCATTTGTGCATACGGTAACTGTTCATTGTCTCTTACTTCTTCCATGTCAAATCGATCCAAATTTTTCTTCCAGGTGTGGACCTTCAAACAACGCTTCCCCGACTTGGTCCTGCTGAAAAACCTAGACTTTGGTGCACTGCTCGTCGACACCTGCTCATCTGGCAAGCAGGCCATCGAGACAGTGGTCCGAGCCGAGACGCAATGCTTCCGCTTCAACCAAGCTGGCAGAAACATTACCATCGTGCCCGGCTCGGTGTTCGGCTATGTCTCCGGTCTACACGGTGACTCGCAAGAGGCCCTGAAGGGCTACTTCTCCTCCGGCGATTCCGCGGCCGCGCTAGTCGCCGCCGATGCTGACGCGACTCCACGCCACGCCTTCACGGCTCTACCCGGAGCCAGAAGCCAGGCGCTCGCTCTACTCAGGTTCCTTAATCGCATGCATTGGCAGTTCGTCACCGTAGCGCTTAGCGAGCAGGTTAGGGATCACGGTAGAAATACGACTATAGCGAATTAGTGCGTTTTTGTAGGATCCAGAATCACTGGCGGCATTCCGCCATTTCGAGCGCCTTGCGCTGGATCGTGGTGTTTGTCTGGCAGAAGTTGTGAATATCGGAGGAGTGCGAGTGGATAACCTACCGATTGGTACAACTACTAATGTGACAATAGTGAGTAACATATGCTCGAATTCTAGCGGAAAAGTTCGTGTTGGCCGCTAGCTCGAAATTTTAAACTCCTTCATTCTTTCTTCAGTAACACACTATGCTTCTTCGAAAAAACAGAAAATAAGAATGAAATCAGTTCTATAGAGAGCGCAGGAATCTAGCAATAAATCATCCTTGAAAACGCGCATCTTGTAAACATTCTGCAAACTTCCTTTTCAGGTATTCGCCACTTCCCGCGATGCAGCTGCCTACCTTGCCTTGACCCTTCGATCGCCACGTAAAGTCGTCCATATTATGATGGGAGATTCACACGATTGGTATTTGCACGATCCACTGAACAAGAAGAACTTCCAGGGTGTCGTTTCAGTGCAACCGAAGGTGAGGAATCTGTGAATTCAGAGGAAAAAGTTATGAAAAGAAAACAATATATGAAACAAAAAAGAGAGTGAATAGTTTCCACAACATTGAAGCAAGGGGAAAAGATGATGTTCACTTACGTTGTTCTAATTTTCAAATCATTCTCAACATTCGACTGATATTCAAACATCAGGCGAAACATCATTCTGAAATACAGCTCTGGACTACTGTAAAGAATTGCATTTCCAAAACTAATTGTTAGTGTTTGCGTCGCATATCTAGCCTTCATAGTGAAATTTTGCTTGTAGGAAATGTTTCGAAATCGCAGAGGGTGAATTAGTGTCTCGAAACCTTTTCCATCAGAAGTATACGCGTTCATCGCATGCAAAGACTGGACGCGGTTGCGTCCGACTAAGATAGTCGCGCAAGGAGAGGCAGTAGACGACGAGAGGGATGACAGAGCGTTGGATTAAAGAGACGCCGACAGTGACGTCCTGTCTTTGCGTGCTCTGAATGGGATATAGTTTATACACCTTCAAATTCGCCCGGGTACCAAGATTTTCTTTACGAACCAATATTTGTTCTATTTGAAAATTATAAAGTATCACAGGACACATGTCGAAAATTGGAAAATTTGCGATTTTTCAAAAAAGTGTCATACTGCACATTTTGCCAAGACACTGAAGCGGGAACATGATAGGATTCTCGAAAAAATCAACCCCAACTCAGTACCTTCATACACAGTTTCCCTTTATGAGATGGATATTGCAGACAGTTAGACAACTGCTACTAATCGGATTGCAGCTTTGATTGTGCTAATATATTGATTTGTTTTCTTTGTAGGACATCCTCCACAATGATTTCCGCGAGTGGATGGAGACAACAACGCCATTAACGCTACCCGAAAATTGGTTCTGGTCTTTCATCGAAGACCGTTGGCAGTGTGCGCTTACGCAAAAGAGCAAACTCACATATGGAAAGATGTGTACCGGGGATGAGACATTGAATCTTGACAATTTGGGTGGGTCTGAGGAGGCACAAGACCAAAAATATTGTCTAAAAATAAGCTTTGAATTTTAGGAAGAATGACGAAAGCAGGTTATCTCTCGCGTGGCTTAGAGCGCTTCTTATTCGCTATGGACTCGGTCTACAGGGTAAGGTTCCTTGACTTCTATAACTACATTTGACCCTATTTGTTTGTTTTAAGAAAATGTGCCCAACCCAAAGCGGTTTGTGCTTGGAGTTCTACGAAAATGGACGACAAATGATCTTGAGTCAGCTGAAGAAGACCAATGTCGAAGACGATGTAGACATCTATGAATTCCTTCATGTCGGAAACGGTAAGTGGGTGCTGCTGCTTTAGAAGGACAATTTTTGAAGGAAATTTTCAGATGAGTATGACTATCGAACAATCGGAAACTGGTCAGTCTCCGGCGGTCTGCGCTTGCATTCGCTTTATCGCAGTTTCTTTGACGGTCCAGTAGAATCGAAATGTCAACCACCAATGTGTAAATGCTTCCTCGATGGCGACTTCTTCCAGGTAATTCCCCCTTTTCAGTTTTTCAGAACATGTAATATTTGAAAAAATTTTAGCGCCCTCTCGACTCGTTTGTTCTGTCATCTGAACATGTGGAAGCAGATATGAGCAGCGGATCATATGTGAAAAGACAGCCAGCTTTCGGTTCCGACAGAGTTGGATATCAATCGGTAGGTCTCTTAGAGAGTGATGGAAAGAGTTTTTAACAATTTCTAGATTATTCCAGGTCTTTGAGCACTTTTCGATGGGACAATGGCGTAATTATACGCACAATTTTGTGCTACTTGCACTCATCACGCTCCTCACTTTTGTTGCCATCGCAGTTCTTGTTCTTGGTATGGACTAAAAAAATTTTTTTTTGCGGTCCTTCTCAATATTCCATTTTAGTGCTAATCAAACTCTACCTCCGTGTTGTGAAGGGTAACCAGTCGCTTGGGATCTCCTTACTAGTAGGAATCATCATCCTCTACATTACCGCCTATTTCTTCGTCTTCGATGCAACCGATGCGGTAAGTTGTCCCCACCTCCCTTCTACCCCTTGTAAGTTATTCTAGAGAAATATTTAGGTTTGCCGACTCCGTGTGGTAATGCACGGTTTCGGTTACTCGCTCTGTTTCGGAGTGATGATCGCAAAAGCCACACAGCTTCGAAATGCCGAAACGCTAGGTTTCGGCACTGCCGTGCACATTTCATTCTGGAACTACTGGCTGCTGCTATTTTTCATTATTGGAGTACAAATCGCACTAAATACGAGGTCAGCCCCTACCTTTGCGTTCATTCCATCCCTCTCCTAGCTCAGAAATTTTTCAGATGGGTCGCCGAGCCATTTATGTCCACACTGGCCGTGTCGGACTCGCACTCGGAGATGGTGTGCACGTTGGGCAGGGAGGAGTTCGTACTCGCTAACATCTACGTCGTCATTTTGCTGTTTCTTGCTTTGTTCATCAATAGTAGGAATAGGAATATCAAGAGGAACTACAAGGTACGGTGTATCGTAAGCATTTTGCTCAAAAGATCACGCACTTTTACGTAAGCGCATCTATCGTAGTACTGCTGCACCCTAATAAACGCGAGCACATTCGTACTTTGGACGTAACTAGATCAATTTTAGAAGTAATCTAAGCTATATTTTTGCCACCACATGGTATCTTATGGGATCCTCACCGTACCTTTACTATATTCCGCAAACCAACAAGTAGCCATGAATCGCGTAACATAGTCATTCAGTGCAATAATTCAAACATCCCAGCAATTGGGTAAGGTTAATCTTGTAAGACAAGCACAAGGCCATCTCAGCCGTCCCCTACCACCATTCCAGAAAGAACGTTTCAAATCCTTTGATGGCCTTTAGAATACTATGAAATCTCATTTTGTAATTTTGAATGAACTCAGCAATTGATTCAAAATCTACACACTTGGAGGCTATTTTAGGAAACAAAGTGGCTTTTTGTCTCGTCCTTGCTTTGCACTTTCATATGGTTCACATGGATCACTGTCTACTTCGTTATTCCAAACGAATTCAAGGTAATGCATCTCTTGTTCTGACCAACGCAGACAAATGATGTTTTCTACTGTTTCAGGAGACCGTGATTGTGTTAGAACTACTTAGCTGCTCATCCATACTGCTCGGTTTGTTGTTCGGTCCTAAAATCTATATCCTCCTCTCATACGAACCCGTAGTGGTGGAGTTCAAACAGGATGGTGTTCAGCCAGGCAACAACATGACACTGTTTGAGAGAGGTTATTACTTGCAGTTTTTCCTGCAAAATTACTTATTATCCTCCTCAGATGATGATCTGCCATCGATGCGAGCTGTGTCGCCAGCTAGCAGCGGTGGTTCGACTCGCACGGCTTCGTCCATTCGCACTGCGAAGGTACAAGCTCCAAATGCACTATACCAAGACGAACCGGTAAGCTCTTTCATTTGCGATCTACAGGAGGCCAAAATTAAAGTTTTCAAGTCCCCCATCTTCCACACGGTCATGAGGAAAAAGAACAAGGTGCGCCGGTCGCACAGCGAACATGAATTAACCGAGCAGGTAAGCATCATGTCTAAATAAGGCATATTATGCGATGAAAGTGTCCATTATTGAAAGGAGAGGAAGATTCAGTAGAAAAGTATGCTATCTGAATGTAGGCGCAAAGATCGCAGAACCTGATAATTACACAACTTCGAATGAATTTTGGTGAATCAAATAATTTATGAGACCAGCATCATTTGGTTACAAGTAGTCTTATTCCCAACCAAAAAAACTGAGTTGAACAAGCCTTTCACTATTCATGATACAATCATTAAGTTGGTGCGAAAGTTGTATAAGAAAGAGAGATAGATTTGTGTTCTTATTCTCAAAAATTGAAAAAAAGGTATGTGTTTACGAAAGTCATCCAAGGGCAGCTTTTTGGCTAGCCCTGGAGAAACAAGAGGGCTGGGCACGAGATGGCTTTTAAAAAATGCAAAAAAAATCCCCTTGTCTTTCGCGGATTTTTACGAAGTCCTCTTTGACCCTAAACACTAAACGTGAAAATCTCTCCAAGAACGAAAGTCAACCAAAAGAAAACTTCGCAGTTTTTGCGTCTTTTCGACCACAAAAACGATACCCCCTTTGCTTCTTGTCCCAAAAACGATTCCAGCTTGCTCACAAGCCATCTGTGCCCCGCCCTTGTTAAAAGAGGCCACAAACGGCACTTCAAATTTCGTGATAGTTACTTCTTGAAATTAGCTGTGGTGCCGCTAGCTATCCCCAAAAAAATCTGCAAAATCTCCGACATCGCAGTATCCATACATTACTGTGGCAAACAGTCTCGTTTGAAAGTGCAAAAACAAAGAATTCGCAGAAAATGCCATTTATAAGAAAGTTTTTCTCATCACATTTTCTTCAAAAACACGAGATGAGAAATTTGGCTTTTTGCTTGTCTAAAGCACTGCGCTTTTTTGAGCATCAAGCTGTCGTTGGTGAAATAATACTGCAGTATAGCGAGGGGAGGGGGGTAAACTCACGTTTTACAATTTTTTTTCTGCACTTTCATGCGAGGCTATGTAAGAAGATTTTGCAGATATGAGATTATCTAGCGCCAGTCTAACATTTCACAGACTAAATAGAATTTTTTTTCCAAAGTGCTTCCGCCTTTGGCTTGCTTCTCCGAGGTTGACCACGAAACATTGCGCTCTGGTGACTAAAGCAAAGCGCAGACCTTCTTCATTTTGAATGCAAATAGTCGAATCTAGAAATTTCACGCAAGAACTTTTGCGCCAATCCAACATCACTCTTCCAGATCCGTGCCTACCCGGATGCAGCAGTCATTCATACTCCGTCATCAAAGCCAACACCACCAGGTCTGAAGCGACCGACGATCGTACACTAGTTGTAGTTTCCGATGCTCAACATTCTTTTATTTGTACATATCACATGTAAGTGCGGTTTCTTACCACATTTGCGCTGCAATCGCGTGCGATTTGCGTTTTCGTTCGCATGCCGCCGTGCGCGATTGTTAGACGGGAGTTTCAGTTGGAGACGTTCCATTATGTATTACAGTCTATGCATTTTACTAGCTAACCTCCTCACTTTGCCACCTTCCACTTGTGGATCCCTTGATGTTTTCTCACCCGGCCATTACTCCAGGGACCACTATCTCTAAGATTTCACAATTTGGTGTCTATGCATAAATATGAACTTTCTCAGCTTTTATATATGCACACCGAAGCCATCGATAAATAAAATCTGCTACACAGTAAGATGTTTATTTATTTACAATCCTTCCATCAACGACTCGTCGATGATTACTGAAATTTCCACATTGGAAAAAGAAAAACAGCTGACAAAATGCTAAAGAGATCGCAGTTCTAGTAAGCAAGAGATGAGCATTATTGACATTTACGCTGCTGACTAGAAGCATAGCCTTTACGATAATGAACGGAAGTATTTGCAACAACCTATTACAGACTTAATATACTGGGTGTTATATGTTTGTTTTGAACCTAACTTTCAGTGGCGCCATTTAATTGTAGACACGGATGCATTTCTCGGAACATCCTGTACAACAACTCTGATCTAGCTGCAGATCCTTGAACATGAGAAAAGACACTGTACAACGCTCAAAATAGAGGGGGATAGTAAAAGACTAGCACATTTTGCTAATGATATGGTACTAGTTTGTGAGATGCTACATCAAGCTGCCTCATATGATGCCGCTTAAGACTAATCACTATCTGATTGAGGCTCCTTGTCGGGTACGTCATTGAGGAGTTCAAGCACATGACCCACTTCTCTTGGACGTCCATCGGGCCCAATTGTTCCAGGTTTTACGACACCTGCAAGAGCAGCAGATTACATATACTAAAATTCACCAAATTAATAGCATAAAATATGAACAAAAACAAAGTGTCTAGACAGTTTGGAGGGCATAGACTTCACAATACAGCACTAGACCTATGAAGTATTGAAGTAGATCGTATAGAACGCCTCTGGAACGAAGAAGCCGCTATTTTTGCTTAATTTTAGCCGTCCAGTTATTTTTGTTCTCATCAAAAAAGGGCGAGTAGACGCAAAAAGGCAAGAAGGCTGGAGGCAATCTGGTGCTAACACAGACTGTCGACTTGCTACACTGCAAACAAAAAGCGATCTCCAGAAGCAGTAAAGGTATTAGCACTCAAGAGCAATGGCCTAAAATTCTAACAGCGCATCCAGTATAATGTACGAAGTCCAAAACCGTGCGAACTGCCCTGACGGATGCTAATATATTGGAATATTCTTGGGAGATGTGACAGTGACTGACAACATAAAAAAGTATAAATAAAAAATGGAAGCGTACAATCTGTGAGGTTACCTGTTTTCATTAGCTTGTCCATAGCATTCACGAGCTTCATCGCTTCATATTCTTTCTGCTCGTCGCTCATACTCTCTAAAGGCGAAGGGCCCAAATCTGGTCGGATATAACCGGTCACCGGGTTAACTCTAGAATATTCAAACTTAGAAGACAGTCAAAAGCATTGAAATCGAGCAAAACAAAATTTGGTCAAGATAAATGTGTAAAGCATAAGTAAAAATACCAACTTGTCTTCCACCGCCCTGTAGTCTTCGGTCTCTGAATCCTCACTGTCAGAAGCGCTCTTTGGAGCATTAATTTGTCCAAGTAAGCCAGAGTTAGCAAGTAAACCAGCTGAATGTCCAAGACCCGTGTATTTTATGAGGCGATTCACTATAAGATAAATCTCAAACATATATCTGACGAGACTCCTATTAAAACCTGATCGCTTGCAGAGGACGAACATAAACTCGGAAGCAAGGTCTTTTGAAAAAACTGGGCTCATCATCACACGAATCACTTTGTTTCTAAGGGTTTGCCCTTCATCTGGAGGACGAGCAACATCGGCGGCTCCAAGCGGAGGCAGAATCTACAAGTTAGAAATTCGCTTGCGATCAAAGTCTTCGTGGGTTCCAGGGTTCCAACCTTCAAACGACAGTATCGTCGCGCTTCCTTACTGGCTGTACAAAGCTTCAATGCCGAGCCAAAATATGTGCTCAGAAGGTCTGAATCTGAACCACTGTTCTGAAAGTCGAAACACTAAAAATAGTTATTATGAACAAAAAGATGAAACGAAAAGAAAGCAAGCGACAGAAACAGAAAGTCTCACATCATCAAGTTTCCTCTCCATAGCATCCAAAAGTGCCTGAGCGAACGACATGTCATACATATCATATTGTTCGCGTCCATCCACAATTGTCATCTGAACATTCAAAATCGACCACAAACTTAATCATTCAGCAGTAGTACCCCAGTCGCTGATAGTATTGATAGAATTCTTAGTGGACCACATAATAATTGTACGACAAAGATGATCATAAAGAATCCGCGCCCAGGCGGCCAGTAATGTAAAAGGAAACAAAATCCCCAACCAGTGGCTGTCCCAGGATTTTCGTCCGAGGGGGGGGCGGAAAAATTTTTTTCAAATGAAGGTGCGTGGCGTTAGCCAAAAAATTTTTTGGGGTGCTTCTTAAAAATTTTTCGGGCAAGCCACGCCTCCGAAAAAAATCTTTTCACAAAGCTAATTTAAATTTTTAAAAGATTTTAAAAATTATTTTAATTATTCACAAAAATGAACAAGTCATTTGCACATTTTTACAACCCATGTAGGTAAGTTTTGAAAATTTCGCGACCCATTCTCGGGGAGGGGGGAGGCCCCCCCTCGGTCCACCACTGTCCCCAACATGTGGCACAGTAACAAACCTTAGGGCAGAGCATGTTTATGTTAAGCTTGAGCGTTGCCATAAGATTTACTGCATGTTGTTCCATCACCGGTGAGGGTGGTTTGATTTTCATCAAAGCGGCGACAATTTCGGTGATATCATCCACGAATTTCTGTAACATTGAAAGACTATACCAAAATTATATACTGAAGCTTCTAACCTCCTCAATGTCATCTGCACGTTTGTAAGTGATATTGAAAAGTATTTTGGCAGCCTCTCCAGCTCGATCCGTATAGTCCGCTAGGCGCCTAGAAGCTTGTTCTGGCTCAAAGCACTCCACCTCTGCAGCAGGCGTTAAGTATTGTCGTATAATATCGAGGAATGTAGTCATAGCATGAGGAGATTTTCCCCATAACGTCTAGAAAGTTTCAGTAGATTTGTTTACTACCACAATGAATCGAACTAACCTGTATGTTTTGCGAATGCGCTGAGACCAAAAATGCAATGCGCAAATCAAATAACCAGATAGCAGTTCTTGAATTCTCGGGTACATCGTTAATCCATTCATAACGACCCGAGTAGTCCGCTCTTGTAAACGCAGAGATCCGCTCCAGTAAGAGATCTACCGATCTAGCCCTAAATGACAAAGTACTGCAAGAGTGTAACAAAGAATGAACATATGCAGATGAAACAATACGTGAAAAAAAAACTGACTCGAACGTCTGGCGCATCACAGCCGAATTGAACAGGGTATTGACCAAACATTTATCAGCTTCAGTAACATCTGATATTGCAAAAATGAGCAAGGAGCTAGTGAAAAGAGATAGATCGAGCAGCAAACCTTTGAGTACCGCAGATGATGATGTGCTATCAAGACCACTGGCTCGTATTATGAAAAGCCGAACAGATTCTGTGAGCAGCAGATCGAGCGAAGATTTGTCGCGCGCTGGAAACTATCGGTAAGTAGATGCACTTGATTAGAAACAATTCAAGGACATGCAATGCATAAAAAGTCTGCCATTGAATGGCGAAAGTGGCGTCGCTTGCTTTTGTACAAACCACCCCCCCCCCAGAAATTTGCGATAGTATCATTTTCGAAACTGAATCATATGCTCGAAGTGAGAGTGAAGAGTTTTCGGGTTTTCTAAGATGGTCAGGATTTTGCCTCATGAAGGATTCCCCGTGGAAGATCTCAGAATTCTCATAAGAATTACAGTTTTCGCGATGACTAGAGGCCCATAATCCAAACAAGAATCGCGCTTCCATTATGGAAATCACAGTTTTCGCAAGCATAGCGAAGCCCGGATGGTCAAAACAGAGGCCTTAATCCTCATGAATCTCCAAAAGCCCTTAACATAGAACCAAGGACAACGACAAATATTTAAAAAACTATGTTGATGTTGTTATGCCAATACGAGGTTTGATGAAGCCTTTTCAATAGAAGGCTTCACCAAACCTCGTATTGGCATAACAACATCAACATAATCATACGGCATGCCGAGGTTTCAAGAAAAGAGGACAACCAAACTATTAAAAAAACTATTTTAAAACAATTTTAGAAATCGGATATCAAATCAAAATAGCAAAGCAGAACTACTCACCAAGAATGCGAAGAAATTCAAGAATTGGAGCTATTAGGGACGGCTTCTTACTTACTTCCTCATCAATGAATTTGACTATTTCCTGAAACAATGAAAATACTCAATTCATGGCATATGCTTGTAGCTAAAACAGCTGACGATGATGGCGCAGGAATAACACAAAGTAGGCATGCTACTTTCATCGACCAAATTTTTGAAAGATTCAGTATCTTCCCCTCCTCTCAAAATTATGATGAATGCAAAATTTTGCAGTAACCAAGAATTGCTTACCTCACGTGAACGGCGATCGATGGCGTCAAATTTTGACTGACTTTGAAGACTTGCATTGAGGGCTTCAATTTTTTCTTTTGCGTCGTTTTCTGCGAGTGATGACAGTGACTGGATAGCGCCAACATCGACAGATGCACCCATGTTCACAGCTGACAGAGAACTGCGATGCGAGAGCAACTTTGAAATGCACGTTAATGAAACATCTGAAGTGAAGTGACCAATGCGTTAGATTAATTAGCAACAAAAAAAACTTCGAAAACACGCGGCTGAGAACCGGTTGGTGAAAAAATCAAAGCTAGGAGTCACAGTTTATTCCACTACTAACTAATGACTACTTTCTCTTCTACTTCGTTTTATACACTTCAGGCTTAGCAGGAGCTGCTTCGACCTTCACTTTGGGTAGCACATCAGGCTTCTTGTTTGATGGCTGCGGAAGACGATATTTTTGTAATTCAATCTAAAAAGAAAAACTCATCGCACATAATCGTACATAATCTCATTACCTCAGCTTGATAATATGTGTACTTATCGTTATTTAGGTAGTTTTGTACCTTATATAGCTTCCAGTCCGGTTTCTTTCCTGTAAAGCAAATATGAGAGTACCAGCCGCTCTCTGCCGCTACGAGGCAGTCTCGCCGCCTCGCAAGTCTTTCTTTTACTCTCTGCGCAAATGTGAAAACTCAGGAAATTTGCCATTTTGCACGAAGTACTTCGATTTACAACCTGCACAGAAAGAAAAACTGAAGACATATTGACTTTGTCACTATTTTAATTTGAGCAAAAAATATAAATTTGAAGGGATGCGCCAGTATATTTTGAACATAATGGCTTATTAACAGACTCCCCACCCCATAAATTATGTCTGCCCATTTGATTCAAATTCCATGACTCCTTTCGTCCTTTTTGGGCAAAAAGAAAAAAAATTTTAGGCAAAAAATCAATAAATCGATGGAGGCAATAGGCAGGCCCCCAACAAAAAAAATGGTTAACACACGCTCCACACTATACATTAGGTATGCTAAATCTGGTTCAGATTCCATTACTCCTATCCTTTTTGGCGAAGATACAAAAGTTAATGATGAATAAGATGGTATTATCACAAGGAAGAAAAACACCTCCAAGTTTGGCAAATTGCTCAGCATGCTCGATTCCCGTGCTTGACTTGGGAGCTGCAGAAGCAAAACCACGCGAAAGCCGTTGTACTGCTTGTAATCGGTTCATACCTAGATAGAGACACTTAAGTATCGATTACTCATTACATTTATTACATTTACTGATCTATAGGATAACACAAGATAGCGCTTTATAAAAGAAATGAAGCCCACAATAGCTGTTTGTTTGAAAGCATCGTCCAAAGAAATGCGTGTGACAGGATAAATCGACTGGCAAGAACGCTGTAGAAATCTGCACGCATTGTTTGCACGCGATTAAACTAGTCTCGCAACACAATAGGCACTTGATTGTAAAAAAAAACACCTCCAAGAAGCTCCATGGAGACAAATAAGCAAATTTACGTCACAGATAAAAGGCGACGCATTTGCGGCATTATGAGTGCATTTTACGCATGTTGGATTTTACGGCTGCTTGAACCGTGTTAACACGAAATCAAAATTTCGATGCGAAAGCAGGGCTCTGTTGAGAATATGCAAGGCATCTACAGGACTATTCTTGATAGAATTTGAGACAAAAATACGAAACTGATAGCAAACAAATATGCATCAGAGTGATGCCGCTGAAGTGGAGTTTTATCTCTCAACTAGGTGAGTCTCCTTTCATTTAAGCGAGAGCTCGAGATCCTCTCGAGAAATGAAAGCTTCAAATAATTAGAATCTTTGATCAGGATTAATTACAGGCAAGTCATCGACGCAGATGCGGGGTGCAGTTGCGGAACTGTTCCAGTTTTCTTCCATCACTGTCTCTGGTCTGCAGTTCGGTGAAACTTCGCAAGGCAAAAGCGCAAACGGGTCTCTTTGCGAAAGTTCTATAGACTGTGTACACACGGTTAGCGGCTAATATAAAAATTCGTGCTAAAGCTGAAGCAGTAGAATACAGATTTTGGAGTGTGAGACCGGTATGCAAGCGTTAGGCAGGGTTCATACTGAGCCACACAAAGCGGCACAGCACCATAGCGCTCGAATTGTGCGCTGTGCTGGAACTGTGCCGCTTTGTGCGGCTCAGTATGAACCCTACCTTTTAGGCCTCGGGCAGAGTTCACGCGATTTGATCGTCGCGATTCGATGGCTACAAGACAAGTGTTGCGAGTTCATTGAATCCGATCTTCTTGCATTTCGGTTGTGATAGTTTTCAACACGACTAACCGTGAATAACTATGACAGCCGAAATACAAGAAGATCAGCATGCAATGGACTCGTAACACTTGTCTGTAGCGATTGAATTGCGACGGTCATATCGCGTGAGCTCTGCCCGAGGTCTTAGCTTGTTTAATGGTTTTTTTTCTAACGATAAGATCACTACAATTTGAGTGCCAAGGGAACAAACTCCTTAGTAAAAATGCAACACACTTGATTAAATGGAGCTTTTGATTAACGGAACAGTGCGCCTTCTTGACTGGTACATGTTGTGCAAAAATATGGTTTTGGCTTTTCGGCGTGATTTTTTGAACTTTACCGAACCAATATGGCAAAGGAATGTTGATTTTTGAGTTGACCCTGTTATTAATGACCCGTCACCGAAAACATCGCACACATTCGTAGAAGGTCGGAAAGATCAGAGTGATCGGTGCCGACAACGCGTGCTGGCAGTTCAAAGTACGCGCAGCCACGCTTGGCCGCGCTTGTGTTCCGAAGTTGATAACGTCTCTCGTCAAAAGATCGCACACTCTTTTACTTTCACGTTCCAGAACTTGTTGCGACTCTTACGCTGATGCTTCGATTTGAATTACGCATAGCAGGTGTTTGCAGGAATGCGCCAAAATGCAGGAGGTGAGAAGTGCATTTCCACCACGGTTTTATCTTTTTTTCTGTTTACATTTGTGTTTGCATAATCGTACATCTCTAGATTTCGCATCTCTAACTTTTATTTAGTAAGCATACACTGTCTGGAGATGATTATCAGTTCCTGCAAAAGAGTGTCATACCCACATATCACTTCCAGAAGAGTCTTCGCCGACTGCCCATTCCAAAACTAACGGATTCTTGTAACAGGTTATAGATCCAATACGTTGAGCGATTTTTCACAATGTATATTTCAGATTTTTGGCATCAGCGAAAGTTGTCTTATCGGAAGCCGATTACAAACGCACCGAAGAGGTCGTGCGTTCTTTCGAGAAAACTGAGGGACCAGGTTGGTGAAGAGGAGCCTATTTTATTGACTCTGTAGTCATAACGTAGTACTACCTGTAATTTGTGAATTGTTCACTCCTTTTTTTCATCGTGCTGCAGCCAACAAAAATGGCTTGCTGAACATCTGTTTCTGCTTGAAACAAACAAATAATCCTGTTATTCTACACTTAGAAGAGTGAACTTCAACGGATAATGAACCAGATTTGCATATTGAAGTTTAGAAGCTAAAGAAAACCTTCCGCATCTGTTTCAGAATGGCCCGTATCTATTTTTTTTTCAGAATTACAAAAAGCGCTTCTTGATTATGACCGTAATCACAAAGACACTAGCTACATATGTGAACCATGGTTCGATATGTATCTGAAATCGCGACTTCCATTACCAGTCAACTATAATCCATTCATGATGTATGCACCGGACCCTAACACACGATTTAATCACCAGGTGAACTATGTTAGAATAAGCTTTGACTTGCGTTTTTTAACCTTATGTTGTAAGTTTTCATTTTGAACGTCATACTTTGAAGCTTTCACGTGCGACAAACTTCGCTGTGTCGTTTGCTCGATTCAAACGTGCCCTTGAGAAGAATATACTAGCGCCGGAAGTTTTCCACCTAAACCCGAAAAAGAGCGACACCAAGCTGTTTCGAAATGTATGCAAGTGGGTATTCTTACGCGCGTTGTTCTCCTGCCATCCTTTCTATACTTCTATATCTATGCAGAACCTTACCGCCTACCTTATCGTGGTTTGGTGCAGTTGCCTTCAAGGCATTTCCTCTCGATATGAGTCAGTACAAATCAACGTTTAATGGTACTCGGATACCCAAAAAAGGGAAGGATGTATTACATCAGGTGTGTGCTTGTCTATACGTAGTCGCTGTCATAATTGCTTTTGACATATTTCTTCACAATTTTGTGCTTTCACACATCTCTGGCAATCTTAACAGTGATCGTCTTTGATTGAGTTTTTTTTTGTTTCATTCTATAGCAAGGGGCTAGAGTGCAACTTCGTAGCAAACTTGAGTTGGGTGTCTTGCTGGATCATACATATAACAGAAAGTCTATTTGGATTCATCGTTTCAGGACGAAACGCAAAAGCACTTCATGGTTCTCTACCGTGGCAAAATTTACGCTGTCGATATTTTTGATGATAAAGGTAGTATTTTTCTAGAGTGTTCATTTTGCGAAAAGCGTAGTTCAGGTGAAATTTTGCCAGCAGAAGATGTACACAATTCTCTGGCGTATATTCTCGAAACAGGAGCGCGTCAAGAGGCTGATAAATGTGTTGGTACGTTTGTGATCTTTCCAGAAGTTATCTGTTTTATCACTCGTCTGCTGCGGGCCTAGTTCATTAGTCACAGCGAACTTTTCTTAGGTGCCCTGACTAGCCTGAACCGTGACGAATGGGCAAGTGCACGTGAAGAACTCTTAGAAGCTGGCAACGCTGAGAAGCTTCGCTCTATCGACGGTGCCCTGTTCACTTTGTGCCTAGATGATCTAAAATCCCAAGATCCTACAAGGTCGGCCCTCAGATATCGTTTTATCTGGCCTTATACTTTAACCTTCTTTTTGCCTTTCTACTCAGTGCACTAGAATAATTTTTTAGGCTTGTTCAGTCCCTCTTAATCGGAGACGATGCCAGTAATCGGTGGTTTGACAAAAGTTTTCAGCTTATCATGGATGGTAAGTATAGTCGTAGTTGATTATCTGGCATCGGTCTCGTGTTTCGCCTTAGTGATATCGAAATGGGCGTTTTCGTTTTCCAGGAAATGGTCAAGCTACGATCAACTTCGAGCACTCATGGGGAGACGGTGTTGCAGTACTTCGTCTCATGGAAGAGTCCTACAAGTAAATCTTTTGGTTGTGTGTTCTGTTTCCTGTATTCGGCATGCTTTCTTCAGAGATACGAATCTGCACCACTTTGTTACGCCTGACACAAAGACTAAAACAGCGAATAAAGCAATGGTTAGGGAAATCGGTATGTTTGCTTATCCATTTTTACCTTCGAAGCTTGTGCATGATGAAGATCTGCTTTTATCCTGGAAACTGGATCTTTCATCTCAAATAATTGCAGAGATGAATCTGACGCCTTCGCTGCGGTCGAAGATAGAAAACGCCAAGAAAGTACACTTGGAGAGTAATAGTATGTTAGATTTTGCTACTGTGGAGTATGCAGGCCTGAACAAGAATGCAATCAAGAAGTCGAAACTTTCTCCTGACTCTATTATGCAGCTCGGCATTCAAGTATAAATGTTTATCTTTTCACGCTTTGGTGCATAATTTTCAGTCAGCAATTTTTCAGATGGCATTTTATTCACTATACGGCGATTTCGTGCCAACTTATGAGTCTTGCTCTACGGCAGCTTTCCTAAAGGGGAGGACAGAATGCATGCGGTAAGGACTTGGCAAATGAGGGGCTTTATTAAGTCCCTAATTTTGTCTTTATCTTCACTATAAGTGCATACTTACAAGTCACAAATATTGTCATCTTTTTGGGTTTTACTTTACTTTTTAACTTGTTGAAGTGTGGGTTTCTTTGTCTAGTCGCACTAAGCATTTTCATGCTTCGCAGATCATTCTTTTTGGTTTACCACCGTTGAACACTATTTCAGCTCCGCAACTGCCGCGACAAGAGAAGCAACATTAGCATTGCTTTCAGGTAAGAGTGTGAAAGCGCCAGAATTGTTGCTGCAGTGTTCGAATACACACACTCAACTAGTAAAGGAAGCTTCCATGGGTAGGTGTTTTTTCAGCTAATCTACCTATAGCATTTACACTTTTTTTCATAGCTTCAGTATTAACCTTATCAATAGTTGCTCATTATGTGCAGCAAAGCTTTTTGGTTTTGCTTACATGTACTATGTCAGCGTCAATTGGTTAAGCCTTCACAAATACTATTCTAGCAGATATTTGAAGAAGTAGAGATAGTTTAGCGCAACATCCCTTGTGCTGTTCGGCTGCGTTATTATCTAGACTTATTCTGAGTTTTCTTCCTCCCCTTCTGGCCTTTCTTCTCACACTCTTTATTGCTAGTCTTCTGGGACTATTTATGTAAATGGCGGTGTAGGTATATCAGATCCTAAATGAAATCACACCAAAAAGCTTTTGGTCATCATTTGCTCTTTCAAATCTGATTATAGGGCAAGGATTCGATAGGCATTTACTAGGTCTGAAGATCACAGCGGAACGTCTTGGAAAGCCGATGCCAGCTCTTTTTGAGGTTAGATTAATGACTGCTGTTGAGAAAGTTGAAGCATGCCGAATCGTTTAGGATCCTGGTTTCAATCGTATGAGTCATTTTGTGCTCTCTACAAGTACTCTTTCAACGAACACGATCGTCTTTGGTGGTAGTGACATGTCTTTCTTGTTCTGTGCGTACATTGTGTACTCGCTTATCGACTTAGGTTTCGGCCCTGTTGTGGAGGACGGCCTCGGTATCGGGTACAACGTGTCATCGACCCAAGTAGGCGCTGTTATCACGAGCCATAAGGTGTGTTTCCTCTTTGGCAGGCTCCTTGTTCTTGCAGTGGCTGGTCTATTTTCACCATGTTCTTTCTCAATCTATGAATTCAGAAAAATCGCGATGCAAAGGACTTCGCCAAGGCTCTAGAGAAAAGCTTGGATACTTTGAAGAACATTGTGAGCAAAAACGACGCAGCTCTTCACTTATAGTACCGATAAGTATAGTTGCTCAGGTTGAACAGGTTCCACCGTCTTTACAACAGGTTATGTTTGATAACAATGTGATAGTTTTACAAAGTGCCTGCAATGCTTCCATTACCGTTTCCATTTTCTCATGATAGGCAAATATCCGTATATCCATGAATGATTTTTTGTTGTTTTACGGTTCTGATGTCACATTTTGCTATAAATTTTTCCATCAACGCCCAATTTTTTGCACACTGGATTTTCCCTGAATGCTAGAATAAAGGAGGAGTAGTATAATAAACTATCAAACATATGGATTTAGAAATCGTGTCAGACCTAAGTTATCCTAATAGCTGCAGCGTTGTGAGTGTTTCTATTCTTGTCCCCATTGTATGAAGTGTGAGACTCTCAGAAAAATTTGAAAACACTCCAAATTAAGAATTCTAATTTCTGCCTTGTTGGTAAAGATATCCCTTTCAAAATGAATTCCGAATGTTCTAGCTCTGCAGCCGATTGTTTAAGTGTCTTCTCTATATAGAACGAATTTGTTGCGCTGAACTCTGTTCAGCAGTCAAAATCATCAAGAGCTCTCATTCGTAGGAAGTGAGAAGTTGACGAAATGTTTTCACTTCTTATTCAATCTTATTTACTGTTGGAACGATTGACTTGTTTGTGGAGAATCATTCAATTTATTGTGGTTAGTCAAAGCCTTGACGTGGAGCTAAGATGAAGCCAAGATAAATAGCTTTCTGGGAAGCTATCTGTTCTTTTTTGGTGTTTTTTTTCATGTAAATTTTTCTACATGTTCGCGACGTACTCTTGGCCTTTGCATGTTGCGACTAAGCCAAGGGGGAACTGATAATTGCTATATAAAATTGCTAGCGAGTATTAGTTAGAAACTTGTTGTTGCTAGCTTGTCTGCACGTCTTGCTCATTTCAGTCGCATAGTCCTGTGATTTCTTCGTATTATAAAATGTTCTCTCATTCTGATCTTGATACCTGATAACGCTTCAGCTCTGCATGAATTTACTCCCTTGAACATGGGAGAACATGGTGACAATCGTCCTGATATGGTAGAAGCCGCTAAGAAGTTCATGCTAACCCCGAAAGTTCGCGACACTCCTTTTGAGGAACAGCGGCAGTTTCTCCTTGGCAAAGGTTTGTGGAACTGTGGTTCTGTGATTACTGATAGCACTCTTTCAGGAGTGACAGAAGCTGAAATCGCTGAGGCGAGGGCGTCGATACCTGCAAGAGATTTAAACACTAGCAGTGCTGTTCATTACGACGTATATCAACCTCCGCAACAGAGCAGGTCCATTTGTCAGCCTTTTACTTCTTTTACTTTGTGCTCGACTTCCTCGATCTAGATTGGCTTCGTTTGCACAGTCAGTTGCTGTGATTGGATGTGTGTCTTATGCTGGTTACCGTTTTCTCCGTTCTTTTGTTCTGCCGCGGTTCTTTGACATTCCTGATCCAGCAACTGAGGAAGTGCGCCAGCTTCAGGTAAGGTTTTTCGTATCGTTTCCATGTCATCCATTTTGCGGTTCTTCGTGAAAGACGACAGGGCAAATATTTTAGGGGCAAGTTAATGAACTACAAAACTCAATCAAGTTCGTTCTGGACAGTGTTTCTCAAACCACGTCCATGTTAGCGGCACAACAGCAAGAGATCAGCAAAGCTCTGTTATCTGTCAGTCAACGGGATACAGACATCAGTAAAGTGGAGGTACATAGCTCTCTCTAACTTTCATTATGCCATCTTTTCCTACACTTCAAATGTTAATTTAGACCGGTATATCTACGATAAAGAGCTTGCTGCTGAGCCACAACAATTTCGCACCTATTCTTGCCCCGACAGCTACGTCCGCAAAGCTACCAAGCTGGCAACAAGTATGTGAAATATCTCTTTTCAAACTTACTGCAAGCGCAGATTGATGTTTCTGCGGCTGCTTCAGGCAGAGTCATCATTGTCGGCTCCTGCAACAACGTCGGGTTACACGACACCCCCCGCAAACTTCAGAGAGACTTTGGACGAACCTGAAAGCGATGAAGTTCTCGATCACGACCAAGTTTGAATATTCGACGTCTTCTGGAGGCTTCATTGAATTTTGCCTATCACTTCTATGAGTTTTCGACTGTGATTTCTGTTCTTCACTTCAGAGTTCATTGCTCATTTGTTCACTTATTTTCTGTTTTTCTTGCCCATGGTTGTGCCTCATTGCTCGCCTACGACAGAGATATAAATAAATTTAAATGTTTTTGTGATGCTCTCAGTGGTTTAATTCCTATCCACTTTCGTTGAATAATGCAAGACAGATGTTGAAATGCCCTGACAACGACAGCTCAGTAGGTGCGCTTTGGACCTGCCTGCGAAGTCTTTTATCATTTCGTTAGAAGCAGAACTTATAAACTGAATCTATCACAAAACGCATCGGCGAGATCTTGTGAAAATCTTGTTATCTCTAGCGCTGCATTTTTTGGTTAGTATCATAATTTGATTCTATTAAGTTCACTTCCGTTCTCTTCTCTGTGTACCGTTTTTGACATTTGCAAATTCCATGCGATTTCGACACAGTGATTCTCAAAAGAAATCTGATGCATCATGTTTTTGAGAAATTGACGAGTCGGATATGGAAATAGAGTGTGTCTCTGACCTCCGTGACATCGGTCAATCTTCTTTTCTTGATGATCCCTCTAATCCATAGCTTTCTAAGCTCTGATGCCGACGCCAGTAAGAAATCTCAGAAGAATTTGTTATCCTCGTTATGCTGAAGTTACCTGGGTTAGATGTTTCTGGAAAATCTTAAGAAAATTTATCTTTTCTGCATGTCTCGAAGTGATCCATATAATTCACCTTGTTCGAATCTTCTTAACCGTATGCAGCTTGTTATTGGTAAAATTTCTTAGACTGAGGTAGATACATAGTGGTCTCATAGGTGTACCGTGGAGCACTTCTCCAAAGGTGCTTAGTAGAGAGGTCCATTCAGATCTATAACTGCATAATGATTGCCAAGAAAAAAATTTATTACACTATTGTATACAAGGTGTCTCAAAAAGTGTGCCTACTGTTTATTTGTTAATAACTCTGTTGTAATGAAGTCTTTCTAGAAGCTTTAGGTACCATTTTGTAGAGCTGGCTTCAACTTAGATTTACAGCATAGAACGAATCACCCACCTTTCATCATCGTAGGATTACGGTAGAAACTTCAAAGAAGGTTTTGAGCCATGAAAGACCGTATCTTGCATCAGAAAGGAAAAAGAAGAGCTTGAAAACTTTCAGACTGGGCTGATTAGAGTTGCTGATTCTAGTGAAGTTCGCAATCTATCATGCTTCATCAAAAAGTTATGTGAGGTAAGCAGTAGCGACCGTTTTTGAAGTTTCTGAAAAGCGCGGTTACAATTTTTAGAAAGGTTCGCAATCTTGTATATAATTGAGTATTGAACTCAGCTTCCACGAAAACCCTATAATACAAGTTTTCACTTTTTTTGAAAATTTTTGAAACGGCAGTTTTTTTTTTCACAATGATATCTTGTACTTGAAGTTTCTACCGTAATCCTATATTGTAAATCTAAGTCGAAGCCAGCTCTACAAAACGGTACTCAAAGCTTCTTGAAAGACTTCATTACAAGAGAGTTATCAACAAAACAGTAGGCACAATTTGGATAAATAAATTTATATAATGAACCCTATATACAACCCAACGCGTTGGAACTCTTACCATTTCCTTTGATAACGAAACGTTTTGCGGAACTTTTGAAACATCTCAGTCATTAGCAAAATCTGATTGTTGCACTTCCAATTTTCAAAACATTTGTTATGTTGAGGGTGATGATACAGGACCTTGTCCGAGGCACGGAACATATCAAGCTATAAGGCTTATCCGCATTTTCTATTCGAAAGTAAAAAAAGCTCACATGCTTTTGCTCTTCCAATGAATGCGTCCTGCAGTAGGCTACATGGAGCTATACAGGGTGTCCCAAAAGTAAGGACACACTTTTCAATCGCTAATATCTCACTTCCCAATGGGTCTTTTTTGGCCAGTCAAGCACCATTTTGTAGAGGAGGCTTTAACTTAGATTTACAGTATTGAGCGAATGACAGGTCGCTGTTCGTTACTGTAGGATTACTGTAAGAACTTCCAGCATGTGGAACCATCGTGAAATATGCCATCTGACAAAATTTTCTCAAAAAATCTGAAAATTCGTGTACAAGGGTTTTCGCGCACGTTGATTCCACTACACGACTTTTTACGAGCGTTTTCAGCTGTTTTGACGGTGTAATCACATTCCTGACAAATACTGGGAATTCGGTTATTACGGTTTACCGGACGTAACTTCGGGAAGAAGTATCGGAGTAAAGTGGAAATTACATATTCGAAATCAGCGGCTTCCGTTGGCCTAGTATAAGAATTTTTGGCTTGTTTGGTTTTGTTTCGAGGCAGAATATGGCTTCCAATGCTCTGAAATCCTTGTTGAAGTTCTCACAGTAATCCTACAGTAACGAACAGCGACCTGTCATTCGCTCGATACTGTAAATCTAAGTTAAAGCCTCCTCTACAAAATGGTGCTTGACTGGCCAAAAAAGACCCATTGGGAAGTGAGATATTAGCGATTGAAAAGTGTGTCCTTACTTTTGGGACACCCTGTATAGCTCCATGTAGCCTACTGCAGGACGCATTCATTGGAAGAGCAAAAGCATGTGAGCTTTTTTTACTTTCGAATAGAAAATGCGGATAAGCCTTATAGCTTGATATGTTCCGTGCCTCGGACAAGGTCCTGTATCATCACCCTCAACATAACAAATGTTTTGAAAATTGGAAGTGCAACAATCAGATTTTGCTAATGACTGAGATGTTTCAAAAGTTCCGCAAAACGTTTCGTTATCAAAGGAAATGGTAAGAGTTCCAACGCGTTGGGTTGTATATAGGGTTCATTATATAAATTTATTTATCCAAATTGTGCCTACTGTTTTGTTGATAACTCTCTTGTAATGAAGTCTTTCAAGAAGCTTTGAGTATATGCCGAGTGGAAAGGGATCAAACTTACGGAAGTTCTGAGTGTATAAGGCTTGGCATGACGAGCCTTTTGTGGATTATCCGAACTTAGCAGCGGTCCCAAAATTACTGAGTTGTTAATAAGTTTATATCAGAATTTTTTTCAAGAATGGGTACTTCGCTTTCTAAGCTGTATCGTATGGAACGATTCAATGAAGCTCAAAGAGTTGCAGTCTTTCGCATTCTATATTTTACCGCCTAATCCTTTTGTTTGAAAAAGATCCGTGCTGATCGAATGTTCCTACTAAGTTACGATGTTCGGGTTTTTCTCGCTTCGGCTTTGTTTTTAAGAAGTTCTCTGATATGTATGGTAAAATAAGTCACTTGTTATCTGAAAAATACTTATAATCGAGATAAGTTTCGAAATTTCTAAACGAGTACGAAAATCTATTTGGTATTTTGTCAAATATTTTCCAAGCTTATGACCCTTAAAGTATTGGAAAGAACAAAAGCTACGCCCGGGAAAGTTTTTTGTCAGAAAATTTGGATTTTTGGTTTGAATCTAGCTGATCTAGAAGTAGAAAGATCACTTGCACAAATCAGCATTTGTGTATACTTCAAATATGCGGACCACTCTCCTCTCCTCCCCTACCGATCCGCCACTGCCTGAAGTATTTACACTCGTCGTTAAGACTAAAATCTTTTTTCTCTCCATATCCTAATTCGTGATACTGCTTCAAGTGAATCTTAACCTATACAGGAGTATGAGTATCGGTCGACTTCGGCCTCTGCAGCGGCTTTTTCAAGCGCGATGTTTCGCTTCGGACAACTCGGATTCTCGCAGAGGGGACACCGGTACTGACCATGTAATCAAAAAAACATATATTTTAAAAGTATCTGTATTGTTTTAGGTGCCCTTGATAGTTTTCATATGACTCCGCTTGGAGATTCAGATGTACCACAACGAAGTAGAATAAGCTTTCTATCGACAGAAATGACGGAAGCCAAACAAGTCGGAGTGCGAGGGCTCTCATGCTATGGATTTCGCCTGCTGGATGGCACTTTCTTGTGCGTCTGCGAACTTTTCTCTATCTCGAACAAAAATTGAATGTTCACTCTGATAGGGTTGATTCATGTTTTGAGGCATATTTATATGGCACCGGATATCTCGTAACAGGCAATCAAAAACTGCGAAATTTATTTTGTTGAAGGACCAATTGGGATAGTGCAATTTATTGGTCCCATTCAAAATCGTGGATGAACATGCTTGAGTCTATAGTTTTTCCGTCCTACCACTTCTACATGTCACTCCCACCTCTAAGTTTTGTGATCAGCACGCTCATTTACTCTCCCCCCCCCCCCGTGATAACCGCAACTGAATAAATCGTAATTGAAACTTCCAAAAGCTAATGCTTTATTCAATACAGGCTCAACCGCCCTCTGTGCCAGCTTCCAGCCTCGTAGCTACAAGAATAATCTTCAAAATTGATATCGAGCGATATTATTGAAAGTAGCTTACCAACCCGCCTCCCTGTATGTGTGCTAAGTTTGGTCATCGGCCCACAAGGAAAATTTTTATTTTGCACATACGTACAGACAGATACGCAGACATTCGGTTTAATGTATAGGCAACTAGCTGGCTTACCCGGCTCCGCCGTATCCGGACCAAACTTGGCACACATACAGTTCGGGTCCCGGCGGGTGTCACAGTCCACTTTTCGTTATCGATCGATGTCGATTTTACCGATTTTTATCGATTTTTTTGCAGAGTTCACCTACAGGGCTAGGAGTTGGCACAGGGGGGGGGGGGAAGTGAGCATGGGGATTCCGGATACAACATTAGTTTTCAGGATCGTCCATTACTTTTATCGATTTTATCGATTTTTTTTTGTAAAGTTTGACCTGCGGGGCTGGGAGTTTGCACAGGGGGGTAATCGAGCATGCTGATTACGAACACAATATTAGTTTTCAGGATCGTCCATTACTTTTATCGATTTTATCGATTTTTTTTGTAAAGTTCGACCTGCGGGGCTGGGAGTTTGCACAGGGGGGTAATCGAGCATGCAGATTACGAACACAATATTAGTTTCCAGGATCGTCCATTACTTTTTCGATTTTATCAATTTTTTGAAAATTTGAGCTAGGGGGCTGGAATTTGGCACAGGAGTGTAATCGAGCATGCTGATCACCCCCTTGGGGGTGATCAGCATGCTCGATTACCCCCCTGTGCCAACTCCCAGCCCCCTAGCTCAAACTTTGCAAAAAATCGATAAAATCGATAAAAGTAATCGATAATCCCGAAAACCAATATTGTATTCGGAATCCCCATGCTCGATTAACCCCCTGTGCGAACTCCCAGCCCCGTAGCTCAAACTTTGCAAAAAAATCGATAAAATCGATAAAAGTAATCGATAATCCTGAAAACCAATATTGTATTCGGAATCCCCATGCTCGATTACCCCCCTGTGCCAACTCCCAGCCCCCTAGCTCAAACTTTGCAAAAAATCGATAAAATCGATAAAAGTAATCGATAATCCCGAAAACCAATATTGTATTCGGAATCCCCATGCTCGATTAACCCCCTGTGCGAACTCCCAGCCCCGTAGCTCAAACTTTGCAAAAAAATCGATAAAATCGATAAAAGTAATCGATAATCCTGAAAACCAATATTGTATTCGGAATCCCCATGCTCGATTACCCCCCTGTGCCAACTCCCAGCCCCGTAGGTGAACTCAGCAAAAAAATCGATAAAAATCGATAATCGATATCGATCGATGACGAAAAGTAGCCTATGACACCCGCCGGGGCCCGAAGTGTATGTGTGCCAAGTTTGGTCCGGATCGGTTCAGAAATGGAATTTTCTATTCGGAACATACGTACACACAGACATACATACAGACAGACAGACAGACAGACATACAGACAAACAGACATTCAGCTTTATATATAAGATGGGAGGGAGTGAAAATTATGGAAAAACTCAAGTAGATATCACTGGTAGAAGGTCTGTTTTTTCTATATGTCCGTCTTTGCAACGTGAGAATTGTAGGTGCAAATTGATTGCCTAAAATTTGCTCAAAGCCTCAGTTCCAGGAACCTGGAAATGCTTTTTTTTTTCGGCTAACTTCTCCTTCATTTTCTCTCTCATTTATTGATTTACCTTTATCTTTCGACGCTTCGACTACAACCAAGTGAAAGAGTGGGGGCAATTTCCGTAGAATCCGAAGCTTTTGCTGCCCTCGACTGGATGATGGAGTTCACGTTATCAGGCGGGAATGTTACCCTCTCTTGGGCAACACTGTATGCAACTATGAGATTGCAATGACAGTGACATAAAAAGAGAAATTCTTCGAGAATTTTGGTGCATTTTCCATTTTGTATTTTACGAGATACATAGCTGTGGTGCACTGCCTGCACCTGCCGAAAACGACTTTTGCGATCGCCACTGAGCTCCCTACTTGCAAGCATTTTTTTCCACATATAGTTTAAATGGACAAACTTGTTGAACGCTCCAACTTGATAAAAAATATCTGAAACTTAGTATGGTGGATTTGCTTTATTATTTTTGTTTAGATATGGACCAGTGGCGCTGTTTCCAAAATCTGTTTTGTCTTGGCGTGTACACACACCCGCGGACATCACTCCTCGTTCTCTCAGTCTGTTCGCAATGCTGGAACCAAAGATTGACATCCTCGTTATTGGAGCTGGTGATAAGAAAAATATTGACAAGTAGGTCCAGTGTTTTTTATCAGCATCGTAGTTGAGATTGACATTCGTCAATATTAAAAAGACTCTTGCTTTCGGACGTCAACTATCTCAAACAGCAGTGGGGCCTCAGAAAGTTTTATTTGTTGCGGAAGGGTAGGTCAGGAGTTTTTCTGAATGAGGGGAAAGGCGTCAGCCACACCTTGCGGAAGTCATTCTTAGCAAGTTTCTCAGGAGCTTCATTGGTTCGCAACCCGGGAATTTCAAACTAAGGTCTCGGCGGGAGTTAGAATCTTGAAAGAAACTCTTCAGAAACTTCCCATTTTCCAAGCTAATTTAAGTCTCCATGTTGTAGAACCTTTTCAAAATGAAGCAAGCCTGTCTAGAAATTTTAATGTGTTAACCCGGGTTTAAAATTTCCAGAACCCATCTGGAAATGTAAAAAGGGCAGGTTTTGGTAGTAGAAAACTACTAATTGGTCTTGACTCAAAAATTGTAGCCTCGAAAATGTCGCAGAATGAGTTTTGCTTGTGCTTTATTACATTGTTCAGAGTGCGGTCACAAGTCGTTGGATTCCTTCGTGAGCATCATATCGGCCTTGAAATTTCAGACACTGTAAGTTGGTATTTTCCCTGTGGTCGCCGATTTATTTCTAACCATGGTTCTGGCTTATCCCTGAGATTTTGACTTCAGGAAGATGCTATTGCTACATTTAACTTCCTGAATGCCGAAGGTCGCTATGTTGCAGCTGCATTGTATCCTCCTGATGATATGGTAACACCACTCTGTTAGCGGTGAAAAAAATGTTTAGAACCAAGCTTCCAGGTTGTAACAGATGCCGAATATGGCAGAGTGATGAATCTGCTGAAGGGTTGGGACACACTCGATGAGCATCCTCTACTCATGGGGTTGAACGACTCTATCAATCAAACCGAAGATCTCGTCAAAAAGCTATGGAGCGGCAAAGGTGACTACAAGGCCGTTCGCGATAGGGTACGGTAGTCACTGGAGTTTCAGTTTCGCTAATATCTGCTTTTCTTATTAGATCCTCGCTTCTCCTGAAGAACGTGAAGCTATGTATCTTGAAGCTGTCGAGAAGAAGAAACAGAAGAAATTACTGGGCAAGCCTGAGAAAAATAAGTCTGAGGACAAGGACAAGTGATTTGATTGCATGTAAATATTTTTGAAATGCATAAATATGTAGAATAGGGACGAAACCATCATTCGAAGATGTTCATAGTGCTGATTGAAGCACAAGTTCATCGTCTTGGAGAAAAATCTTGGTAACTTACCTGTAAAATTATTCGCTTTTTCGAATTATATGGAAAGTTGCAGTTTTCGGGGTGGCGAGCAAGAGGAACGATAGCTTGTGGGTGTCAATAACTAGCGCATCTTTTAACGTCATTTTTGTCCAGCAGCACGCAGAAATCTACAGAATTTCCTCCTATTATACTTTCATATGAACAGGGGAATGAGATAGGTTCTGTTTGCTTGAAAATGAGATTTGAAAATAAATTCTAAATACCAAAAAAGGGTTTCAACGGTGAAACTTCAAGTATTTCAAGTATTTCTTGCAGTAACATTACCAAACTGCACTTATCAATGGGCTCTGAGCAGAACTCATCGAGTAAAGCATTTACTCCAATTTTACTCAAGTTTATAAGTCTGAAATCTGCGCATTTTGAGGCAAATATTGCATTGGGGGTGAGGTGCAAGAGGAACGATAACAATTGCTAGCCGCTGCTGCCAATGTAACATTTGCCTCAGACTGCGCTGATTTCAGAATTACAAATTTGAGTAAAGTTGGAATAAATGCTTGACTCATGAGTTCTGCTCAGTGCCTAGTGGTATGTGCAACTCGGTGATGTTCCTGCAGGAATAAGCTTGAAATACTTGAAGTTTCACTTTTGAAACCCTTTTTTCATATTTATGACTTATTTTCACATCTCACTTCCAAGCAAACAGAATCTATATCATTCACCTGTTCAAATGAAAGTGTAATAGGAAAAAGTGCTCTAGATTTCTGCGCGCTGATGGACAAAATGCCGGTAAAAGATGCGCGAATTATTGACACCCACCAGCTATCGTTCCTCTTGCTCGCCACCCTTGCATTGGCAGCAGCGGATGGCAATTGCTATCGTTCCTCTTGCACCACACCCGCAGCTTTCGGTACATACATGTCTGAAAAATCCAACTTTTGAATTTTCAAATTTTTCTCGAGGTTTTTGACAAGTTTCTACCTTGCGTTATTGAAGAAGAAAGCTTCAAATGCTGCTGCCTGTTGTGGATAATAAAAAGAAGTAAAAACAAAACAAATGTAGGTAATAGGTGCAACATTGTTGATTCGCATATCTCAAGCTTCTCTTCTGATCTCCTTTGATACCACAAGTTCGGAATACGTCGCATTGCATACTGAGTAACTTACCGTAGGCAAAAAGCTATGGAATCTGACTTGCCATATCCTCGGCACATTCAACTATCACAGTGCCTCGGCGAGCTGAGTCAGGCGGAGTCCTTAATTACTGAATTTGCCCACTCTGGAATTATGGTGATGGGACGCGGATTTTGGTGAACTTCGGTGGAGCTTGGTGATTTTTTTTTTTGACGAATAAGCAATATTTATGAGTAACACTCCAAAAATCGCGTGTTCTGCTCATTAATGCCTCCGAAGAATTTGCCAAAATCCTATGATATAGGCTAGCTCAATGGATAACGTCTTAATATGAGTCAGTCGCAACGAGGAAAGATTGTGGGACTGTCTCCCAGTCTTATATAAAAAAAAATCGATCATCTCCTGCTCGTGAAGATGGAGTCTAATTTTTTGTAGAGTTCTTTGCAGAGGTGCTGTTATCCAAAAATGTTCTTCTCTTTACTCTCATGCTTGAAGGCAGCGTACACCCAAAATGCACCATGCTCAGACGACCATATATTGTATGAGTATGCCCTAGAAGAAAACCAACTGCGTTGGTCCGGTCCTCTGATGTTATTTCCGAAAGGAGAAAATGAACCCGTAAAATACTTTAGCGGTCCTCCCCCTTATTTGCGCCCTACGCCCATCAACGGACGACTTTCTGAAGCGTTCTGATGTGGAAAGCACATTAGAGGCTCTCATTATGCGACTATATTCCTACTGCATACGGCGACATTTGCTGTTGCATGCTACGGGAAGAACGCCGGAATACTCGTCCACGCCCGTCAAGTCAAAATTCCAGAAAAGTTTTTTGGAGTTTTCACGTAACTTGCACCCCATATTCAGTATCAGAGCCATGGAATCGCCTATAAAACGATAAAAACATCGAATGTGCGCCTCTAATAAAGAGGTTTGCTCGTTCTTTGACCCCTCTCTTGTACAATTCAGAGCGCAAGTCTTCTAAAAGGAAGGGAAACGAACTTGGTTGCCCTACCATCGGTGTATGCTTATTAGCCACTTTGGTGGTGAATGTTTTGAGGGAAATAGGTTTGGTTTTGTTGTTTCATACACAGTGCGTTATTCCAGGGTGCCATTTCGAGTGTTCTGCAAGGTGTCGGTGGCATCTCATTACGTTGCGCAACCTATCGAGGTTCATGTTCTTGATCCCTCTTAGGTCATTCTTTCTTGTGAAAGAGATGTTGTCGCATCAAGGCTTTGTCGGCTTGTAGTATTTTCAGAATTATCAAGCTTGAATTATACATAAAGTTAGCAAATCCAAAGGCGTATATTTAGGTGGGGAAGAGTTTTCTAGTCGTCATTCAAGGATCAACATTTATTAACAACATTGATTTGATAAAGTGAGACCAGAATAAGTGACAATGGTGTCTATGTACAATATCAGGAGAAAAAACTACTGCTTAGCCGAGTTGCTTTGCCATGCTGGCTGAGGGTATGCTGGACTTGTGAAAGGCGTATTTTCCGTTGTAGAAGGATAGCTTTCGTTTCCCAATATCGATGACAAGTAGGTAATGTATCTGCAATGACATTATTTTTGACAAAAATCACAAGCAGGTATCAAACTCACCCTTGAGCGACTCGCAATGTTTCAATTTTCGTCAGCTTTGGCTCATCGGGTACTACAGGAAGAATCGTCCTCAGATGTTCCAATGCATCGTTTAGATTGTTCATGCGACGTCGTTCACGAGCATTTGCCTATAAAGTAGAAAAATTTGCTATGCAGAAAAGCACTTGGATACCTGGAGGCATGAACATGATTTTCCTGTTCTTACCTTATCTCGTCGTATCATGCGAGCTCTTTCAATCGTGGCCGGACTCCTTTTACGGCAACGGTACTTCCTCTTCTCTCTCTTGACCTGCAAAGAACAAATTGAAGTGCAAGTTGAGACGCCAAGACGATTTCTCTATTTTCACAGTATGGACCTAGCCTGATTCTATTAGGTTGGGGGGAAAGGAATGTCGCTTTTTTTTCAAGTTCTTTTTCCCAGTTGATATATATCAGAAGCTAGAGCACCTTTTACGGTTGTAGTTTCAAGGGTTTGCAGCACACACTTCTTATGTGGGAGAAACTTCAGGCTAGTAGGGGCGAAGTTTGCCATTTTCGACTTTCTATATTTTTTTGAATGATAACTACGAAATAATAAGCAAATGTGTATATGAAGTGCTCCTGCTCGGCGTAAGGCATGGGAATATGCTTTTTGGAGAAGTTTTTTTTCAAGAAGAAGGAGTACTTGAAAATTCAAATCCAGGGCTCCATGAAACGCGCTGTTACATAATTGCGAACGACTGGGAACTTAGGTATATAAATTTGAAGACAAAGATAAGTTGAATTTACTCACACATTGTTCACTTTGTTGTTGTTGCTGATAGGGGTAAGCATTCGGATAGACTGGGGATTCCATCGGCGTTTGCATTGCACTTGACTGAAATGAAGATTACCTTGTGAGTGTTTACACTTATTTGTTTATTTACAAACATATCATATCAGTTTTTGCATGATCTGTAATAGAAAATTTCTTGTTAATTTGACAGCGACCATAACAACCTGATGGCTCACCTGTGCATCGGAGTCAGAGTAAGCATAATGAAAGGACGTGGGATAGGGCAACTGCATGATGGAATAGGTGATGAGACTGTCAGCACTCCCCGTCGTTGTCGGGGACCCCCGTGGCGAAGCGGGGGCGGATCCAGGTGTCAGCGGGGCGGCGCTTGATTGGATTAAGCGCATTACCGTAGTCAAGACGTAAATGAGGACCAACAAATGTTACCGTTGAGCTCATTGCGTCATCGGTTCTCGGGGTCAGACACTAAAAAAATTTGTTTGTAGGAAACATACTATTTTCAAGCATGTTAATGAACAGATTTCTGCTCTTAAGAAGCAGACCAATCAAGTTTTCTCCCCAGAACTTTGTTGAATTTTGTGATCGTATTCGTTTTGTTCTCTTTTGATGAGACTAATATATTTTAGCATGGGATTTCGTTAACAGATGTGACATACTATGCAAAGCAATAGGCCACTCAAATGGTTCTGTTGTAAAATGAAAACTTTTTCAAGTTCGTTTTGAGTAATCGTACTCATTATTGGTGTAGAAGCATCTAAACCTTCCGACGAAAAAAGTTGTCAGAGATGGGATCGGAAAAGAAAATAAACACTCGGATTCCAACTTTGTTGAACAACTACAAATCGATAAAATCACATACAAAATATCCAGTACTACTATACTAACTTTACCAAAAAGGAAAAAGAACTTCTCAATTTCGGGAAAAATGAAAAATAATCAAGTTTGTTGCTCTATTGTAAACTTAGAAATTGTGACTCTTCCCAAAAAGCTCTTCACACACATTTTGCTCACTTATGAAGAGTAAAGTCAAAATATTATTGACAATTCCAGATTTTCTTCACTGTTTTCATTGTGGCGGCTCAATGCAATAAAATGGAAATATTTCTGACAGTTTTTTGAAAATACCTCAAAAGATAAGACATTGATTATCTCTGTTTGATAGAATTACTGTAAAGTAAATCATCAACGAATGAGGAAATTAGGATTCTTTTTGAAACTGAAAGGATGATTTTATAAAACATTTGACTCAAGATATAAAAAACTTGAAGTTCATATTCTTCAATGGCATTTGATCGTTTGTAATACAAATGCGAAACTGTAAGCAGAATCTGTAACTGCATTCAATTCGCTCACAGAAAAGGACCTAGTTTATACTTTCTTAATGTAGAAGCTGCAACTTCTCGCCTTCCTTCCGGAAATCCGCTGCTAGCCTCTATCTACTGATCTGGACCCATCTGTCGTCTCATTCGAGACCTCCATAAACGGTCACACTACGCACTTTGATTTACATGACCCATTCTCGCGCCCCATTGAGCACAGCATTCGCTGATTCGAATGGAATCGTGATCTCGATTCTAAATCTGAAGATCGAATTCTGAATCCGCTAAATCTTGTTTGGGACTATCACTGCAAGAAAATTACGTCCTTTAGTGGTGTCGTCTAGCAGTTAATCCTCTGGCTAATCGCACTATCCCCACCTGCCCGCTGGCCCACTGTAACTCGACGCGCTACGGTCAATCGTCTGTTATGCAATGCTTGTGTTCGTTGGGCAACCACGGCCAATTGCTACTGATTGTGGCCAATTCGGAGCATCTCCTAATGACTCGACATTAATTGGCTTATGTGCTGTAATGCACTGCATCAGCTTCCGTTTCAGCATGAGTTATGTCGAGGAGATGACGTCGAAAGAACATTCCATGAGAATCTAACGTAAAGATAAAGTAAATCACTCTGCACCGAGATTGACATCATGGAATCATAAAAACTAGAGGTAAAGACCACTTGAAGATGACATGTTTTGAGATGTTTCACAAAGTGTAAAAGCTTGAATTACTATAAAGTAAGGAAGGTTTGTAGAATGAGTGAAAATTTATATTTATAGCTGGCCCTGATCAAGAGAAATAGCTCGTAAAAGAAAGCTCTTTATCCAAATTTATTTTGTTTTTATCTATATCAATCCCCAGGGTCAACTATGACAGGACTGATGTATACTACGATACCGCTCATAATCCATCAAAAAAGAAGCTCACCGAAAATTGCGCCCATCGCCATATTCCTCAGAATTCACGACTTCTGAATCCAAGGGCAATGTTCACCTCAACTTACCTGCGCGTCTCCAATGTAAACCAGTATCTTTGTGGATACCGTAGGCGTTCCCCACGAATCTAATTTAATGCGTGCCCATAGAATATTACTCAATGTGTGATGAGTAAGCACACTGTACCATAGACAAAAACCAAAAAGATGCGTGAATTCTAACCGTCTGCCGTGTCCAAACGGGCACTTCTACATATCCGAAGATGCGCTTCGCTGAGCTCAGCGAACGGTGCCCTTCGGTTTAGAATTTATCTACTCTGAACCAAGATATGGCGGCGAATGCGAATTTCGTTAAACTCAAATGGATTCCGGCGACTTTCTTGACGGATTATGTGGTAACTGTAAGAGTTTCAATTTTTATTTCAAATTCTATTTTGACTTTCTTTTTCGAATTAGTCAACAACGTTACATTAGAGCAGACTCTAGTATTCACAAAGTGCATAACCAGTAATAATATACACATTCCGAAAACTCGACAAAAAGGTGTACCATATCAAGGATACTTTGAGACAATCTGCTTCATATTTTACCGTATGCAAAACACGAACACATTTGAGATAAAAGCTGAGGTGCACTGTTTATCAAAAGCGATCTATATGTTTCTTCGCGAGATATTATTACATGCAAAAGGATTTAACAATTAAGTATAAAGACACCGTGGTCCTTCTGCCGAAATTCATCAACGAGTGAAATTCCACATGATTTCGTCTGCTGAAGCTAAGAAATGCACTCGTTGTTCTACATGGTCAATACGCTCAGATATGAGCAATAGCTATTGTGGTTTCTGAAAAAACTTGATTCTTGCCAAAAGACAAGTGTTTCATTTGAACCCAGAATTTCTAAACGAGGCAATTTAGAAAGGCTGTTATTACACTCAGGACTCATCCGGCCTATACAATCTGCACTCCCTTCATTTCCAACCAAGGATCGAGAGACTCTTAAATCTCAACTTTGTTTGGAAGATTTTTGAGCGATTGCGAAGAAGCGCTTCTAGTTTTGAGACTAGAACACTTCCCAAAACAGAGGGTATAATCTAATGAACTTACTTCCCAGATACCCTGCTGAGCTGCGCAATGCCGACAAACACGGCTCATATGACACCAACTTTATGCTCAATACTATAGTTTGCGGTGACAAAAGGGTCATTTGACCGACAAGACTCACAACTAGCAATTACTTACTTCCCCCTAGCATGCACTAAAGCCACGTTGTACAGCACAAATGCCTAGTATCGGATTGACGTACTGCAAGTTTCTTGAAAAATTCGTTGTCGTATAATTGAGATAGCTGACATATTAGTAAGACATTCAGAGATGACACCCGCAATTATTGCTATTTGGCCATCTGTGCATGTCTACGTAGTGCACAAAAAGATGACCGTAATTCGATTGTGATGCACTTGGTGCTCATTCGATTAATGGTACTGTATCATTCCTACCGTAATGAAAGGGTAGATTCTATAATATTATATTTGTCAGTAACTTCATTTTGTTTCGGATTTTCACGGTCAAAAGAGTCCCAAGAGTGAAGGGAATGAACTATGAACTCTTGTGGTCTATGGCTTTTAATCCCATCTTTCATGTTAACAACTTACTATGAAAATATAGTGCAACTGAATAACTGTTATATTTTGGCAGAAAGTGCTAGAAGAAGCGGGACTCTTCAAAAGACCTTCAATTTAATGATTAAATCAAGTACTTTCGCTCTTTTGACATGGGAAACATTACAGCTCGCAATTCGAAAAGAAAAATTACAATAATCTACTATCCACTTGTGACAGTCATAACATTAAAAAACTCTGAGCAGCTCATAATTTTTGTCCATCTTATACGGTATCATTTGTTAAGCCGTACCGGAAGCTAATGAGTCGTGAAAGCCAGCCATCTGTTAACAGTATCGAGAGATTTGGCCATAAACAGTGCTAAATCACATTTGGTATGGTCTAAGTGTGATTTACCAGTAAAAAAAGAAAGTAGCAGAAGTAGCAAAAACAAATCGGGATCTAATACTGCCAAAATGCGGCGCGCATGTGATGGGAAAGTGTAGGATTATCCCATCCTTTTTTATACACTTGAATACTTGAGCATCTTAAAAAGTCAAAATAATTCACTGCGCCTGTGAAACCCAAATGTGGAGTATGGCTCTATACAGAACATACTGACTGGCTCACAACGGACTGCTTATAAATTCGAACAATCTACCGGGTATTTATTACATGCTCCCTCCGTCCGCGGTATTTGCGCATAACCGATATTTGACCATATTTGCTGCTAGTCTCTTCATTAATCGCAACTATACTTTTTGCATGAAAAAGACAAGAAAAAGGCGCTCCCGAAGAAAGTGCTTGTTCAAGGATAATATTCATGACAATCAAGTATCAAAAGTTTATTGTCTCCTAAAAGAACCTAACCAGCATACACACAGTTTCCTTTCCTGGCAGTTTCATAATTCCTTCACAAATAGAAACATTTACATCGCAAGGCATGAGGGCAAGAAGGTATTCAAAAGAACGACCGCCATTGTCTCTGTGCTGGCTGCCACAGGGATTATTCTCACAATTACGTAAGATACAGAACGAGCCTGGTAGCCCACAAACATCAAACGATACGCGACGCTAATTGGAAGACGATGTTACCTTATTTGGGTGATACAACTAAATTCAAAATGTATTCAGATTCTCGAAGGAAAAACTGAAATTAATTGCTCAATTGAAGATCTACAGATTAGCAACTTACACACGATTCAAAAATCAGAGTAGACATTATGTCATCAGTGTTGTAAAAAGTTGGAAGTGGTTATGGAGTCATTTGAGAAGAGAAAAAAATGACACTCTGTGAGAAAGGGATATGTACAGCTAATCTGGCATTCGAATGTCATTTATTCTATAGGTCTGCTTTATATTGGACATTGGTGTTAACAGTGTGAACCGCTGTGGAGAATGATCGAAGCTGGACCTAAAAATGATAAAAATTGTCGCTAGTCCCGAAAATGACAAAGAAGCGCAAAAATGTGGAAAAAAAATTACCTGTTCACTGTTCTTTATAAGACATGCACTACTTTCGACCCAGTCGGCTGGCGTTTCTGTCTCTTTTCCGGTGTAAATCAGCACATCGAAAGAGCATGGTTCTTCAAGCAGAGGCAGAAATGTTACAGACGCAGTGATCTGCCTGAATGTGAATGAATAACCTAATCCAGTCTGGCACGAAGCAAAAAAAGCAAGAAGGAAACGCACGACGTCTGTTTTGCGAATCACCCATTATGAGAACGATCTGTCCAAAATAAAACAACGAACTGCACAAGATTCGCGACTAGCTGTCATTGTCCAGTGGTAATTCAGGAAAATGAATTGCAATTCAACTTAATTGGCAGTATGAAGCGTCCACAAAAACACTGGGAAATTTTGGAAGTTCTAGGTTCACAATGCTCTTTTGCAGTGAGAGTTGATAACGCTTTAGAAGTTGAACATTTATCCCGTCTGTTCCCCAGCGGAGTCCTTATAGGTGCGGTCACTCGCAGGTCAAACACCACCTTCCTCCCATCAACAACTTCATCAAAAGACTTCATGTCGAGCGCTAAGATGAAGTTGTGTTAAATGCAAAAAGGCAATAAACTGATGCGTTATAATCAACAAGAAGAACTAAGAAAGGTTTCACTGTGAACGAGCCGCTTCAAAAAACAACAGAACCACTACAAGAACCACGTAAAATTACGCACTGATCAGCGTAATGAGGTAAATCGGGTAGAAATAACGTGCAAGTTTGTTATGTTCATATACAATGTAAATTTCTAATCCATGAAAGGCAAAAAGATGGTCATCAGAAATGTAAAAACCGATGTAAACCAAGCAGAGTAACGAAAGAAATCCAGTAAGGGATTTACCTGATCACATCAGACATCTCTTGTTTGATTTTCTTCTCGTCCTTTTGCCTGGTCGAATTTTCACTGAAAGTTGAAGGGTATGTTGCCACATGATCATAAAATATCTACAACTCACCCTTCTTCATTCATTTCTTCGGTATGAATATCAAACTGCCATCGCTCCATAACTTCCTTCGTTTTTATTTCGGATATAACCACAACCAGACGCTTCAATTTTCGTTTGCTCAGCCAAACTAAAGTGCAAATTTTCAGTAACTTTTACTTAGGGTTCAGCGGAAATGGTGAGCAGAACCAAGAAGATTTGAACTGTTTCATTACCGAAATGATTGCGCGACAGACAAAATTCAGATCTGGAGAGAAACAGATATAGCAAATCGAATTCCAAGGTTGATACTATTTCAATTTTATAATTCATGTAGTAAGTAATTTTCGAAACCCCTTCCGTCCTCTACTGTCCGATTGATAAGATGGTGAAAGGTGAAACGTGATGATGCATTTCGAAAACTTTTTCCACAACTTGCTCCCAAGAAAGACCCAACATTAACCACCAATTGTGCCAGGAGAATGCCCACCCCACTCGAGAATGGGTCGCGAAATTTCTAAGATCTGCCTACGGTTGTAAAAATGTGCAAGTGACTTGTTTTATTAGAATAAATTCCAGATTTTTTCAAAAATTCAATTTGGCCTTATAGAAAGTTTTTTTTTTCGGAGACGTGCCTGCCGCGACGTTCCTTCTTTTGAAATTTCGGGTTTATGGGCTTGCAAAAATTTGGAAAATTTGCAAAACATTCGGAAAATTTTTGCAGTGCATGGCTAACGTGACGCACGTTCAACTGAAAAAACTCCCCCTTCCCCCTCTCCGCCCCAAACGGAAATCTTGAGTCAGCCACTGCCGCGCAGATGGCTTCCAAACTGATATCTAGTTCCCACTAACATCTGAAGAATCTTGAATCCTCACCAATATTGAAAATGATAGACGGAAATACAAACTAACATTCCACTTGTTTCAGGAGCGGCTCCAAAAACTGCTGCAGTTTGTTATCATTCGTGACTAGTAGTGTCAAACCGTACTTCTTCTCTCTCTTGAATGTGTCACCCGGATATAATCCTCTTTGGTAAAGTATGCTGTTGATGCCGTAGTCTGGAGATACAGAATTTGATTTTGAAGTTCGATCCTTCCCCTCCCAAGTAAAAATCATTCAATGAGACTGAAGTTCGATCATTTGCATATTTGCAGTGAGATGCAATGTTCCCCAACTACTTGAGAAATTTTTGCAATAAAACTTACGGAAAAATTCCTGCACCAACTGCGCTGAGCCTTTCAGACTGATACTTCCCTTTGTTTTAGTGTCAGTCATTCTGCAAAAAAATTCCTAGATTAATGCTCAGCAGGAGAGGTGGAATGTAACCCTTCACCAGAGCTAACAAGTATACAAAATATTAAGAGCATGGTGAATGAACTCACGAATAACCTTGCGAAAGGAGGTTTTGGATAAGAAACTGCTGGACGTCGAATGGCCCGCTTCCGATAATCTCGTTTCGCGCCGTGAAGGTCGCGCCCTTTAATTCGCCATGGTCCACCACAATACGCCTGCCAAAATTCAAAAAGTTCTGCTCATTTTTTGTCATCGCCCTCATTTCTCATCAAATTATTAATCGGTGATTGCGCAGTTTTATTTGTTCCCTTATCTTATTTGGATTCAGAACACTCTGTTGTAGGAATATGTCAGTCGGCGACTCGCTGTCGCTTGCGGTGGCTGTTTACGGGTTCCTTCCTCGAACAAAACGTGTAGAAGAAGCTGGTCATGCTTACGAGTGCTCAGTAATTCGTGATAAAATCACATTAGGCAGGTGTACACTACCGATTCTCAGAAGAAATAGCGAGGATGATAGCCTTGAACTCACTCCAGAGGAAGTGGTGAGTTCATATCTAACTAATGAGAAAGATTTGTCTTTATTTTCATTTTTTTTCTTGTTTTTGCTTCATATCATATGGACAGTCAACTAATTCTAACACAGGGGATTCTGTGTTGATGAGGAAGATGGTTTAGTTTCTTCCTTCGTGATTATATGCTGCAGAAGTGAAATCTATGAAGCTAGAGTATACATAGGGAAAATGCAAACAGCACTGATTGGAACGTGGTAAATAATGAAGAGGAAGGTTATACTTACTTGTGAGTACAACGACCCGTGCTGTATTGGTTTTAGTTTGCTAGTTTTACTATGGTAAACGGCCGAATGGATATACTGCAGAATTGTTCTTGCAATGCCTCAATTGTTTCGGGGATTATCTGGTCCATTTTTTTTTCGAGCATTATCACCCTCGCATTGATATGAAGCTCGCGTTTTATGTCTGCATAAACCACCACTAACCATCATGTGTATACCAATATGCGAAACTTCCTACTTGAATTGCCTAGGAATTGTGTGACATTGCATGTTTATGCAGTTAAGTGATAGTCAGACGCTGTCTTATATGTTTCAGTTGACGGCATATATTAACTTCTTCATAAATTATCAGTTCAGCTCGAGGGACAAGATCGAGCTTCATATTTTGATGCCGATGATGAGAAGTATGAAAGATATCTAATGAAGCTGGACCCCAATGATACAAAAAACCAAGATCATTATAAAGTTTTGGGTCTGTCCAAACTACGCTTCAAGGCGACCATGGCTGAAATTCGAACATGCTGTAAGTTAACATTTGTCTTGTTTAAAGCAGTCTATCATTGTTGAATTTGAGATCGTGCTAAAGTTTTGAAGTATCATCCTGATAAGAAGAAGCATCGAGGAGAAATACTTCCAGCTGGTGAGGACTATTTCACTTGCATTACAAAGGTACATTTATGGTTTGTTGAAAGTTTTTTACTCAAACAACTTCGAACGGTCTTTGTAGGCGTACGAACAGTTGGGAGTATCGGAGGCTAAACGACATGCTTACGACTCTGTAGACCAGAAGTTTAACGACGCTATTCCTAGTGAAAAATCGGTAAACAAAGACAACTTCTTTGCTGAGCTGTCGCCGGTCTTCGAACGAAATGCTCGGTAGTGTTACTCTTTTTCTATATAAGATTCATCCTCTGTTACATATAATCTTACATCAGATGGTCAACACGACAACCTGTTCCACGCCTGGGTAGGATCGATTCGGATAGAAAAGCCGTGGAAGATTTTTACAACTTTTGGTTCGATTTTTCTTCGTGGAGAGAATTTTCATATCTCGATGAAGAAGACAAAGAAAAGGGTGAGGATCGGTACGAAAGGAGAGAATTAGAAAAGATCAACAAGGCAAGTCTCAGTATCGTTAGACTTTCCTTTTATCTTTTTGGTTTTGGTCGTTGATACAGTCAAATAATTGACGAATAGTCCACCTTTTAAATTATGCGTATAACCTGCTTTGTTTTGCTGTTCCCCTGATTATTCGTCAAAATGCAGCGCGAATGATGTTGGGATCACTGGCATGCTGAGCAGGTATAATTCACAACTATTTTCAAGGCTGAAAGAGAGAGAAGAAGAAAAGATGAAGCGAAGAGGATAAGGCGGTTGGTAGAGTTGGCCTACTCTAAGGATCCGCGAATCGCTAAATTCAAACGAGAAGATCAAGAGGTAGTTACTGAAAATCATGTGCATTACAAACTCATGTTTGCAATGTAGATCTTACCCTGTGTTTCTTATAGATGAAAAATAAAGCCAAGGAGGAGAAACAAAGAAAAATGCGGGAGAAAGCAGAGGCTGCTGAACGAGAAAGGAAGGCGAGAGAAGAAGAAGAACTAAAAGTCAAAGAAGAACAAGAGCGGCTTGCAAAAGAAGAGAAGGTGACAATTTTTTTGTGTAAACTGTTCTCTACTAACGCAGTGTTTTGAGGAACGAGAAAGAAAGGAAAAAGAAGCAGCGAAGAAAGCAGCAGCCGCGCAGCGACGTCGCTTCAAGAAGCTGGCTGAATCTGCCGGTCACTGGACTGATGATCCCAGAAAGAAGCTCGCAGAGATGGAACGAGTGGAAAGGGTATGATTAGAACTGTTTTTCGATAACATAGTCTAGTTTACCTACAATTTCTAGCTTTGTCTATCTTTGCCCGTCGACGCTATGTCATCTCTTTGCGACAACATCGAGAAATTGACGGTTCGCGAAGAAATTCTTGCTACGATATCAGAAGCAGAGGTAAGAATATGCTTATGTGTCAGTTTGGCGTTATTGGCTTTTTAGGCTGCTAGAAAAAATGATAGTGAAGCTAAGGCTGACGCAAAAGAAGTAGATAAACATAAGGACACGGTGAAAGCATCGGTGATATGGACAAGTGACGAGATTCAGTTGCTTGTAAAGGTAAGTAAGCTTTGTTTCCTAGTGACGGTGTTATGCGTAATGTTCTTTGAGGCTTCGAATACGTATCCAGCTGGAACCGTTGATAGGTGGAATGTGATAGCCGATTACATCAATGAGCATCGCAAAGACAAATCCATGCCACCAAAAAATGAGAAGCAAGTAATTAAGCAGGTAAGAAATGATCATTTTTAGCATGATTATTAACACGGCCATTTTTGCACATATTTCTGCTAAACTCTTGCTGCCCGTAGAGATTTGGAGCTATGGTAAACAACAACACATTTTCCAGTGCAAAGCTGTGCAGTCTATGAATGTGAAGCTACCAGTAACCACTCAAAATACGCTAGGAGCATCGCTTCCTGATGAGGATACTTGGACAGTATCGGAACAGAAGCTTCTCGAACAAGCAATCAAAACATATCCTGCCTCGGATCCTGAACGGTGGGAGAAGGTACGGGTTTCATTGTAAAAATGTGCACCTATTGCCAGCTGGATCGCAAAACGTCAGGTCCTCTAGCGCGCTAATCATGATTCGAAGTGTTTTGTTGGCTGCTAAAGTTGGTTAGGGCAGAGGTCTCATTCCAGTGAAGAGTCTTCATTACCTTGCAGCTTCGATAGTAATGTCTCTATTGGTATTCATTTGACTGCGCCAGGAAAAGTACGGAATTTTCTGAGCAAGGACCAAAATTTTTGTATGGTTTTCTCGATCTGACTTTTGTCATTTTTTGAACATTCTGGATCTGCCGAGTCTGATAAAACTGTGCTTTCAAAACTGTAACTAAACATCATTTTTGGCCATAGTAAGCGTGGAACTAGGCTAGCTTAGACCGTTTTTTTTTTCGGTAAGCGATTGGCTGGTGCGTTTGGTTCGACGCTTCAAGGGGTGATCGTTACCACTCGATCATTCTGCATGCCTTACGTCAGCTAGTAATTCACGTCACAGCATCGTTGACTCGTGGCTTAGTGGTATGGAGCGTCGTTATAGTCCATATCGTGGTTTGATCCTCGTCCACACCAAGCTAACTGACCTCGGTAGTAATGTTACCAAAAAATCATGAAAGGCACAAAGCACTGGCTTTTTGGCCGACTGTCCCCTGTAATTACTGACAAGATTCGCATGCATTTAACAGCTCTTTCGGCAAAGTAAAATGCGTTTGGCGCATGTCAGCAAAGGATATCGCCGAACTTCTTATATTCGTCCCACAAAGCATAGTTTTGCAATCAGCACGCCAAGAAAGCTCAGAGTGGCGCGAAATTCCGACGCTGGTGCTTTGTTTGGATACTGCTAAATTGATGGAAGTGGTAGGGGGTACCTCGTTCGGCTATTAACCTAAAAAATGATTGGCTAGTGGAGCCAATTATGGAATCGCCACCAATTGGGTGAAAGTGCTCGTCCTATTTTATTGAATGTCAATCGCTCTTCCGGCGTGGCCTGCTGTTAATGCCGCTCAGCACTTTTTATTTCCGAAGGCGCATGGGTGGACTGCGACCGGAACGAAAATTTACTCGCTACTTCGAAATCTTAGAAGCTCTATGTAACATCGCTGGAGGAAACTTACTTTTTTGACTTTTATGTTTCTGCAGATATCGACTGCAGTGGGAACGAAGACCAAGAAAGCGTGTATACGTCGCTTCAAGTATCTCGTACAGTTGGTGAAAAGCAAGAAGGAGGAAGGATCTTGATGGAGTTTGTGTATAGTCTTTATCTATGTCTATCAACTCCTCTCCTGCCTTTACAACTTATTCGGTGAAGTTTCAGTAGAATTATATGTCGATGCTGGTCATCTTTGCTTTTAGACTAGGAGAATACTATCATGTTAGTTTTATCCTCCTTACCTTGTTCAATGCACTCTCTGAATAACCAAACCTTGACACTCCTGCCATGATTAGTTAACCTGTTATTGTGACAAGATTCGCTATTTCGTTGTATTTACCTCAAAGTCGAAGATGCGAAAACCAGTAGTCAACGTTGTTGAGAGTTATACTTGTGTTGTTGATCACCTGCTGTTCCAGTTGTTATTTAGTGAGTAAAGATATCTCGCAGATTTGTTCGTTGCGCAGTACGGCAATCATCTCATCAACTCGCTATCGTTCTTACGATATCGGCGCTCGAGAAACAGGTTATGGCGATGTTGTCTATTGATTCAACTGCTGTCATCACGGATTGCTCCAACTTCTTGTACCATTTCTTACCTTTTTCCCTCTACTTTGATAAGCATCTCACTTACTAGAAATAGTCAGCGTTTTTATCCATTGATTGACTGCATCTCCATCCATACATCATAAGTTGATAGTTGCACCTAAAGGTCATTCTTGTTACATGAAGTACGTCCCTGCTTCGGCTTCTCATTACATTGACTTCCTATATGAGAAATTTCGAGGTAAAGAAAATGAATTTTTCAAAACTGCAAGTCTCAAACTATTGTTCTTTTCATAATGCAGCACTAGGAAATCTTCTACCTTTGCCGATTGTCATCAAACGGTTCCGCTATCATCGGTCGCTCTAAATTGTAGTCTGCAATGTGAAAAAAAACGATTAAAAAATGAGATGAAAACGCTTGAGAGGGGCTATGTCTTTTGAGTGAAGATTCAAGGATTTGAAGCACACCCGTAGGATATGCGCCCCACTTATGTTCTTCATCCACTCTATCCACTCAAATCGAGCTTATTACTAAAGGGCATAATTCTTGAGTTGGACTTGCGTGGGAGAAAAGTTCGCTTCGTTCAATTTTCGTCATGGGTAGTGATATACTTCGAGCGATTGCGCCAGTTCGCGATCGGCACCCGAAATGGCAGTTTGCCAGATGTCTCGGATCCACTGCGAACGTGTTCCAAATGCATATGTAGGTGCAAAGTTTTTCTCGCTGGTGCAAACATTCCAAGTTTTGCTAAGACAGAATGCTCTTATGAGAAATAATGGATAGTAGCGATGCCAAGTTGCCAGTGACCGAAATCGCGTGAGGTGTGGTCGATGCTTTGCGCCACGCCAAATGGCATACATATATTTAATCATGCCCGTTTTGTTTTGAAGTGGATGAAGGCTATAAGTGTGGCGTGTGCCTATGGCCTATAGATTATGACACGATCTACCTTTAACAGGATATATCCATAATTGCTTCCCCGAGACGCTGATTCCGAATCTACCTCCAAAAACATGCAAGACGATTCAGTAAACTTGTTACAAGCATTTGTTTGAGCTCAGGTTACATTGGGTTGATAACCTGCTAAGGGGTGGAGATCGCCATGTGATTTTTGGAAGCTTTCCGCTAACTTTCTCAGGGTACGCTTGACCTCTGGGGATGTAAGTTCGGGACAATCGCGCGAGTTCTGTCTGAGTTCTGTCCGGTGCCACATTAGCCTCCGATGATCTGTGAAATTGCGTATTTCATAATTTTAAATTTTAATGCACCATAATATTGCTTGCTTCATGAATTGTACTAGATCAAGAGATTCGCTAGTTATCAAAGACCTATCATCCGACACAGGGAAGCTGTTTAGTCGAAGCGGCTTGGGATGTACAGGGTGCGCCAAAATTACCGGCGCGTGTTTCCTTGGGATCCAGAAGAATACTAGACGGGCTTGAAGACGGATCGAGTATGCATCTTTTCACCAGCCATCATTATCGTAATGCAGTAGTCAAATCAGAACCTGCTGCTTTATCTCTTGAAAAAATCCCAATTCTTCGCGGACCGGATTGTACTCTGTATGCAAGCATGATTTTAAAAATTTATATAACCGTTTATGATTGCATACCAAAATAGAGCAAGCCTTCGCCTGTAACACAGCTAAGTATGGAAATTTGAAAATCAATCCAAGAGAATTCTGGGTCGGTAGTATATAATCTGGTCGAAACTCCGAGTTTGAAGCTCCGCGTTAACTCAGAGATAACTCTGAGTTCCGTTTCTGAAACTCTGAGTTACGCATATGGAAACTCTGAGTTCCGCTTTCGTAATTCCGAATTCCAACTCTCAAGCTCGGAGTTTTGCTTTGAGGAGCTCTTAAGCACTTTGTTGCAAAAGCGACGTTAAAGTAGGGACTCGAACCTGTATGGTCTAGCGTGAAGATCCTACCACTAAACCGCTAGACCATGACACACCCACAAACTCTAAAATTGCTTTGCCATAATGTACTCACTCATTCCATTAACACTTAGCAGGTCAAAACAGGTTATACCAAACCTCACTCATTTCCATTTCTATCGGGCAGTGATGGTTCATCACGAGGATTGGTCTTTTGCGCAGTTGAAGGCTTCAAACAATAGAGAAAGCTGATGGCATACGCAATGATAAGAATTGACTATTAGGATTTGCGCACAGAATATTCCTCCGGGCAAAGTTTGCCCTTCCACGATTTCGTCTTACTTACCGTATACCTACCGTAACCGTTCCATATGTCACCAGTGTATGTAGCAGATAGATTGTCCGTAATCTGCATCCCGAATAACTCCAGTGTACCAAATTTCGGCTAATTCCGCCGCTTTAATTCATCTACCGTAAACCTACCGTAGCCCCGTCAGATGACACTGCAGTATAATCTACATGTCATATTCGTTATCGGCGCCCCGAATCCCCAGGGTACCAAGTTTCGATTAGTTTCGTGATTTTCTCCCATCTACCGTAAACCTACCGTAACACCTCTACATGACCCCTTAGTAAAAAATGGGTACCATATGCGTATGCGTGATTAGCGCACCGAATAACCCCCTGGGCCAAGTTTTTACAAAATTTCAAAATTTTGTAAATCACTGCGCACCACGATACCCCCATCATGCCTGCTTAAACTACGAGCAAAATGTACCCCGAAGGACTTTTTAGCTGCCCCTCTTCTTTTGCGCACTATTTCTCTTTCTCTGACCAAACTCAGAGTTATCTCTGAGTTCCACGATAGACTGGAACTCGCACCAAACTCAGAGTTATCGCAGACACTAGTTGCGCGTTTGGTGGCGCTGTTTCTTGTGCAGGACGATTTGGACAATGTTGCGCTACTAGGAATAAACTACGTGTTAAGGAGAATCCTGCGATATCATCGCTTTCCGGATTTGATCTGTTCAAACACCTGTTAAAGGGGTCAAAAAGTTGCGCGTTAGCTCAGAACTCAGAGTTAACTCTGAGTTATAACTCTGAGTTTCGATAGGTTTACTACCGACCCTGATTTTTCAAAACATGTCTGAGAGACAGCATACCGAAAGCTGGTGTAATTTTGGCCTTTCTGAGTGCGACTTACGATCAGAAAATGTCTTCTAAATGAGATTCAGAACTATCTTACAAGGGAATAGTCAGAAGTCGAAGTGATCAATCCATACAAGCTGCATATCATTAGATGCAGCATAAAACGCTGACTCTAAATCTGTCTTCCCTATCTGCAGAGCGCTTTTGTGGACGAAATTATAAGCCGTTGAAGGACATTATTTTGCTAAGAAATTGTGCGTGTAAAGTGCAAACTTGGCCGTACAAAGCCATTTTCGGCTCAGTTTGGACCAAAACACGCACTTAAGTGACTTCATATGACCAGCACCTAGAGTTGAGCTGAACGAGCAATAATGTGCCTAATTTCTCAATTTTTGTGTACGATTTTTTCGCAGTAAAGCTGCTCATAACTTCGCCTACAAAGGCGCTCTGCAGATATGGAAGACAGATTTGAAATCAGCATTTTATGCTGCATCGAATGGTATGCAGCTTGTATGGATTGGCCACTTCGACTTCTGACCATTCCCTTGTTAGGTGATCGCTTCTAACTAGGTGCTCTTCTACATGTCTTACATATAACTGTTTTTACCTGAGAGCTTTTGGATGTCTAAGGCCTATAAATCGATTTTGAACATAAGGTCATTGCTCGTACACAGATATTTTTCGCGAATATGTTTTCTTATTTCGTGAAGTAACAAATACTGCAAATGCAACTAGACCTTTGTGATAGTGCAGATTGTGCTTTACAACCTCGGCTTAAAAGGATCTGGAAGGCTCCCAGTTTTTAAATTATAAACCAGATTATGAAGATATTCAAATTTCATTTTTGGTTTTTTTCTTGAAGTGCTGGTCTGATTCTTTGGATTCTCAAAGTTATTGAAAAGAGGTCTTTTTGAATTCAAAAAAATGTATTTTGTAGAGATTGATTAGTGCCTACTATAGCACAAATTTGAACTCGCATTTCTCAGTTCTCAAGTTCCTTCGCGGCAGTGATCATAAAGTTGGCTCCTGTGATTTTGGTGCGCCCTGTATACCATAAAGAAATGATTCCAAACCTTCTTAATTTGCAGAATAATTATGAACGAGGTGTTATGAGCGTTTATTGGTGCAAAAATGAATGTGCAAGTAGGAAATAGTCGTAATACCTTTATCCAATAAATAGTTCAAGGTAAAGAGATATATCAACTAGGTTGCTTTATCTGAGGGCTAATAAAATTTTAGCAGCCCATTCTATCCTAAATGCACTTTTAGTATATTGCTCCAATAAACGCTGGAGTCCACAAACGTTCCTAAATTAGGCAGATTCAGAATCAGCGTTTTATGCCCTCCAATGAGATATGCATCTTACCTAGAAGCCATTTTGACTTAATATATTTCCCTTGTCAGCATCGAATTTGTTAGAATTTATTAAATATAATGATGCACCACGTCGTTCATGCATTTATCATAATTCTTTTTATACTTTAAGCAATCGCAGAGATGTCGGTACGGGTGCGATTCTCAGCAGCTCGCCCAGGCGTTGCATACGTTCCTGGCGGGTCCGGTGAAGGAGCTGGAGGAGGGCTAGCGGCCGAAATCTTAGGAAAGCCCATGCCTCCCCTGCATAAAGAGGACAATTTTCGCATGGATGCACATACTGCGGCCAGCATCGGAGACGCAAATGTTATACAGGTTCTCAGCTACATGTTTCTCTGGGGAAGATTAGGAAAAACTTAACTTCAGGCGTTGATAGCCAGCAAACAGTTTGATCCGAATGAGAAGAATATGTCAGATTGGACTCCACTACTCTATGCCGCGTACCTGGGCCACCATAATGTGTGTCAAGTACTGATTGAAGCTGGAGCAAAGGTGTAATTTTTTATCTACCCTTCGAGCTATGAATATGATGCGATATCTTGAAGATTTTGGAGGAAGTGAGAAGAAGGCTCTTTAAGCAGAACTATAGCCGTTTTATGAAACGTTTGACATCTTTCTGCTAGTAATGCTTATTTTTCTTTTGTCTTTCTCGGACTTTTCATTTTCCCCTTTCTATTTTAAAGGATTTTTATATTTTCTGGAAAACGTAGTACGTTCTCTTGAGATAAAACCCATAGCCATTTATAATCAAAAACCTTTGCGTGACTACCCTGCAGCTCAGATTACTTTCCAAAAAAACAATGGCAAACTGGTAGGACAATGGCAAAGTTTTGTCTTTTTAATGATAGGTATGCCATATCGACGACATTCTGATCCAGCCTTTTTCTCTATAGTACTAAATCAAGGAGTCAAGAAAAATTATTCTAACTTGAATGACATACTAAGTATATCCCCAGGTGCCCAGTCAGCTTCAAATATTTCGCTGATATCCCTCACTTCTTGGATCATTTGATGTCGGTGGAAAACGGAGTTTTTTTGATTTCTGGTTCCACCAATCAAATTTTGTGCTTTTCTGTTAGCTAACTAAATATAAAAATTTTCCGGAACTCTTCCACATGTCAGAGTGATGCCAGGTCCAGGCAGTTATTCTACAAAATTTTTCTAAAACCGCTCGTAAACACTGAATGGACAGTGTGAACTGATTAATCGTTGTGCAGATCGCGTCAATGTACCGTATGGGATTAATCTGCGCTTTTACTTGAATACCATTTTTTGCGCTTTCATCCTTGAATGATGGCGTTTGTTTGAAAACGATGAAAGCCAGTCTTGACCCTTTTTCAATTCTTTACACTTGTGCTGAAGTCTCAATTTTACAGTTGGATGATTGTAATCGCAGAGGTCAGACAGCATTGATGATGGCGGCGTCTTGCGGGAATTTGCAGGTTTATTTGCATTTACGTTTGGTTTTAAATTGGTAATTCTACATCTCGAGCAGGTCGTACGGCTGCTGCTCGAGCAAGGTGCGAGTGTAGATCGTTCAGATACCAGAGATCGTCAGGCTTTACACTATGCGAGTACCTGTAGCCAAAACGCGGTTGGTCCTTTATTTTGGTCGCAATTCGGTACACACTCAAGGATAGCGTGAACTCTTACGTTAATAATATTCACGCTGAACATACCCATAACGTAAAGCCTGGAAAAGACGTTCAGTGCCATTTTTTTCTTTGTTTTCGGCAACACAACCTGACAATTTCACTCGATTTTGTCAGTGGCTATTCCATGAAACCAATAAAAAATAAAAATCATCAAAACCAACTCGTTCAGGTTGCTGATGCCCTCCTACAAGCCGGAGCTGATCCTAATGCAGCCGACGTCGATGGCATGACGCCCCTTCTCGAAGCTTGCGCTAGCGGTCACGAATTGACCACATCCTGCCTCCTTGAATTTGTCAGTTCTAACATCTCTTACTTTTTTCCCTACCGATCAGAGACAGCTGAAATGTTGAAAAACTGGATGAGAGCTACAAAAAGGAGCGAGTGTCCTTGTGCGCTCATTGCTTGATTTTGCAGTCTCTTGCAGGTCTATCCAAGCAGAATTGATTCATGATTCGGTAGAAAAAAGAAGTGGTGTCCTTTTCATCAAACATTTTGTCGTGTGGGGTTGTCAAAAATTCTCCTATATTGACTTTTTTTAAGCAGCTAGTTTCAAAGGAAAACTTTTTTAGGAAAGCTGTTTTTGTAGATATTGCTTATATTCTCTAAAAGTTTTTTTCTCGTATTCTGTCAGCTCTCGTTTACAAAGAGCTTTGTGTAATCTGCAGGTTTTCCCCAAAAAAAGGAGTGTGAATTTTTTTCTCTTGACTTCATTTCCATGCACAAGCAAGAGACGGAATTTTTTAGACATGTGTAATGTTAGCTGGAGACTTCTGCTGATAATACTCCTCAAGATATAATTTTCAAGTTTCTAAGACCAATTCTCTCTGTGGCCTGTTGCTGTAGTCCTTATAAGTGGCGTAACACAAATCACAGAAGGATACGAATCTAAGGCTCTATGACCAATGAGGCCTAGTACTTTCTGTAAAAAAAATTTTCTCAATCCATTGTAGGGAGAAAAATAAAGAGTCAAGAAAACTCTTGTTGCATTGGAAACAGAGTAAGTGGATTTCCTCCAGGTTTTTGCAAGAATCTCTGGTGAACGTTAGAGAAGCGCGAGGCTAAGGTACGGTTCATAACTCGAACAACTCATGGTTTGCAAGTTTAGACTTTTTGGAATAAACTCGAAGAACCGTTACTACTACATGAAAGAGTGTAGCCTAAAACGTTATACGCAGCAAATGAATGAGTATCAGTGCAAATCTTAAAGATGTTTATGCGCCGAATGCGAATTTTTGGTGGCCCATAATCATACGAACACCTCAGAAGAGGCTGTCTTTTCAAATTGTAATTTTTTTAGTCGAAATTTTTGGTAGAGTTACAGTAACAAAGACCGAGATATTTGCAACACGGCTGGGCCCAGTGCAGTTCAAAAAAGAAGGACCGCTACTCTTCTCCGGTGGCTGAAACTTTTAGAGTCAGATGCAAAAACGCATGTCCCTCTGCGGTTCAAGCACTCCAATTAGCTTTTATGAATGCAATAAGAAAAATCAAGCCTTTTGCTATAAATCCCTGTGGACCTGTCGCGTTTTTCGACCAGGTTCCATCAACCTTAGACTTAGCACTACTTCGAGCCTCAAAACACAGACTCTGTCTCGCGCAAAGAGTAGTGATAAGACGAATGACGAATGAGGAGAATGACGCTCCGCTTTTCAAACTACACTGTGTTCAGCGTGTAACAGATATCTCAGACTTTGTTACTGTGGCTACCAAAAATTCGGACTCAAAGGATTGCAGTTTTAGGTGAAAAGAGAGCCTCTTCTGAGGTGTTCGTAGATTATGAGCCTTCAAATTTCGAATTCGCCGCATAAACATCTTTAAGGTTGATACTATTCTTCACTCACGCCGCGTATACCGGCTATGCTCTTTTACGTTACCAACAGATTTGCGCTTTTCAAAATGTTCCGAAACTTCCAAAATATGGGGTGTTCGTATAATTATGAACCGCACTTTAGTGATGCTTACCCGACCTTTCGTAACACAATGAGCAGAGCAGATCTCAGATCAGTTCATGGGTGGTTCGCAAAATAATTTTGGCAATCTTCAGAGTAAATTCAATTCGATACATTTCCATCTGAACCAAGCTTCTTTCAGGGAGGCGACCCATTTATCAAGAATGCCCGAGGAGAAGACTGTCATACTGTAGCCTCGGAATCCCCAAAAATCTTACAGCTAATCAGCGAACACATGCAACGGCGAGGAAATCCCGGTTTCACGCCTGGCAAGAACTTTCTATCGTCACTTCACAATTTCAAGATCAAGATCTTTATTGCAGAGGCACCGCGGACTAATGCCCGACCCCGCACTCTAGAGGAATTACTAGAGGAAATGAATCTGCTTCGTCTAGTCGACAAGTTCAAAGCAGAGAATATTGACTTGAATCTATTCTTTGATTTGACTGAAAAGGTGAGGAAGTAGCTATATTTCACAAACGTCACCATAGAAATAATACTTTCTAGGATTTCGAAGAGATGGGTATAGCATATGGGCCCAAGAAAAGGATGCTGACAGTGATTGATAGATATCGCAAAACTGGTCAAATATCCAGCGAACCTATCGAAGTGGAAGTGACACCACCCCCGCCGTATCCGGTAACCTACTGTTTACTTATTTTTATTGTCAGTTTTCTCTTTCTTGTTACAGTCATTCCCACACTCTCAAGCGGATTTATTTACAGGCAGCTGAAGATGGTGGCCAAAAGGAAATGATCGCTTCGATGAGATACATACGTCAAATGAATGACATGACAAAGCAGTTGGCTATGGAGGCACTGGAAGTGTCGCGGAGGTCCAACAACGGCGACGCGTGAGTTTAGAAGCAGTGTGGGCAAAAAGTCGACTTTGAGATTTTGTGCTTACCCGAGCCTATTCGCTATGCTGAATCCGAAAATCCACACTGAAGAGAGCAAAAACGGCAAAAAGGGCTTTAACGCAGGAGAGAAACCAGAAGTGGTTGGGGTCTTCCCTCCTGTGAATTCACGATCCTAGCTCCCGAAGCGATTCGGTTCCGATTTTAAGTCACGCATTCGCACTTGTCTTGGGGCCACATGCACTAACATTCCCGTGGGGAGGGGAAGGGGATCGCAGCTTAAAAGAAAGCTTTATATTTCGAAACTCCAGATACCTGATTTCACGTTGTGTACCTATCCGTAAGTATTCCTACTACCCTTCACTATGAACATGTTGAAGAGGAGCGAGAAGCTGTACGAACCGCATTTTCCAGCTTTTTTATGATCCCTGATGATCCCCTGCGCTTTTCTTTGAAGTCATTCTTCTTTCTCCGAAGTTAACGAATAACCTCCAAAGTTGTGCAGATTATCTAACCCGACAGTGCTAAGTTTGTTGCTGATAAGAACAAATGATGTTTTGAAGTGAATTTCGATGATCCACAGGTCGAAATTTGAGGTTTACCGAAAAATTCGAATTTTCATTTGTTCTCATCAGCGACATGCTTAGGACTGTTGTGTTAGATGTTCAGTACAACTTTGAAAGGTTTTCGTTAACTTCGGAGAAAGAAAAATGACTTTAAATAAAAGCGCCGGGGATTATCAGGGATCATACAAAAGCTGGAAAATGCGGTTCGTACAGCTTCTCGCTCCTCTTCAACATGATAGTGAAGGGTACTAGGAATACTTACGGATAGGTAAACAACGTGAAGTCCAGGTATCTGGAGTTTCGAAATATAAAGCTTTCTTTTGAGCTGCGATCCCCTCCCCGCGGGGATGTTAGTGCATGCGACCCTTAGTGCATGCGGCCCTTGGGGAGTCAGAGCGGCTAGCGAAATTGAAAAGATCGCTCTGGGAGCGGGGACTGAATTCACAGTGGGGAGGACCCCACCCATTTCTGATTTATTTCCTGCGTTAGGCCCCGGACAGACTTCACGCGATTTGATCGACGCGACTGAATCGCGACGAGACAACTGTTACAACATCATTCCATGTCGATCAACTTGCATTTCGGTTGTGATACTTTTCCAGCCCGAAATTTTTGAATGTGAAATGAAAATGAATGGAAATGTCGGCGATTAAGTCGCGACGATCAAATCGCGTGAAGTCTGTCCGGGGCCTTAGAGCCCCTTTTCGCCGTTTTCTCGCTTTCTAGAGTGGATTTTCGGATTCAGCGTAGCGAATAGGCCCGGGTAAGCACAAAATCTCAAAATCGACTTCTTGCCCGCACACTGCCTCTAATGACCTAAGCCGTTACGATTTGTAGCGTAATCTATTGCTTGCGCACGTTTTCTTTTTGCTTTTCAATAATGGGTGAGGATTCAAGGAAAACAAAGCTACATGGCCCTCGACTCAGATAGCTAGTGTCCTTGCTTTTCGCTTTTTCAAGCTACAAAAATCGATCTTATCTTCTCTTCACAAGCCCTTCTGAACATAGGAACTATTCATTATGGCATCCTCCGTGTCATATAACACAAGCTGTTGCAAGATTTTTTCTTTTGGGAAAGCGCGTTAGGAAAATTTCCCAAGACGGACCCTGGCTTGTGCCAAGCTCTCATTTTTTGAGCACTTTCTCGAAAATTTGATATTCCGAGCTGAAACCCATTTTACCAAGAAACTGAATGTAATTGACGAGCGCCGCAGATTTTCCCATATTGATTCTAACAAAAATTTGAAGACAGTTCAAGCAGGTATAAATGATAATGAGTTTTCGAACGACTTTATCACCCCTGCAGATCAAAAAGAATCCGCCACCCATTCTCTGTATTTTCATTTTAAAACATACAAAAATCTCCGTCACTCTCAAAATCTTGTCTTCCACTTCCACTCCGTCTTCCCTCACCATATAGCTTTTTTCTTACTTTCTTCTCCATCTCAGGATCAGAATCAGCGGCCAGTTTCCCATCGTGGGAATTTGCATAATCATTAAAAACATTTTTTGTATTTTAAAGCTCCGCAAAACTTCTTCGTAACGTAATATCAAGAGAAACGTCACGAATAAAGTGACTTTATTGCATTTCGGCAAAGTGCATGCGCCAATTTGCATTTTTCGCTACTTACGAAAAAAAAAACCTTTGCAGAGAGAGAAAGAGAAAGAGAGAAATTAACTATCAAATCAATTAGTTAGGCGAAAGGATGTAATGTGAGTTGTTGTTCTAAACAAAAAAGCTAATTCTGTGCTAGCAAAATTTTCTTTGTGTTTTACATTCTCATATTTCAGGTTGCGCCCGTTGATCATCGGGATCATTGACAGCGTAGAAAATATCACAACAAGGATAGCTCGTCATCAACTATGACGATGTCGACGGGACGAGTTGACAGCCATATGATTTGCAAATCTTAATACTGGTTTAAGCCAAAGCCACAGGCGTACAAATAAATTAATTTATGTCAATGAGATTCATATCATTCGTTAGATCTTCTTGTGAAGAAGTGCTTATAAGCTGTCCTTCAGCAGCAGGTTCGATGTTATTGGTGTCATCAGCATTGTCGTCGACTGATCCGCTCTCGTAGTGGGATTCTTTTTCTCTCTGTAAATGACTTGTAATTAATAACAAAACTCAAGAAAATAGCTAAAGAATCACTTCGATGATGTCAATTTCGATCGGAGAGTTTTGCGTGTTCTGCAAAACAGAGGAACATTCGGAGAGATGCTCTTTCATTACCGAAGCGAAGTTTGTCAAGTGAAGCGCGATATCCCGCACTGCAAAATGAAAATATCTATTTTATCTTCTATTAGAACAAGCTGACTTCAACTCCTATCAAAAAATCCTTCAACTTACCATGCTTCTGATCTAGTAGCTCGATTTTTACCATGACGTCATTTCGCATTTGTACAAATTTTTGCCTCGTTTCTTGGCGACAGCGCAACATCAGTCTAGAAAAATGATTGAAGAGGTGTAAAACAGCACCATCCATTTCTTTGCTGCACAAAACAAGGCAAGTTTGAAAATCAGTAGCACCACTTTTTTCAACAAAATAAGATTCTGCAGTTTGATGGTTTAGCACTCACACAAAGTCGAGCAAATTTTCAGAGCCCCACAATCATAGAAGCGAATTGTTACAACCTCAGAAATTTCAAATACAAAAAATGAATAGTACTCATTACTCAGAACTTTTCGAACTCGAATAATCTCACCTATATTCGTAGTTACCAGTTTCAACGCGATATAAACCTTCGTTTAGAGAATGATACTCCAATTCTTCATCATCCATTTCCTTGAGTTTCAGACAGTAAGATAGATATTCATACTTCACATCGAGATACCTAAAAAACGTTGAACATTAGAGGCCGTTACAGGAAGAAATTTGTAATCAGAAAATCTGTGGAGATAAATCAAGTGAGCCTACTTTTTTAGAGTTAGCTGCGTATCCGGAATCACTTTTTCGACATAAGTCATGAGATCAGCGATGAGAGGTCGTAAATTTTTTAGAGTTTCGCTCTAAAAATCTGCTTTTTTCTCGAAGTTCCGAGTAAAACTTCTACTTGCATTAAGAATGATTTTTCGTGCTTGCATAATCACCTGTTTCCTACTGAGTTGTCTATGAGCTTCGCCGAAGACTGTAAAAGCTTCATTAGCATTTGCATGTGCTTCGTGGGCGGCAAGTTCGCAAAATACGTCACCAAACTCTAAAAAAAAGTGTGAATTTGAATTATGAGTCAACTAACCCTCGTATGCTGTTTACGCACCTACATATCCGCACAAGATTCACGTTTCTCAAGAGAAAAGGACTTACCTTTCTGATAGTGACTAATTTTCTCTTGAAAATAGAAGAGATCACTGAAGAAACTTATGAGATTTCGATAGAGCTGCGTGTTGTTTTCAAGCACCTAAAATTCAGAACAATTAAGATGGGGTAGTTACGAAAAACAATAAAAACCTTCATCTTTTTCAGTAATGGGTCATTGCAAAGTATGGCTCGAGAAAGGCCCAAAGCATCTGCGGAATCGGCATCCATAAATTCTACCATCTAAAAAAGCAACTGATGCCCGCAAAATTTTCAAAGAGGTATCAAACCTTGTGTTTGATTTTCTTCATTACGATATCCAACGTTTTTCCTTTGGACGAGTCTGTCTCCAATTTGTTGATCGTGATCTGTACAGCCAAAACATGATTCCGATTGAGCAGTGTCATCGAAGCGCAAACCTTGACCGGATTTGTGCTGCACTGAATCAGCTGCGCCACAGCTGACTTCCGTTCCCCTTTGACGCATATTCCATTCACGGCTACGATTTCGTCACCTGCTCGTATCCTAAGTGAAATCTCCTACTGAGTTTCTGGACATACTACTTTAGCTTCCTGTTCAGTTCTCGTTGTTTTCTTCGCAGTGAGATTGTCAGAATTTCTAGATTTTTCTATCCCGTGATCAAGAACGACTTTTAAGTGGCTTTGAACAATGTAAACTTGAAAAAAATGTGGCTGTTATAATCTTCGGGCACTTACAATCGGAATGAGAGCAAAAGTAAAGAATACTGCAGTTGAGAATTAAAACAGATGCAACAACTTTCAAAAGAATCTAATTATAAGTGCGGAAGACTGGTCCCCATTCTGAATTCGCACTCCGGAAATTTGTAGTTCTCTAAGCATTCAGTTGAGCGCCAAAAAGATTATAGCTAAGAGAGCGTAAAGTAGTAGATCTCTGACCACCAATATAAGGCCAAAAAGTCGAAGCAACTTTCTGAAAACATAGCGAACGCAGAAATTAGCTTTACAATCAAGTGATCTATAGCGTTGGTTTGTAATGGATTTCGTAATTCCAGTCAAAATTATCTCGCGGAAGTTCAAAACTAGCTGGGATTATGTTTGTTATCCCTCTTGTTGTTTTCCCTCTTTCTTTTCTTTTTTTTGCTCGATGCACTCAAAATGTACTTGTAAATGAAATAATTATTAGATGGAAAATAATGTCGCATCATCGACTAACTCATGGTCGACACGGATCAAAGTCAAAGGGCTATTGTTGGGTAGAGCAAAGCAAGCTCTACAAGATGAAGTTCAAACTTGCAAAAAGTTTGATTCACTTGAATTCCACTCTAATCAAAAGCCTCTAAGCCAGAATTATCAAAAAAAATCATATCACCGTCAAATCTAAGGAACCCCCAACTTGATCACGCTCATACTTTACCGAGACACTCGTATGCATAGTTTCGTGCTTTTCCATCAAAAATCGAAAAAAGTTCGGCGTAAATCTGCCAAAGCAATAAAGAGCTTCTCTCAAAATGTGATTCAGCATTAGTCTTTGGAGGTACAACCACCAATTTTCAGCTTTCTACAAGGACTAGTTTGCGAAGAAAATCAAGATTATAGCAAAAAAAAAACACAGAAAAGGCGACTTATTCCCGCTTTTGACCCAGTTTTTGCTTCCCATCTTCTACAAAAAAATTTCCACACTATACACGTGAATGTCTGATGCGGAGAGTATATGCTGTGCCAACTGGAGATCCCTAAAAGTTTTGTGGACGGGGATACGATTTTTCGGGTAGTCGAAATTTTTCATTTTTTGGCTTCAAACTTCGTGGAACAACGTTTTCGCATATGTACTGCATCTTGTAGGCATTCCTGTGCTGGTACTGGTAGTTTCCTTTGAAATGTCGGCAACGCAAGTATTATATAATATATATCAAGAGTCAGCTCTACTAGACCATCATATATTGTCTTGCTATCTGGACAGATTCATTTTGCTGTAATTTTATTAAAAGAAAAATTTTTATAGTACTGTCTCAGCAAATTTCTCCCGGGTGCAGAGATATTGGATGAAGAAGTTCATTCAATCAATTAGTTCAAGCTAGGCCGTCAAAAAACTGAAACGCTGCAGAAAAAAAAATCCGAAATAGTAACTAAGCTGTACGATCTCTTTCCAACTGTGAAAAGCTTGCGCAGATCGGACATCTCTACGAAAAGTTATACTTTTTCAGAGTAATGAATAAATGATTTCGACATTTCTTTCATAAAAGCAAACATAGCTTCTCATAGAGACTTCCGATCAACATGAAAGTTCCACATTTGAAAAGAGTAGGTAAAGAACTTGTGCACTGACGATTTCGCATTTTTTTGTAACGCTTGAGATTTTTGGCAGCCTAACTCAAAACTAAGTCGAAAAACTTGAGTGATCTCTTTCACCAAATTTTGTCTCTGCAAGCAGTGTTCAGCAGAAACTCCCTAAGACAGTACTACAAAATAAAAAGCCTCTTTTTTCTAATAAAATTACAGCAAAGCAAATCTGCCCACATGACGAGAAGTTAAGATTTCCTAAAAAAGAGATGACTGAAAAGCCGCACCGACCTTGTGATCACACTTCAACAGTTGTACTTTCTTTGAGAGCTATCGACTGTAATACAGGTTTGATAGGTGTGACAGAAATTTCGAGTTTATGATATGCGCACCCTAAACAATTATCTATGGAAGACAGTATACCACCAGTGAATAATATTTGAAACTAGTTTTGAACAAATTGAGTAAAATTGACTATACGTGAGCCGGGCAGCGTTTGTGAGCGCGACTCGTCCGCTGATCATAAAATCAAAATTACATTGATTCGACTGTCTAATATCGTCAAATGAAAGATAAGTGGGTGATTTCGAAATGATTCAGAACCAAGGAGACAAGAGAGCTATTGAGAGTGAGATATGGTGAAAACTTCCGTTTGATAGTTCTATAATTCTATTGGCAAATTTCGTAATCAAAAGCATGATGCAAACGCGAATTCATCTGCATTACAAAATTAAGATTTATTGCAGCACTGAAAGAAAACCCTAGGGAACTTCAGTCTAATAATTCTCATAGCCTAGCCGGTGCTGATCAGAATTCCTTGGATTACAAATAGTTTTATTAATTTTTTTTTTGAGGCGCGCTGAGGCAAGACAATTTTTTGGATAACAAGAGTGGCACCTCGCCCCCCAGAAATTTTCGATTTTCCAAATATGGGGATTATATTTTGAATTTTGCAGAAAAGTTAATGAATAACAATTCTTAGGAACTCAAAATTTATCTCTTCAAATATTTGTTGGCCATCCCATAAAAGTCACCACCTCCCCCCTTCCGCGCCACTGTTTTGTTTGTCCATTTTTTCACGAATTGGTGTTTGGTAAATGCACTGTGCTCTTATTTCTTGACTTGTTCTAGAAAGAAAGGCAGGTCCTAGACGAAGGAAACCACTTTTATTTCATCTATGCGCTGAAACAGGTTTGAGATTATAAAAAACATGAGGATTCTCTGATCTCAATAAAAAATCCACTGTTCTCTAAACTGGCAAGTTCTGACTACTTTTCGCCCAGTTCCTCGTGCTCACCGGGATCAGTGTGTCTGTTTACGCGACAGATCGACGCAACTCTGAACGGCGAAAGCGGACAACGAGCGAGTCTTGATGTCATCGTTACAGCAGCACCCGGCTGACGCATCATCAGCAGACAAAAAGTTCGCTCGGCAGGAATGTAAACTGCGATTCGCTTCGTTTAGTGTTCAGACATCGATCAGTTGACTTTACTGCTCAGATTATGGTTTTAGATGCTGACTGAGCTCGTGTCCAGCCATGATCCATTCTTACTCCGACCTGGATCTGTGTTTCCTTTTTTTGATACTTTGTTCTCTCCTTCTATTTTCTTGTTCGTTTTAGCTGGACTCAGAAACATTCTGACTCCATGCTCAAATTTTTTTGCGACACCTATCCGTATTGTGACTTGTTATACTAACAAGGGAACCATGTTTAGTCGAAGTGGCCTTTTCAGATGGGATGTACAACAACATATTAAAAAGCATAAAACGCTGATTTTAAATCTGCTTTCCTCATCTGCGGAAATTTATGGACGAGTAGTTATGAACGTTTATTGGAGCAAAAAATTAAATGTGAATTTAGGGTAAAATGAGTTGCTAAAATCTTCTAGCCCTTGAATAAAGCAACCAAGTGTGATATTTTTTTATCTGAGAATATTCTTGGATAAATTGCTTATTGAAGCGCTAGAAAAAAATATTACAACAAGTTTGATCCTACTTGCACATGTAATTTTTTGCTTTAAAGAAAGCTCATAACTCCTTGTCTGCAAACGTCCCGCAGATAAGAAAGACAGATTGGAAATTAGCGTTTTATGCTCTCCATTATGGACATGCCATCCAAAAAGGCCACTTCGACTAAACATGGTTCCCTTGTAAGCTTTTCCGCAACATATTTGAAGAAATCGTAACTTACTCCCATCTTGATGAATTTGCTTACATTGGTTGAAGAGTAAATCAATGTCATTTTTGGAAACGGATTTGTCAGAAATTTTTAAGGTAGACCAATAGATCGGAAACGTCGCATTCTAGAGAGCTAGTGTTATTTTGACCACTTATTTCTACGTCTAGACAAAGTTTGGGTTCAACTGATTGTAATGTTTACAAGAAATGAAAACTCGAATCCAAACGACTTTCTTCTTTCGTTGCTATTCCTGGGAGCAACTTCATCAAAATAAAAGGATGTTACGATTATTTAGAAAACTGGCGGAATCTAGTGCTAGCCTAACATAAACTGCTGGAGCCGAAAACATTGCTTTCATCTGGGTTGCTATAGAAGTTACATGTCCGAAGTCGTCACAAATTAGCCACTTTTCTATTTACGCGCATTTACTATCAGCATATCATCTTCAGCTACTCGTGATAGGAACCTTGGTAGGAGACGCTATTATAAGTTATTACATGCGCTCGATGATTCACTTAACTAATACCAGATTTCAAAAAAATCGAAAGTGTTATACTGATAAGGCTGTTAAAAGCACACGTGATGCAATTTTTCTTCTTTTCATGGAAACCCTCGTACTCTTCCTTCGCTTTCTCCTTCTTTTTTCAAAGTTCCACCTCCGAATTTAAAGAAAAAGTGAAGTACCTGGAATCATTTTCTGCGGGTGACTTGTCGAATATCTGTACAACATAAACGCATGGACAATAGGGATGACCTCCTCCTGAAAACTTTCAACTTTGAGGACTTTTCATCTCATATGTTTCCGGTAAAGGTATATGTGCAAGAGAAAGTGATAAGACGAATAGCGCGATTAACCCTACCTTAAATACCAGCAATAAATCAGGGCCAACGGAAAGAGAAAGATTTTTTTCAATTTCTAACGAACCTATGGATATGCCAACCAAGCCTTTCTCATCCTTCGTAATTTCAATCGTTTCCGATTGAATCCTCATACCCATGCGATCCTCCTCCATGGTTACCCTGGAATGAATGGACTATGTACGATGTTTTGAAAGAAGTGGTATCGAGACAAACGAAATGGCTATTGACAATGGGCGTCAGAGCAAATATACATTGTTCTAGAAATTACTTGCGATAGTTCCTTTACCGGATTTCTGGGGGTGTTTAGAATTTCGCTGATGCATTTCGCAAACCAAGGTCACTCTAGAAACTTCTTATTGTTGAGATGGTAGTAAAACTATCCTTTGATTCAACTGGCTTGGCGGCTGGAAGGCGGGGCTTCGTGAACCTAGATAATGATCAGAGAGCATATGCGCGGGAGAGATGCAGACTGCGGCGCGGGCGCGAGCGGCCTTAATTAGGTCACAGAGTCCCACCTTCCAGCCGCCAAACCAGTTGAATCAAAGGTTACATCATGATATTGTTTTTGCGAGGTAGCATATGCTTTTGCTGAGCTGCGGTTCAGACTTTATTTTATTCCCAAAAAACCCTCGACGCAAATGAATGATTTCTTGATAATACCTCCTCTTCCAGACAAGTGGTCATGAAAGCAAGCCCCATTTACCTACCATGTAACTGTAGAAGCGAAACTTTCCGTATCGTATCGAATCACCCCAAAAAGTCATCTGAGAATCCAACATTGAGATGTGGGTTTTTTTTTTTGAAGGATCATCACGAAATCAAACTGCTCTACCTGTGCCTTCGAAATACTTCAAATTCTCCCTCCGCTTGCCCTCTTTCCTGTGACCATCACGGCTTCTAACTCAAGGTCAGTCGTAAAATAGCTTTACGGAGGCTCGATAGACGATACACGATTGATGTTATAGCTAGCCATAAAGATCGCGAGAATTGGTGATTGTAGTATTGTAGTAGCAAGATGACGAAACACTTTTTATTGCAAAATTCATTCTGAATTCAATAGCCACACCTTTAATAGTATGCTCAATTTGCACATTCTGTTAACGAGAGGCATGACAAGCAAGTCTTTCCAAAACTCATATCGCGAACGCAACCTCACGGAATACCAGTAGCGATTGTTACTCACAAAATGGAATCCTGTGGTCTTTTCTTTGGTCAATTTTCTAAGGTAGTCTTGCTTTTTTTTTGAGATAGAAGGCATCGATATATCACCACTTGGTCATAATATCAAATTCGTTTCACCATGTGGTGTTCGTTGGCAGCGCTTCAGTTTACTTCCCAAAAATCATTGCGAAACGCTGACATCGAGACGCGTCAAAAACTTGCGCAAACGAGCGGTTACTTGCCAGAGAGAGATGAAAAGAAACGAGTAGGGGGCAAACATGGTCCTACGACGAAACGCCGTTAGCCGCGCAGAAGTAACACAAACGTTGTGCACGCTCAACATGCCAAGAACTAATTCAAAAAATGTGACAGTCAAAGCTCATTCAGTACAGAAGTAATTATCCACTTTTCATTTACCCACTTCTTCATCTCTTATCGCAAGCTGTTTTGAGCATGGGCAGAGCATGTCTTTCAAGAGCAAACGCAAAACCTTAAACATTCCCCTTCCTCCCTCCCCTCCCCAGCTGTTAATCTCTTCAAATGTGTGTTCGAGAGAGAGAATAAGAGAAGCAAATTTGCAGTTCAACTAGAAAACTAGCAAATGTTAGATGAAAAAGCTGATCATTCGGAATCAACTTGACGAAGACGCAGTGGCCCAAGCCGCTTGTAAAGCAGGCTTTGCCCAAGGGCTTATCGATCCGGCGCCAAAGTGGCAGCGGAGCTGCCTCCCGTTGTTTCAGTTCGCAACATATCCATTTCGAAAAAGGTCCTGTGTGATTCTGTACATCAAACCGTCGAACCCAAAGGCATCAAACATTTGACTCAGTTGTTGACGTCTAGCACCCAGTTCAAGAACTACGACGTGTTTGCTTCAATAACAACGCACTCATCGATTTTATTCCCGCCGTGTTATAGGTACCCACCGTCTCATCATGTGCTCCCTCTTTTATGTGCATTCGTGTGCATCCTTGTTTCTAGAATTTACTTGACATGACTAATGCACTTGTAATGGGCCCATGTCGCTTTGCCCACCTTGATAGTTCATATATCTGTTCAGAACTTTTCTATCATAGAATGTTCTATGAAAGCTCGAAATATGATTCATTTTGTAAATACCAATTGTCGCGATTGACGTGCATTGCTAGCAACTTCTATTTCGTTTTTTTCTACCACTACTCTTTAGCTTTCTGTTCACCACATTTTTCAACGCATTACGACATATTATTCGGTGGTACATATACAACTCAGTACGTAGTTGTACAGTGAGAAATATACTGAGGTTTTTTTGCAATAAGCTAACGCGGAAAAGTCTTGCTGTTCCTTACCAATCAGTAGAAATTCTCATGCGCACTAAAAGCTTGGGTTTTCTTACAAGGGAAGTTCACTTAGTCGAAGTGGCGATTCGAAAGGAGATCTATATCAGTGAATAGAGCTTAAAAAGCTGTTTTCAGATACACCTTCTATATCTGCGAGGCGTTGTTCTGAAAAAAGTTATGCGCTTTTCTAAAGCCAAATTTTAGTGCATTCTGAGTCGCAAAATTATAATAATCTCTACACAAAAGTGTGCACGCTTGAGCAAACCACTTAATAAGCATTGTAGGTCTAATTCGAGTTCATTCAAACTTTTCGATGTTCTCCGACCATGTTGTTTATTCGGAGCCCCTCATTTCCTTCCTAGATCACACTTCCACAATGTATACAAAAAAGCCCATAACCTTTATCTAAGAAAGCGCGTCGCAGATATTGAAGATATATTTGAGAACATCTTTTACGTTCTATTCCTCGGTAGTTTCCAAAAATTTTCCGACGCGACGCGTTTTTCTAGATGGAGATTATGGTGCTTTATTGTATACACCAATTCGTCACCTCCGCTTCGCGGAGGTTCGCACTGGCTCCCTATCCGTGTGCCTTTCTCATGTTCGCATGAGAATGGTTTTGAAACTTACCACGCGATGCTGAGCATCACAAATTGATCGTAAACAAATGTTCATTCATGAAGAGTTCTGCATGTAAGATCGGTAATTTTTAGGAAAAAAACTTTGTTGCAAGGAAACAAATGCGAATTTGAAAGGATTACTGGATTTATTCTAGTTTGATGATCGTCATAAGGATAACAGTCACCTAGGGCTACATTTCGGTGCAAAAATCTTTTCAGTTTTTTCAAGTAAAACCTTGCCAAAGCGACTATCTACGCGCTCATCAATTTTTGGCGCTGTTTTCGCAGAAAAGCAAACTTTTTGAGCACTTTTTGGGCTAGAATTCATGGCGCGCAGAGTTACTTGTCAGGCAAATCATAACTTTGCAAAAAGTCGAATTAGCGGCCCAGTTTTGCGTGCCAAAAGGCGCGTGGACCCGTTTGACGCGCAAATTTTGAGGGACCCGCTTATCGAACCGGCTCGTCCTTGTGCATGGTGGGCCTACACGCTGGCACGATATGCTATGCAAAATTTCAGCCCGATAGCTTAGTTGCAGCTTCCTCTATGAATTTCGTGACAGACAGATTTTCACACAGACACACAGACACACAAAAAAACAGACGGCCTTAGCGCGTTATTATAGTAGGATAACTAGCTGGCTTACCCGGCTCCGCCCTATGTTCCGAATAGAAAATTCCATTTCTGAACCGATCCGGACCAAACTTGGCACTCATACACTTCGGGCCCCGGCGGGTGTCATAGTCCACTTTTCGTTATCGATCGATGTCGATTTTATCGATTTTTTGCAAAATTTGAGCTAGGGGGCTGGAATTTGGCAGAGGGGTGTAATCGAGCATTCTGATCACCCCCACGGGGGTGATCAGCATGCTCGATTACCCCCCTGTGCCAACTAAAAGATCGATAAAATCGATATCGATCGATGACGAAAAGTAGCCTATGACACCCGCCGGGGGCCCGAAGTGTAAGTGTGCTAAGTTTGGGATCGGTTCAGAAATGGAATTTTCTATTCGGAACATACGTACAGACAGACATACAGACAGACAAACAGACATTCAGCTTTATATATAAGATGAAAGTGTGGTCTAGGAATGAAATGACGACTTGTGGATGAACAACATGTTCGAAAAACATTCGAAAGCATTCGGATGAATTCGAATTAGGGCTAAAATGCTTACTAGGTGGTTTGCTCAAGCTTGCACACTTTTGTGTAGCGATTATCATGATTTTGCGACTCAAAATGCACGAAAATTTGGCTTTAAAAAAGCTCATAAGTTTTTTTCAGAACAACGCATCGCAGATATAGAAGGTATATCTGAGATCAGCTTTTTAAGCTCTATCCACTGGTATAGATCTCCTTACGAATCGCCATTTCGACTAAGTGAACTTCCCTTGTTAGGTATATCTGGCCCGCCAACATTTTCCCGCTGTTTCAGCTCTTTCATATCGATACTTCCTTCCTCTTTTCACATGCTTTGGGAAGTGACTCCGAAAAATAAAAAAAGGCTTTGAAGATAGAAAAGAACTTTGTTTGTTATTCTAGACTCTCTCCTTTTGTGTTTGAGCACTTGAGCTTGATTTGAAATCCGGCAGGAAAAATTTGAAGAGTTTAGGTAAACTCATGCGTCTTCTCTACATTCTTGCCATTTCCTTGGGACGTTCTTGCCTTTGGATAAAAAGCTGCTGTATCTTTCCAATTTCCCCATCATTTATCTGCAAAACAATGTAAAAAAGGGGTATTTGCAGCTCACCAAATGATTTGTGGAAGTTATTAACAGAAAACGAAGTCGTATCGGCGATTTGGAACGAAATGCATATCATCTGGAAATCGTTTCAACAGCTGAGTTCAAACTTGTTTTCCAAATCTGCTGAACTATGTTGAAGAAGTTTTGTATGTTTGAAAGCCCAAATTTGGCAAGCGTCTGATCACAGTCCATGAGCTAGTGTTTCAAAAACACTTGTTTTTTTCCGTGTCGATTATACACTGTTCCAAATCACTTGTGTGTCTTTTTAAGTATTTATTTTTTTCTGTAGTCAAGATACACATCGTCCTAGTTAGCTCTCCCAGGCTAATAGGCAATCATTTTATAGGACTTTGATGAGTTACTCTTTGAAAGCTCATGGCTTCTCTCCAAAGTCTCTAGCTGATATAAGAATATATTAAAAGAAGCGTTTAGAGCTGTTTCTGGTTTTCATGATCTCTCTCTGAATCGTTGGTGTGACTCGACTTTTTTTCTTAAGAAAGTGTATTGCTAGTAAACTCTTCATACTCTCCATTTGGAAACTTTTTGTGTGAAAAGAAAGAGACATGACGCGCGTGTGTAGTAGAGTGCAATTTTTTGTGAAAATGAGTCGTGATTAAGAAATGTTTGAGCGAACAAAAGCATGGCGTCAGGTCTTTTTCTTCTTTGTTTTTGTATTGCTTAAACAAAGCACTCGCTGACTCTCCCATTCGGGGATAAGCGAAAAAACGTTCGCATGCATGCGCACTTGACTTCGCCAGCCATTCGAGCTCAAAACTTCTTGATAAAGCTTACACCCCTCTATCTGTCACCGGAATAGTCCGGTTAACTACTGTACGAGTCTACAGTCAGAGCGATTTGGCTGATTAGCTGTTTGAAGTGTCATCTGCTGAGCATGATTACTGTTATCCCAAATTTTCCAAGCTGTTAGTTCCTTGAAAAAGTCGCATCAAGTGCTGTCATGTATCATAGCAGCAGGCTTAAGACCAAACTGTATAAAATAGAGTTGGATAGAGCAGTAAGTTCTGCAAGGCAACTAATAATTGCATCAAGTTCAATCCATGGGAATTATCAAAGTTACCAAAGTTTTAAATGTCTTGATTGCTCGAAAGCGCGAGAACTTTTCGTATTTTTTCGTCCGAAAAAAATCCTACGATCGCCCACTCATCACGCGTGTAATCTCCTCCATCATCCACATGTACAATCGTGAAATTTGTTCTCGGCTAAAATTTAAGAAAAGAAGAAATTTCCTGTTTTCGTCAAAGCATTGCTTGGCTGTTCTCATGTAATTCTTATACTACGAACCTTTCAAGTCTGTACAAACGTAGGTTTTTAGCTTTCTAGAAGGACTATTTTTTGGGAGATCAAATTCAGCATAATCGGGAAAAGCAAGGGTTTTGGGTTTTTTCTAGAATTGTTGTTGTTGTGACCATGAGCCCATATGCACTTTCTGCGGGGGAGGGGCGATGAGAGGGAAGCCGGAGCTTGCATACTTGTGCTTCAAAATTCGATACCATTCCTTTCTTATTCATCTTTACCCGGTTTACTTCAGTATAACCATGTCTAGAACAGTCAAGATGTTACGTTTCAGTGTTTTTTGTATTTCTTCTGTGGCCTTTCTTCCTTTTTCTTAGAACTTTGCCGAGGTTAAGGGAACGCAAAGAACATAATCTAATCCGATTGTCCTAAACCAGTTCCTAATGTCATGCAGTGCAACCTTATAGAATGGTATTCCGAGCAGTTTTCCCGTGAAGTAGAGATTTGAAAGGTTGAGCTTATGTGCCCTCGCCAAAACGTGCACCGCTCTATCAGAATGGACTTTTCTACACCTTTTTTCTGTTTTGTTGGCTCACCTCAAAAAAAAAGGATGGTTGTATAGTAGCAAATGTCGCTCACTCGGCTCTTGTGATTGTTCAACTTTTTGGGCAAATGTAGCAAATTTATTTGGAGATTAATTGAACAATCAAGTTTTTATAACACTGGAATTCCACTATGGCGCGCGCCACTTGCTCCACTTGTCCACTTTTTCCACTTCATCCACTTCGCTATATCAAGTCAGTGGACTGACCAATAGTGAATCAAGTGGATCAAGTATGGCGCGTGCCTATCAAATGTAAATTTCGTGCATATAAACCTCTCATCTATCAGATCTCTCTAGAAGCAGAAGTTTGACCATATGGTGAAAAATAGGAGTGATTCAAGGGGATGGCTCTCCACATGCATGCTATAGCTTTTACAGCTGCTGAGCTGATATTTCATGTTTCCCGATTTCCCGCGCTCTGCTGGCCAATGTTTGCGCACGCTGTGGTCTGTGCCACTTCTTTTATCTCTTCCCTTGCTAGTTAGGGATCGTTCAGACCGCGCCTGTACCCGCCCAAATACGCCCGAATACGTCCAAATACGTCCAAATACGCCCAAATACGTCCGAATACGTCCAAATACGTCCGAATACGTCCAAATACGTCCGAATACGCCCAAACCCGCCCGAACGCCGAAACTGCCAATGCGCAGCAAATTGCATGCAAATTGGCATATTGGAGCACGCGTGGAATACTGCGTGCGTGGTGCATATATGGTAGCCACACGTAGCTCGACGTTACATACCGATTTTCATATGCGACTAGCGGGATTACAAAGATCAATCGACTTTGCGTCTGTTTTTATTTCTTCTCATGTTTGCCGACTCTAGGTGAGTTCTAACTTTCGTGCTGTGCGTTTTCTTTTCTTTTGAGCATGACGATCTTGTTGAGGTAATGCTTTGTTCTGTCTGAGTCATTTCTTTCCATATTGATCTGGTGCAATAAAAAGGCCCGGTCTTTGCTCAAAAGCGCCCAAATTTTTCTGTCTTTCTCTGGAGGAGAGATAGGAGTGAAGAGAGATTCAAAAAACTTGAGCGCTTTCGGGGGCTTTTGAGCGAAGTCTGGCGGGGCCGAAGAGGTATTCTAGTCATCTTTACGCGTTAGGCATACTGTCCCTGTAAAGTATAAACAAAAAGTTGACAACGCATGTACTTAGAAAACAGACAAAGAAAATGTGCATATTCTACTCATTCCAGATCAATATGGAAAGAAATGACTCATAGACAGAACAAAGCATTACCTCAACAAGATCGTCATGCTCAAAAGAAAAGAAAACGCACAGCACGAAAGTTAGAACTCACCTAGAGTCAGCAAACATGAGAAGAAATAAAAACAGACGCAAAGTCGATTGATCTCTGTAATCCCGCTAGTCGCATATGAAAATCGGTATGTAACGTCGAGCTACGTGTGGCTACCATATATGCACCACGCACGCAGTATTCCACGCGTGCTCCAATATGCCAATTTGCATGCAATTTGCTGCGCATTGGCAGTTTCGGCGTTCGGGCGGGTTTGGACGTATTCGGACGTATTTGGACGTATTCGGACGTATTCGGACGTATTTGGGCGTATTTGGACGTATTTGGACGTATTCGGACGTATTTGGGCGTATTTGGACGTGTTTGGACGTATTCGGGCGTATTTGGGCGGGTACAGGCGCGGTCTGAACGATCCCTTACATGATGTCGATTCTATTATCTATCGTTTATTGACATGTGGCAGGACGCATCTTCTTCATCAACGCTATCGACTTGCTGATTTTTCGTCAGTATTGATTGACTCATGTTCCGCTTTTTGACTCTTCGCACGTTTCACCACTTTGTTATGAGATGCGGACGTGGTGTCTCGATTGAGACTGCACAACATGCTCACCTACTTTTGTGGTTTCATTGTTTCTGAGAATATACTGTTCTGATTTTTCGTATCACCGTCTCCATTGTTCTGGTCGTGAGAACTGAAATATGTATGATGGGTCATCGCCTTTTTGAACGGTATCGAAAGTCGCGTCATCTCTGTCAGAATTTCGATCATCAATATTCGCAATTTTAGTTCTCGTCATGATTTTTAAAAATTATCAACTACATCAATTCTATGTTTATATCTGCGTGTTTGCTCTACACCTTTGATGACGAAAAACTATTCTAACACTTTTCAGGGGTGGGATGGAATCCCTAATACCTGTTGTAAACAAATTACAAGATGTTTTTGCAACACTTGGACGTCGCGAGGATCAAATACAATTGCCACAGATTGTAGTCATAGGATCACAGGTATGTTTTATCAGCATTTCCTGAAGGAATTGTCAGGTACAAAAATCAAAGTCTGCCGTTTCATTACGCCTCAACATTAAGGCTATCGATTGGACTAGGGACATCATACTTCGCCGAAAAAAGCTCAAAGAAGCTCCAAAAAAGCCCGAGAGCCGGAAGCAGAAACGAATTTTTGGTAGAATTCTGACATTATTTTGATGTGCAGACGACAGAAAATGAAGCAAAAAGACTCAGTTGAGAAATCAACACGAATGCCTGAGCATCAAAACGGGTTTTTTGGGCTTTTTCGGGCTTCTTTGGGCTTTTTTTCGGCGAAGTATGACTGGTCCCTTAGCCCGCTTCTGGCAGCTGGCTTGCGTAATGGGACTATAGCTTTTTTTTCGTTGTGCAGAACTTTTCTCAAATATGATTGTTCATTTTCGTTCATATACGTAGATGGGAGTGCATAAAGTGGACTCACCACGGCTCTTTTTTTTTCACTTTGGCGAAGCGCAGAAATCTTATTAATTCCTTATTAATCATCCGCTGGTCATGAGCTAGCCATCAAGTAGTGAGGTATCTATGCCACGAAGTAGCAAATAGAAATCTCGCATCTCACGTCTCAAATCTCCAGAAATCTGTACAGTCTGTTCACTTTTACATTAACGGTGTTGTTCAGAATACGATATGTTTCCAATCTTTTTTGGTTCCATTCGAAGTTTGTGTCGATGTACACAAGAAAATATGATTTTTGAGTTTTTTGCACTTGTCTTGTTCTTGTAAAACCATTAAGTGAGTTTTTATGCTAGTATCCATTTCAGAGTGCTGGGAAGAGCTCGGTATTAGAAAATATTGTTGGACGTGATTTCTTACCGCGTGGTACGGGCATTGTCACAAGACGTCCGCTGATTCTTCATTTGTCCCATGTACCAGCTGATGATGAAATTCGACGGAGAAAACCAGATGGTTAGCTTTCATGCATGAACATTCCATATTTTTGTCGTGATACTGTTTGGCATTTCCAGGTACTCTAATCACTGAGGACTGGGCCATGTTTGAACATACGGGTGGAGCAATATACAGCGATTTTGCTGAAGTGCGAAAGGAGATTGAGACAGAAACTGATAGACTTACTGGTCATAACAAGGTCCAAATTTATCTTCTTTTCATGTCTTACTCTATGTTCTTTTTTTTTAAATTTTCGTTTCGTCGTTGGTGTTTCTCCTTACTCTGCTTGTTTCAGGGTATTTCACCCATCCCAATAATACTTAGGATATACTCGCAAAATGTAGTAAACTTATCGCTGGTTGACTTACCTGGTATCACGAAGGTGCCCGTTGGGGATCAACCCGCCAACATCGAGGTAAAATAAAATCTATCGCATGTTACGACTGACATAGTTGATTTACATATATACAGGAGCAAATTCGCGAGATGTTGCTGTCCTACATTTCCAACCCTTCTTCGATCATTTTAGCTGTCACTCCTGCTAATCAGGATTTTGCTACTTCTGAGCCAATCAAAATTGCACGTGAAGTAGATCCTGAAGGTATCCGGATTCATTCGCATTTACGCTGCATGTAGTAAAAATTGGTTAGTCCTAACATGTCAGGTCAACGAACGTTAGCGGTGCTAACGAAATTGGATCTGATGGATCAGGGTACGGATGCTATGGATGTTTTGATGGGCAAAGTCGTTCCTGTCAAACTGGGCATCATTGGTGTGGTTAACCGCTCTCAGGTATGCATTTTCGTTGTCATTGCATCGCCATACTTTGCTGTTGAACCTGTCCAATGATCGGGTCAAGCTGTGTGTATATTGCACTGATAAAGTGCGCGGGTTTGGAGAGAAGGAGATAAAGTCGAGAAATCAGAAAAAAAAGCATTTGCATCTTCCGTGTTGAAAATTTGCAGTTCCAATTATGAAAATTCGACGACCGGTAACGACACGGCGCTGAAACGGCTGGATTCGCCATGGAGCGCGGATTGTGATTAGAGCGGATTTCCTCACCTGACTTCAATTTGGACAAATAAGATTTGGACAAAACCATGCTCACAGCATTTTGGGCGGGGAGGGTATGTTAGCCTATCGCTCAATAACTATTTTGATTTTTGAGTCTGAGCCACGGGTGGAGTTGGTGCAGATGGATAAGTATGTATGCTGAACAAGAAAACATAGTGGGGAAGGGAATCTAACACACGGGAGTGGGACATGGACAGGGGAATTTTGTTTAGTGATGGAATATTGACTTTACTATAGCGTATCGAAGGAAAGGGTGGAGTCAAGTATGCCGGCCAGAGATGCAAAGAATTCTACATCTTCTGGGAAGGGATGAACTCAATGGAAACTCTATTTGATCTTCAGATCAAAAGTAACGAAGAAATCTTGATGAGCCCAACAAATAAGACTCGACCCAAGTTGAAAGCTGTAGTGGAAAGTGTTACTGCGATCAGACTCACGCATCGTTTGTGCTCGAAGGGGGTTCCCAGTACCATCAACGTGGCTGCCTTTCGATCGTTTCAACGTGTCAGCTTCAAATAAGCGCCTTCAATTTGCTGTAGTTAACGTGTCAAAACGATCGAAAGGCAGCCACGTTGACGGTACCTACGAGAACCTCTCTGATGCACAAATCAAACAGTGAATAAGCCAGCATACTTCAAAGCAACATTGGAGCACATGACAACATGTGCAAGAACAAGAGTGCCATTAGGAGAACTAATTTCAGTCTACCTTCTCTTTTATCTTGCAAGCTTATATTGATCCAGTATCCAGGAATTACTGTCTTGCTAATCATAACGACCACATCTCATGCACCACTTCCGTATAATCGCTCTTTTGTTCTGCTTCTTCACTTTCGCCTAGTTGTTGCAAGCTATGGAAGAGATGTTGGTTATGTGTTATATGTTCCAAATATCAATACCTACATTTGGTTCACCTTTCTGCAACAACCAATTCCCGTTTCTGTAGTGAGTATATGCATCTAGCCTCAGTTGGGAGGACCTACACTGCGGAAATTATCGCAAAATAAGTACTTATATGTGCACTTAACCGGAGTGGACTCTTGTAAGTAAACATGCGAAAAAGAACCACTTAAATCAAAAAAAAAACCTTTGAATCATCTTTCGTCAAACGCTAAAAAGTCAAGTTCCATGCCAATTACGCGCTCCGCTCGACAGCCGCGCTCCAAGGCGAATCCAGCCGTTTCAGCGCCGTGTGGTTACCGGTCGTCTGAAAATTCTGCAAGGAAGTGATTGTGCTTGGTGCAGCTTCAACTTTTGCGTTGTCGATTGTGTGTTTGAACTTTTTTCATTGGCATCTTGGTCGCAATTCATCTTCGGCAAAGAGAAATCACCGTGACATAATTTTTAAAAAGATGTCCACTTTTTATTGTTGATATCTTACGTAGATGCCAGAGTAAGCGAATATTTTGTTCAGGTTGGGGTCCCGCGCAGAATTGACGTCTCTCACCATGCTGGCGTCAATCCAAGTGACATCAATTCTGCGCGGAACCCCAACCTGAACAAAATATTCGCTTATAAGCGAATAGCAGCAAAACGCAAGGTGGAATGTTCATTTGCCTTATCAATACTCGAATAGCTTACAAGGCTCTTCCGAGGGCTATGCGAGCGAAGGCCGCCCAATCCATCCTGGCCTGTGAGAGCATGTCGAAGGCTTTTGATCGCTCCCTGTCGTCCTTCCAAGATTTGTCCACCATCTAAATCAATGAAAAATAATAATGAAAAGTTAGGACTGGATTTCTAGAGAAGAAGCTTCAAAATTGGATTTCGAATAAAGCTAATTTTGGATTGAAGTAATGAAAAGAAGAGAGGGCTTAGGTGGGATGGAGAATGCACGAATTTTGAAAATAGGGAGCAAAAAAAACCTGGAATTATGCAATATGATCTGAGATTTGAAATGCGCGTCGATATTGCGAAACTGCTCGCGTCACTCATCATCTCCCGATTTTCTTTCGCGACCATCCGCAAAAACTGTCAAAATATTGTCTCGCGCATGTCTACGCCCTTTCCCGCGAATCCCCCAAAAAGGGGCGGATCCCCGGCGCGGGGCACCTACCTACGCGAATTTTTTGTTCAGGTTGGGGTCCCGCGCAGAATTGACGTCACTTGGATTGACGCCAGCATGGTGAGTGACGTCCATTCTGCGCGGGACCCCAACCTGAACAAAATATTCGCTTACTCTGGCACCTACTTTATGCACACACTGTTTAATCATTGATATCTCTCTCTCCACAGAGTCTTTAGCGATCTCGGGTTCCAATGTGTAGAGCTGGCTTCAATTTAGATTCATGTGATGAAGCTATCTACGTACGGTAGGAAATTTTAAGATGCATCGCCTCTGTAAAATAGGCTGTTCGAATTTTTCTGGGTCTGTGAAGTTGCATGGCAATTTTTCACACATTAAAAATCACTAAATTTTTTCATGAGTTTTCAAGTTCACCAATTTTGTACTTAGTTTTGTGGAACAAATACATCGCTACATTGCTCTTGACACAGCTCATAAAAAAGCGTAATGGTAAGTGCGCGTTTCGTATTCCAAGTCAGCGATGCTGATCATCCTAATATATAGGAGTTTTGCTGTTTGGTTTCCTTTCTTGAGCTAGATATGTCGCTCAAAGCAACGTAGTTCTCAGCAACAGTAGGCAGTTAAATTGTATCATAGTGTAAATGTAAGTTGAGGGCAGCTCTACACATCGATACGCAAAGGTGCGTGGGCAAAAGAAGTAAGAGAAAAATCAGTAAAATAGTGAGCATATTCTTACACCTTTAATAACCACCATTTGCTCATTCAACTTCAGAAATCGGTTTGCAGTAGTAGATGACTAGCATTTCTCCTGCGCATTAGGTCGTCACAAAACTCAATTGGCTGATCATATGTTATTTATAAACTTGACTTTTTTGCTGATCGAAATTTGGATTTTGGACAGTGATGTGGCGAGCAAGTAATTACATCTGCACGCGAATTTTGTTGACGTAGGGCTTGATCATGACGGCATTTGCTGTCAACTAGTTAAATGAGAGGGAGGGGGAAGGGAGTTTTCTCATTATCGCCGCGTTGCAGAAAGTCATTCTTTTTCCTCTTTCTGTCCTTTCCATATTGTATTCCACTGGCGGTGTTAATTTTGCAGATTTTCGTGTGGGCGAAGTTCAGGACATGAGATATTGGTTTGTCGAATAAGTATAGAATACCAAATGTCGATTTTAGCAAGCTATTATCGATAACAAGCCGATTGCTGATGCTATACGAGATGAGCAATCTTTTCTTCATCGAAAATACCCTACACTCGCAAGCAGGAATGGTACACCATATCTAGCGAAGAAACTGAATCTGGTTAGTTTATTTTGAATTTGTAGAATTTGATGTTTCCATAGTTTATCAAGAAGCAGGGCAAGAATTTAGGAATGAATGGAAGGGTTGACGTACAAAGTCCGTAAATTAAGGCAAATAGTATCACAAATTTACTTGCTTAGTTTGTTTCAGAAAATGCGAGGATGCTTTTTAAGCACCTGTACTAATAACAAGCTTTCCGCGCTTTTTATGAGGGATTTAGTAATCAATCAGGAGTGTTAGCATGATGCGGGCATATCATTCGTTCGATCGGCCCATCGCTCGTATAAATGTACACTTTAGCTTCTCATGCATCATATTCGCAACTGCCTACCAGCCCTAAAAGCTCGGGTCTCCATCATGCACTCTCAGTGTCAGGCCGACCTTCAAGCATTCGGAGAACCTGTTGTAAGTATGCGTTTATATCTGAAGATGCAGTAGTTCACATATAGTCTGCAGGATGACAAGAGCAGGACGTTATTACAAATAATCACACGTTTTGCAACAGCTTACACTTCTACGATTGAAGGAACAGCTAGAAACATAGAGACTACGGAATTGTGAGTGATTGCCCGTGTGCTTCTTTGACCCATTCAACGTTATAAGATTATTATGTTCTGATTGGCTTGCAGATGCGGCGGTGCCCGAATATGCTTCATATTCCATGAGACGTTTGGGAAGTCTCTAGAATGTGTAAATCCATTGGAGAACCTAACCGAAATGGATATCTTGACAGCAATCAGGAATGCCACTGTTAGTCAGCTTTTTTGACATTTTTTTGCGTAAGAAAGAATGGCAGATATAATACTGGACTTGCCCTGTAATAGTTCTCATGCATGATATTGTAGGGTCCTCGCCCTGCTTTGTTTGTACCAGAAGTCGCCTTTGAACTTCTGGTGAAGCGACAAATCCAGCGTCTGGAGGAACCAAGTTTACGATGTGTGGAACTAGTTCACGAGGAAATGCAGAGAATGGTAAAACATTGTGGACTCACTACACAGGTCAGTCTTTTTCTCTACTTCCTATGATACAACTATCTTAATGATTACGTTTTTCAGCAAGAAATGCAAAGGTTTCCGCGGTTGTATGATAAGATTAATGAAGTTGTCAGTGGAGTACTGAAAAGTCGACTTCGTCCTACCAATGAAATGGTTCGTTTTTTTCTTTCTCTTTCTGGTCTATATGTCAACGTATTAGGTAGCAAATCAAGTCGCGATTGAACTTGCGTACATCAATACGCGGCATCCGGAGTTTGTGGGCGAGGCAAACCGAACATTATTGAATGCTGAAGAGGTACTTTCTGATCGAGGTCGACCGCGGCAGCGAGCATCTTCGATAGAAGAAAGGTCGTCGACGGCTAGCAATGAGCAGGTATGTGTGATTTGTGCAAGATTCTTTTTTGAAATTTATCGGAGAGCTCTTGTTTTTGTTTTTTATGTGCATGCTATATAGGTGACTCTTGCGTAGATAGAATTAGTCCTATCCTTGGCTCTTGTCATGGTCGGTGTTGTGAAGAGAGGGAAAAATGCAATATCTGTCAATGGCATCCGCTTGGGCACGTATTCGTGGCAGAAGCTGGGCACAGACTGGTAGAAGGTGGCCTCTCAAGACTTCCCCTCGGGTACAAAGTTGTGATTACTTCCCTCCTCTCCCCCCAGGGACTGGATCGTGGTGTATGACCAAGGGATTTTGGGTCCATCTGTTACATAATCATCTGAGAAAATTTGTTTCATCAATCCAATGTTGACTATTGAAATTTCAATGGTCTCGTGTCCCATGCGTGAGTCTCTTTCTGTCTCATTTTACGCTTTTGTAACTTAGCGAAGAACTTCATTTTCTAGCTCTAACTCCTTTGCGTCTCACGGAGCAATAAGAGAAAAGCTATCAACATGTCTTTCAAATTTTTGAATATGGAGTTGTAGAGGTATCGCTCCATGTTTGCAGACAGAAGGAGAATAGTTGTTCTTTTACGCTTCACAATCAGTGGTTTTATGTATTAGCACATCTAATTGAAGAGAATCGTACCCTGTCCTAATGGCGATCAGCAAGGATACGTATCGTTATGGTAATGATTTCAAGTCTGCTCTTTATATCTGCAAAACAAATGTGAAAATATTACGAATCCCAAATCCACAGGTTTTGCTTCGTCCATGGTGGAATAGGTACCCGGTCATCTGTAGCATTGCTAGCACAGTTGGGAATGTGTTTGACTTTAGTAAGGTGAGTGAAGTCCTTGAGGGACAATTCTTCGAGACTTTGTCTATCTTCAAACATTAATTTACATGATAGATATTCTTATTTTTCATCATGCTATAGTTTTGGGCGCTTTTTTACCCCAGCAGCATTTTTTTCAGTTGAATTCTACTTGCGTACTGTTAAGTTTTTGACAGTGCAGAGTTTTCAGTATTTCAAATCAGTACTTCATTTGATATAATAGTTTGTGAAATGGTTGCAATGACACATGTACCTCATTAATGTCGATCTCGCAAATGTGCTTGACTTGTTGCGCTGATCTCGTTCAATCGCTATTTATTCATCACTTTGAGCAGGTCGTCATCATTTGAGCCGACTAAAGTATAGCTCTGTCCTTCCTTATCTATGTTTTTCTCTCGTTTGCTATGCCGCTCGGACAGTGCCAATTTGGGCCCAAATAGTTCTGACGTAGCCCTGAGGCATACTGTCAAGTTGGCGAATTGGCGCTGCAAAAAATATACGGTAGAAATGCTTTTAGAATCCAAAAGTCATGAAGTGCAAGAATGCATAGGACGACTACAAAATTTTCACAGATGGCGATTGCGTTCAGTTTCGGCGACGTTTGATGCTTTTATCTCTACCTGGAGCATTTTTCTTGCACGCAAATGACAGTTTCCAGATGATCGAAGTCTGAGCTGAGCACTGAAGTCATGACTTCAGGATGTTTATGTGTACCAAAAGTTTCTATCGTAGCACAGTATTGGGGAATGATCTGTCTTCTGCAGTAGCGCATCCAGAATCATCGTCCGAAGGGGGGGGGGTCACATTTTTTTATCCGCATTTCGAAAGAAATTTCTTCACAAGGCTAATTTGAAATTGCAATAATCTTGAAATCTCAATCATTCGCAATTAAAAATAAATCACTTGCACATTTTTGTAGCACATGTAAGTGCCCTTTAAAAACTCCGCGGCCCATTTTCAGTTTGCATTGCAAATCTGATCTGATCTGATATATGAAGAATCGCAACGCCAATTCAAAAAACATCAGATAGCGGGAGACCGCGGTGCGGTCCCGAACCCGTGCGACAATCTAGCACCTTTAATTACTGGGTCACTAGTATAAAACGGAAGCAACATTCGAAAATGATACTCAAAACTTCGCAGATTTGTAGACAAAGTGAGTTAACGATCGAACAGTGTGCACTTCGGACACTCGTGTATTGCTCAGAAGAAGCACATTCCCAACTGCGTTAGTACTGCTACCGATACGCGGTATTTTCAATCGAAAATTTCAAGAAAATTTTGTAAAGTTTTCACGCGAACGAAACAGATTGGAAATCAGCTCGGGAGCTTGTAAGTAAACATCCTTCTTATCTTTTGCGATTCCATTATTTACTGTCAGCTTACAGAGGATGTATTTATGTACCTAATCTGCCCAAAGAATGTTTAATGGAAGTACGCTATTAGTTCTTGTTGCCCGCCTCTAACACTTTTATCTCGAGCAGTCTGGGTTTTTTAGTATGTGTAGTGTTCAAATTTTGAGTATTCCGAAGCGGTCATCTACTTAGTCTTCTAATAACGACCTAAATCCCAATCAGCAGACTGCTTCTTGTTAACACTCGTATCATATTTTGATTCGGAAGCCTTGTTGCAGATCCACCTTCATAAACAACGTGCGCGTCTTTACTATGGCCAATTTGCCCCTGTCATCATACGAGCATTTCGTTGGATAAGGGCGGGGCTTAGAACGTGCAGAGCGCTAGTTGTAACGGTATTGGTTGTCCTTGCTTTCGACTCATGCTGCACATGTGTGTGAAAGCAGATTTAATGGTGCTTCAGTTACCTAAGTTTTCCTCACTTCAGTGGTGGGAACAGTTAACTGGCTGATGAACACTGTTCTCGAGCTTTCGAAGATTCTTGTAGCTTTTCATCGAATCAACAGCGGGTTAACAAATTGACAGTGTCAGCTAAATTTGGGGTGAGATTAAATCCAAGCATGCTTCTAAAAGGCAGTAGATCTTATGAACGGCACCATATGGAATTATCAGAAGCGAATGAAACTGCTTCGAAGCTGAGAAGTTCACTCAAATATCTGGTCCTCTTTTGATAACCTGTCGGGCTGCCCTCATCTTGCGTGCAGCCGCAGTGAGCATAGGACGCCGCGATGCTACCGCCATGAAGCATCCGCTTCGTTCCTGTTGAACCCAACTGGAGGGCACTCGACAGTGTCAATTGTGCATCGCGATGACCGGCCATGGTCGCTGCCGGTCACCATATACCTGCTGAGAAGAAGTTAAAGGCAGTTCTGGGCAAGAAGTCGATTTTGAGGTTTTGTGCTCACCTGGGCCTATTCGCTATTGAATCCGAAATTCAAACTGTAGAGCCTGAAAATGGCGAAAAAGGGCTCTAACGCAGGGGAAATCAGTAGATGGGCGGGACCGTCCCCACTATTAATCACGCTCCCAGCTTTCGGAGCCATCTTATCTGCTCCAACTTCAGGTCAAGCGCTTGCGCTTGGCCGGTGGCCATGCCAGAGCGGCTAGCGGAAGCGAGAAGGTAGTTCCGGAAGCTGGGAGTGCGCATGCACAGTGGGGAAGATCCCGCCCACCTGCTGATTTTCCTCCTGCCTTAAAGCTGTTTTTCACAGTTTTCACGTTCTCCAATGTGGATTTTCAGATTCACAAGGGAAGAATACCAACATTAGTCGGCGATTGAAGATGTGATGTATATCAGTAGACGCGCGTTTGAACGCTGATTCCAAACTGCTTTCCTTTTTTGCGGAATAAGTTTCCGAAAGAAGTTGTGGACGTTCAAATGTCAAAATTGTCAAGGTTTAGGTGGCCTAAAATTGGCGAAAAGCTGCACAAAAACATCGGAAAGTAATTCATTTTTTGTATCGAATATAATGTTTGCAAGGAAGGAACAAAGGCGGTGGAAATTGCACAGGTACTGTCTTAGAGCTTTTCGCCAATTTTAGGCCACCTAAACCATTACAATTTTGGACATTTGAACGCCCACAAACTTCTTTCGGAAACTTATTCCGCAAAAAAGGAGAGCAGATTTAGGGTTCAAAGGTGCATCTAATGATACACATCTCATCTTCAATTGCCAACTAATGTTGGTATCCTTCCCATGTCAGCATAGCCAATAGGCCCGAGTAAGCACAAAATCTCAAATCGACTTTTTGCCCGGATACTGCCTTACGCATACTGCTGCACCGATTTACTCTGCAAGATTTCTACCGGCGGAGCTCTGGCAAGACAAACGATTAACTCGTCAACTTCGACGGTCCATGATGGATCTGAAATGCTACATTTTTGGTAGCTTTCTGTGCTTTGGAGTCAAACTTCTCATCATCAGAAAGGTCGAGATACCAAACTGGAATCGAATGGAAGGGTTTTTAGGTGAACTGTTTCCAGTCTGTGGTCATCGATGATCACAATATAGATCGAGTCCGATTTTGATTTGAATGCGGAATGTTAAACGGCAGCGCACGGGCAACTTTGACAACATCTCAGGACAGCATTCAGAAATCCCGTCGGTTCTTGCCCCGGCACAGTTGGGAATCCTGTGTCGTTTTTTCTGTCAGGGCAGCTATTGGACTCAATCCGAGGCATTCGTTATAGGTACGCTCCACGCTTAATCTACACTTATATCATTCACTTCGCTACTGGTTGAATTTTAAACTGACCAATAGCGAAGTGAATCAAGAAGACATGCGCTTCCATTGGTCAGTTCACTGTTATGACTAGCGAAATAGATCAAGCGGATCAAATGGTTCATGTGTAGCGTGCCCCATACTTGACCGCGAACCGAATCAAACTGAGCGTAACTGGCACATTAGAGGAGTACGCATCTCATCTGTTGCTCAATATGATGTAACCGGACGTTAAATTTCGCTTAGTAGGTGCCAGATTTATCCGGTTCACCCGAATCGTCCGATTCACTCATACTGGATTATTGAATTGACCTTTAGCGAATGGAGTGAACCGGATGAACCGATTGGATCGCGTAAGTCTGGCACCTGCCTTAGGTGAACCAGGCCCTGCCTTTAAGCTTTTCCTACTCAAGGTTGTGCTTTGGTCCAAGAGACAAGCTAGTTCTCCAAGATTCTGGTGTGTATATCTTCTGACGTTGTTGTCCTGCAGGTTTACTCCAGTGGGCACCATCTCGTGGCAAGTTCATGTGGCATTTGCTTCATTTAACATTGTAAATACTGCCAGAGACTTGACTTATCTTTCAATTTTGTTGGTTCTTGGACCGTAGCATTCAGTAATTCGTCTCACAAATGTGCACTAATCTCATCGGTTGTTATGTTCCGTGAGTACGAGCACTAAAGCCATTTTCAAATCTGTCAATCGAAAGCTCGACTATAGTGTACAGATTTGCGAGCGTTGCGTGTGAGCGCTGTAAGGCATGACCACATTCGCTTCAAATCTCTTGAATTTGCGAAAACCGTACAGTCCGTGAGAGCGACGGCATCACTGTCGTCTTTGCAAGAAATTATGCTCATTCTGAATGTTGTCATGCCAGGGACCTTATGTGGTGCGCATGCGCGATGGAAATGACGCTGTGATCCCGAGCGCTTCTACCACGCGTCTGGATCGCCGTGAAGTTAAATCAGTTCACTTCCCGAATTACAGCTTACTTAAGGAGGTGATTTATTAGCTAGTTTTTGCACAGTGTGTGTGTTTCTGTTGATTAACTCTTTAACAAGTGCTTTTGTTGTGTTGCTCAAAAACTTTATACACCATGCACTTTTCCTTCTTTTGAATTCCCTCAAATAAAATTTCTAGATGGTAAACGCGGTACCTCTTCAGTACAGCGGTGATCTCCAGTCCAATGGAGTTGCGAAGCCACAGATGGTGAACGGCGAGACAAAGAAATCATCGTCATGGTGGTTTGGCAAAACAAATGAGCAGCAGTCCCGTATGTATTATGATTACTGTTTTTCATTCTGGCTGTCCATGCAAGTTTGTGTGAAGCTCAACAATAAGAAAGTTATTCAGTTGATTTGGCCATCTGGAAAGGGATATTAGTATTAGTTTATCAAAACGAGTATCATTGAGTATTAAGGTAATACACTGGTGATCTAAAGGTGAACACCAACTCTTGCATATAATGCGGTTTTCATTATAGTTTGTTGAAAGCGTTTTCATGTGCTTAGAAATTCACAAATTCTGACAAAAGAAAAGCCTAGGAATTTGAAAAAAAAATATAGAGAAAGTTCTGATCCTTCGTCTTCCTTCTCAAAGTTTGGGACACCATTGCAAAGAGCCACTTTGACTTTTCACATTTTTTGTATGGGATGAGGCATATTCGTGTACGCAACAAAATAAAGCTTGATTCTGCTTTGTTGCAGCTGAAAAAACATCAAATCCAACCGTAATACTTCCGGAAGTGCCGGAAAAACCTCTTGCTCGACAACTAACTCGTAACGAGCAGAAGGATTGTCTTATAATCGGTGAGTTATATTTTTGTATTGTTGTGTTGAATATAGTAATCTAACCACTAAGTTGTTAGAAGTTTTCGGAATTTTTGGAATTAATCTGCTATTTCCTGGGATCTGATGCTTTTGCATAAATGAAAGTTTGCGGATATATCTACTCTCGCGCGCAGCTCTTATTATATCTCAGCAAGTGGGAGGAGTCCGGGATTATACGGGCGTAGTTTGCCTTTTTTCGGTAAACTTTTTTGTCATCTTATCCTCCAAAGAAGCTTTGCGCATAAGTATGTATGTAAGTGTTCTACTATAAGCTGGAATATATAGTAGCGTCATAATGTTCGTGAAAGTTGTAGATCTGGCCTAGGACAAAAACGTTTGTTTGCGATCCTACATTTTCCAAGAAACACTGAAAATCTGCTTACCATGATCTTTAGAGATTGCTGTTTTTAATCAATGGTGTGTGAAATGCCCCATTTGGTATTCACATGGAAACAAAAACTTTGTTAAAATGCAATGTCCGAGTACTTTCTCACCAACTTGCTAGCAGACGCTTCTGCTGTATGCATACCCCGAGATTGCAGTGTGTTTTATCCACGTGAAAAGATCAATTTCAGAACGACTGATTCGGAAGTATTTCATGATCGTCAGAAAGAATGTACAGGATAGTGTACCGAAAGCAATAATGCACTTCTTAGTAAACTACGTTAGGGTAAGTCTGTCATGGATTTATTAATAGCTGTCTGCTTTGTCGCTTACGCTGCATCCTTGACGAATTCACACCAAATCATATATTTCTATTTTCGCTGGGATTTCCGAAAACAAACAGGATATGACGACCTTGAGAAGGAGCAAATAGAGAGAATGACTATTAGAAACATTAGAGAATAGTCGGTGCTAAGCAATGGTATTCATTCTATAGGGTATTTGGCTTGATTTGAAGCTTTTCCGAGTAGTCAGCAATGCGATAATCTTTGACTCTACAGTGCGAATAGTCTGTGATTTTATCAGTTGATGGTTACACATCGCTATTACAAAAAGATTAACTTGCAGACAGTATTTCAACCCTTTTCGAGTACATATTTTGACGACAGAGCTACAATCAGAAAGAAATGTATAGTCATTCTGCAGCTTATTCGAAAAATCCCTGTTCGGATCGTCTTTTGTATACCATATCGTCACAGCTCATATCTGATCCCATTTTCAAGTATCCTCACTGCGGAAGTGCTATGCGATTGCACTTTTCATGATAACATCTGTCCATTCTCAAATAAATGTTACTAAGCGAAGCGTCGAAGTTGTTTTCCAAAGTCAATCGACTTGAGGTAAATTATGCATTTGAAGGACAATCTCCAATCCGAATTAGTGCGTCAGCTGTACAAACCAGACTTGCTTGAAGACTTGCTCGCTGAGACGGCAGATATGGCTCAACGAAGGAAAGAAACACTCGAAACCATGAAGGTTTGCAGTTCTCTTCAATCAACCAAATCAAGACGCTTATTCATGTTTTGTTCAGGCTCTCAAACAAGCCAGCTTGATTATTAGCGAAGTGCGAGAGACTCAACTCTGGTAGCAATGCAAAGACACAGATTTTTCTAAGAAATTTCCGCTACTTTCTTCCTTCCATATTTCAGATAACTGCGGCATTGAGTTTTGATGAGTTATTTACCTTGATGACAAATTGAAAGACTATTGCGTGTAATACTACACTATGATTGAAATTTCTCCCATATGCTTGTTAATTACGGTGTCCCTATTTGATTTCGCACCTCTGTTCGCAACTGCTCAAAAATTAGTTTCTATGTCTGTATCATCTGCATTGATAAATCCCACTTTTTAGTTAGCTCCGCTAACATCAAGTTCTACCAACACTAGTCATGAATAAGACACTCTTCATTCTGAATTTGACATACAACGATGAGATAATACGAGTATTAGATGAGAGGTTTGGTGGACATTCGCTGCTTCTCAGGTTCCATTCTACAGCCTCTCAGTAGTTAGAAGACATTAGGATAGAGCAGTGTGTTTGTAACATCGTTATGTGTCGTGCCCCCTTGTTTGGTGCATTTTTATTCATACATTTACCTCTATAAATATTTCCTCTTATTCCTCGACTATTAGCACGCAGCGGAAGTTGACGGCTTAGTATTTGCAGTCAATCTCGGTTCTTTTTTTCAGTCATACATCGCGTTTTCGCTCAAACCTGTGGAATTCAATTGCGATAGATTAATTCCTGATGTCGGTATAACAGCGACATCCAGCAGATTTGACAGTCGATATTATCTCTGTGGTGACAAATAAGGGTGTCCCAAAAAGGTCTGCACACGGTTCGATCGTTCATAACTCTCTTGCTTTCTGTCTTTTGCCGAGCTTGAAATACCATTCTTTAGAGCGAAGTTCAACTTAGATTTACAGTATGGGCGAATTGACAATCGCTCTTCATTCCTGTAAGATTACGGTAGGAATTTCGAGGAGGGTTTTAAGCCATTGAAAGCAGTAATTTGCCTTCTCAGACAGCGGATCGGACCCCTCCGCCGGAGAAGTGGCAGGGTCGCGGCGTATCCCCAGCGGTGGGTCTCCCATTTGTCCGGCGGAGCCCTCCCATTTTCTGCTCCGGAGACCTCCCATCTTCTGCTCCGGATACCCCCCATTTTCTGCTCCGGATACCCCCCATTTTCTGCTCCGGATACCTCCCATTTTCTGCTCCGGAGCCCCCCGATTTTGTGCGCCGGAGCCCCCCGATCGCGGCATACTGTAATTAGCCCTAATTAAAGGCAGCTTTCAGGCAGATCTGGACCTATGGGGCTTTTACATGGAAAGTATTTTTGGGGCCCTAACTAAGGCACTGCCGAAGCAGCAGTTCAGGTAGTGCTCTAATGGCGAAGATATTCCCCTCGAAACAGACCCCCCGCGAACGTATTCGCATGGATTCATGGCAGTTTCGCGCCAGGATCCACGCTTTGCGCCATGAATCCATGCGAAACACGGTCGCGGGGTCCGGTTTCGAGCAGAATATCTCAGGCGTTAGAGCACTACTTGAGCTGCCGGTTGGGTAATGGCTTAGATAGGGCCCCAAAAGTACTTTCCATGTAAAATACCCATAGGTCCAGACTTGCCTGGACGCTGCCTTTAAGCTCCAAACCCCAATTTTGTCTCTAAACCCCACCCAAATAAGCCGAATAGGACCCCCCCCCCCCGGGTAGGAGTTTAGAGCGACCCTCACCCCGTACTCTACCCCCTCCCTCTCACCCCTAGCGTTTGTGGATAGAAGATAGAAGAAAGAACGAAGAGATAAGACATTTATTTCAAATTTTTCAAAGTACTGGCAAACAGCACAATGTAGCCACGAACGAGCAGCAGACTGGTTGAAAGCTTTCTCAGCAAAGAAGTTGACAGACTCATTCGCCCATAATAAGGCTTAAAATTACATTTAGCGAGACAAGCGAGACGAATACTATGCAACAATTGATGAAAATAAGCTATTTGAATGCCAGCCAAATTGTCCATATAAGAACTATGAGCGGCGACACCAGCAACCAACAAGTTCATCACATTATAGATAGATACAGTTAAAAAAGCTCGCCCCATCAAGAGAGGCAGCATTACAGTGGCAAAAAAAAAGAAAAAAATCAAACTAACATATATTGTTTTTCCAAGAAGCTCGCAGAATAGATGGGGACAGCTGCGACGGAGGCAACGGCGTGTGTAAGGAGATGAACTCGTCGGAAGACGATGAGCCTCCTGTAAGGCTATGATGAAAACGCTACCTAACAAAATTTTTGGGATTAGAACTGGCTACTGATATTGTGTAATGACTCTTCACTAATAAATAACTGAAAATCTACCAGTAAAATCGTCATCGGTTCTACGTCGCCTTTTCCTATAGGAGGTTGAGTGTCTTGTATGTCTAATGGTACCATATTCGTCTTTTCTCCTTTTTCCTAGATATATCATGCCATCGAAAGAAATGTGCTACACAACTCTGCTTCCACATACTGCACTGAGCGCTATCGAAGCATGGGGTTGCCTTAGGCATATACCAATAAGGCCCTGGGCAGAGCTCACGCGACGAAGTCGCGCGATCTCCAGTCGCGACGACTTGCACGAAAGTGGCGACTGGGACGCGACGACTGAGTCGCTCAGTCGCCGGAGGCGTGCATACCTCCGACGCGATTTCATGCAATTGCACAACACTTCACACATTGCACGTACTCCAATTCATTACTGAAAATCAGTGCTCCTTTGACTTTACTACATCACTGTCAATTAAGAAAGGTGTAGCAGCAGACAAAGGAAGTTTGAAAGTTCATCACATTAGTATCCGACTTGATAACAATCACAATACTATGCACCCAAATGATCAATAATAGAAGGAGAAGTCAACGAAATCGTGGTTCTGGTGAATGGCTCATAATCAAATGACTGTTGGAAAGCATCAATTACGAATAGGGAAGAAGTACCAGCAAGGTCCAGTGGCTGCGGACATTCCGAAAGAACCGCTACGCGGCAAAGCGATGTTTTTGGCTCTAGAAACGGAACGCCCGTAAAAGGGCTCGGACCTGGGAGGAGTTGCAGGTGCGCTCCACCGCCATTTCAATTAGAGCACCGTTTTTTCAAGTGGGGCGCACTATCTCCTAACACTTAGCGTTTCACAAACTTTCCAAAGAGATGGAAGACTGGAAGAGGGACCATGTGCAAAATAATAGAATGTTTTGGTTCATTCCGCTTGCATGTATTATACTTTTCCTCTTTTCAAGCTGTCAGGACATATCATCTATGGTTCTCATGATTTGGCGTTCATGCATCACTCAACAATACTTTTGCTTTGTGTTCTTCTATAAATGACCTTTGTTTTGGTTCTTATTTTACTCTACTCTCTAGAGTTATGCAACAACGCTTTTGGTCCAACAACGAAAAAAGGGGAGACGATCAAGAGGCGCGATTACTATCTGTCTGAGGTTACCACTTGCTAAGTCTGGTGGCTTTTGCTGGAAAACTAACCAAAATACTTACGAATTTGTTCTTAACTGCATTTTCATGAGTTTTTGACCTTCTCAATTGCTGTTTTGAATTGAATCTAAGGTAGCAAGATTGAGCAACCCATGCAACTATCTAGCCCAGCCATACTTAGCATTTACCCTCTTTAACCTTTGCCTGAATTTACGCTTGAAATTCATTGTCAGTAACTGTCTTGAACCTCCGTTTTTGGGTTAGTCTCGGCTGCTCTAACTTCTCTTTGAGTTCACACCACTTGAAGATCCACTGGGTAGAGGACTATATGTCGCCGAAAAAGGGCGGTCCTCGCGGTCGTTTGCGACAAATACGCACCCTTGTACATGCGCGGACTTGCGTTCCTGCAGGGAATCCGCGCGGGACTCCTCCAAATTCGGCGACATATAGTCCTCCAACCAGATCCACTTTGTGCAGCTTTTAGAAGTATCTTAGGGCTGCTAGCGCTAAATTGGGATGGATTTAGCACTGGTGTTCGTGTGCGAACTCTTTTTACGGCTCGCATGTGGCCAATCAAATTCCGGCAACAGCTGTGTTTCAGTCCTTCCTACTCCTTCAAAAACATCCTTTACGGTGTTGCTTTGTCTTTTTTTTTCTCGAGACGACCTATAACTGTCTTGTAATTACATAACTTATCTCGAAAACATAAAATTCTTTCCTGAGATCTGCTGGAAAACTTGTTAGATCGACGTCTTTGAAGCAATGAGAGCTAAAAAAAAGAAATCGAATGTGTCATATTTTGTGCCAGTGTATCTGGCAGCTACGATGTGAGCACACAACCGTTCCTTACAACGTTTTATTGTGGACTGGCAAGGCTGTCGCCCCGCTAATCCCCGGCCCCCCGAACCCGCCCGCTTTTATGGCGGGTGATTTATGGTAGGGTTCGGGCAGATGGCCGAACAACCTTTATGCCTCCATTTATGCTGTTTATTGCGTCCCGACACGCTTCATAATTCTCCTCAAATGGGGCATTCAACTGCATTTCCTTCGTGTACGGTGTATATCCCTCAACGAACTTCTGGAGGGATTGAATACCGCGTTTGATTGCCTTTTTGTGTAGAAAGAGTGACATCTTTCAACGGCGTTTTCGTTCAGATCCGGATAGGATGGAACTCTTTTTCTTTTTGCAACTGCTTATCGCAGGGCAAGCTCAGAAATCTTCCCGGTCGATGCACCAGAAATTTGTGCCAGTGTATCTGGCAGCTACGATGTGAGCACACAACCGTTCCTTACAACGTTTTATTGTGGACTGGCAAGGCTGTCGCCCCGCTAATCCCCGGCCCCCCGAACCCGCCCGCTTTTATGGCGGGTGATTTATGGTAGGGTTCGGGCAGATGGCCGAACATATTTCAATTTTACCTTGATAGCAATCGTCGCCTTTTCTCATGAGCTTCAAAAGCGCTGCATAGTCGTAAATCATCATTGCTAATGTTGTTCGATAAGCTTGTCGATGATGCCTAGATTGAAAATTGAAGAAAAAATGGGTGGAAAATGGCAAATTTATGCTGGTGACCTTTATAGACTGTAAAGTTTTGCTAGATGGAAAAACCGGGATTGTTAGTGAATAGTTTTGAATGTACAAAATTAATTTGCCCAGCTGTCAACCTCAGCAATTCTCTAGAAACAAACACATTTTGAAACTTGGTGCTATACTAAGTTAACTATGCAACTTTACTTACTGGAATTGAAATTAATGAGAATTTTTTTGAGCGAGAGCTGACCAATGTGCTGAACATAGAACTTGGCCTGCTGCCATGTTCTCACTGAGCATCACTTCGGGAAAAGTTCGTAGTTTTTCGTAGGACGGGTTCTTAGGCACATACCGTAGGCTGCGTTCATACTAATCCGGAAATCTGGAAACCTTGAAACTTGGAGCAGATCTTACTTATCATTGAGATCATTGAGAACATAGATATTGTATATATTCGTGGAAATACATCTGACAAGAGTCCAAACGCATGTAGGGTCGGTCGAATATGCACAAAAAATCCAGCATGCTTGGAATTTATGTACTTCGAGCAAAACATTCTCAAGGATTTCAAATTTCTGGCGGGCTTGTGGGTTTGTGCTTCAAAGTTAAGCAGCAAAATGGTTTGATGTTTCACAGAATTTTTTCTACGCATGAAATGCACGCAAGCGGGTCTTATCGTAACAAAGAATTGGCAGTTTTGATCCTCTGACATGATTTGTCCACATTTTACCGTCAAATTTCCACAAAGATGTCAAAGACTATACGTATACTCAAAAACTACCCAGATCGGCGTGGAAGTGTTTGGAGATAGTGCGCTCCAGTTGAAAGAACGGTGCTCTTATCGAAATGGCTATGGAGCGCACCTGCAACTCCTCCCAGGTCCGAGCCCTTTTACGGGCGTTCCTAGAAACGTCCCCCATGTGCTGCACATGATAGACGGAAATACTGCTATTACCTCATGCAAAGCTCATAGTTCGGAGTTTGCTGCATACCATCGTCAACGTAGATGTGAGCACATTCTTTAAGTATTCGATGCGCAATCGAACAGAGTAGGGCTTGTAACGGATCTTTTTGGCAGCCTAGGATACATGAGATGTAGGAAAATGTAGATGAAAGACATAGAAAAATGCAAAATGACGACTAGCTACCTTCATCAAACAATGCAAGGATGGGCATAATTTATCATTTGCAACATTTCATGCGAAAACACTCATAACCCCCCAAAAACAGCAACTTAAAACAACAACATCGAAAATGCAGTTCAGGATCGGCGCGACGGTCGCCCCGTCGCTCGCCGCAAACGAGCGACGCGACATCGCGCCGATTCGGCAAAATCGCGACGTTATCGCCAGGTGAGCTATGAACGCCGAAAAGTGTGGCGCGATCCGTCGCGCCGCGCAGCCGTCACAAACGCGTCGGGACCCACACACTAGACAGCGTGGCGTGGAACACTTGTCCAAAATGATCGGGCGCGACGCGACGAAATCGCATGAGCTCTGCCCAGGGCCTAAGAGTACCATTCAAAATCATCTCGACGATATTTCTGCATGTAGGGCTAGAAACAGCGCATAAGAAAAAGATTTGTACAACGTGAAAATCGGATGCGCACCGTCATATCAATTTCTACGGTGTCTGAACGGCATTTACACAGAACAGCATTCTTTCCGATATCTATCCAACGATCTGTAGCGAAATTCGTGCTTTCCGCGATAGTGTAACCCAAATTAAAACCCATATGATAACCTTAAAAATACAGTATGTTACTAAATGAATGGCTGTGGAAATAAGCGCTTACTTGAGGGAATGTTATGATGAACTCATTAGGATGCTGCATCATCGTCCCATATGGAATCCTGTGCATATCCAAGAGAGCCGGAAGTACAGAGAAACTCTTGTGTCTCATGAAAGCCTAAGCACATAGTACCAAAGTGAAATCACCAGGTAGCTGGTTATAATACCCACTTTACAAGTTCAGTCGTATGGAGTCAAAAGGACAGCCAAGCAATGGTAATATTTCGTAATATTTCCATCCAACACGGTTTAGAACACGAAAAAGATTTCTGAAGATGCTCTCAAAAAACCTCAAAGCTCAAACTCACTTAGCAACGTTAGTACTCGCCTCCATTTCGTGTCTTATGTCATGAGGTAATCTCCTGAAATACAATATAGAGACGAAATTTCAAAACATGTAGGACAGTGCACAAGAGTAGCAAAGGGTATTGATTAGAGTGCATTTGAAGTAAACATCCGAAAATGGCCGGACAATGCGAGCTTTGTAAATACGAAGGTGATATTGTTTTGGCTTTACAATCAGATTGAGCAAGTGATTCTGATTAATCAAAAGTAATGAAAATGAGTTGCTCTAGTGAGTTATTTCTGAGGAAACCCAGCAAGCGCCCAAGAAGCTTGGATCAAAATGAATCTATTGTCCGTTATCCTGATGAACTCCAAAAACATTTCCAGTAATGAACCAAGCTTTTCCGTTTCTGATACCCTGATGGAGCTCCTATCGATCGAACTCCTACAAAGTGAAATCTTTCGTGTAATTACGATTGCAAATCAATATCTCTCATGCAATTACGACTGGTCAATCAATTTCCGCATCTGCCCGCAGTTCCCCAAGGGGATGCAGTAGTTGAAATGGGCAAACCATCGACCGCGATTTCTCTATTTCGAAAACACAAATAGTGCAATCAATAGGTGATAACGAAAGTTTGCAAGTAGAACTGATGCTCAGAAACTTTGCTTGACTTCCCACTTTTACCGAGACACTCTGGCGGATATAACTTGAAATAATAATAGCATATTTGCTAAATACGCTAACAAGGTATGAATTGAAACAAGCATTAGCGCTGACAACGCTCCGCCACACGGGGATTGCGCGCGAAAACAATTGTTGGAGGAGGTAGCAATAAACGGATAATTTAGACGATATACTTTCATCACAACAACACTAGATAGTTGCGCACTAACCTCATTGTTTCGAAAATCCAGAATTAACACAAAAACCACTCCATCAATAGTCTGCGATATCTCAGCAAGTCGGAAAGAGCCAAACACTGAAGGTGATTGAGTGCAACCGCACGAAAATTTGAAACATTAACCTGAAAAGGAGGAACTTACAACAACATAAACGCCAACGCGACGAAGAGCAACGCGGAAAAGGAAAAAATGGTAAAGAAACGCGCAAAAACAACAAAATCAAAGAAACGGCGACTAAAATATGGACAAAGAGCGTAAACAGAGGACTCATCACCGTGGAGTTAGACGTTTGCTTGCTACGCGCCAAATCGATACGCAGCCTGCTCCGGATACCTCCCATTTCTCCGGCGGATACCTCCCATCTTCTGCTCCGGATACCCCCCATTTTCTGCTCCGGATACCTCCCATTTTCTGCTCCGGATACCTCCCATTTTCTGCTCCGGATACCTCCCATTTCTGCTCCGGACCCCTCCGATTTTCTCCGGCGCGTGTCTTCCAAATTTGGCGGACACGCGCCGCGCAGACCTCTGCGGCGCGGAGTCCGTCAAATCTGGCAGAGTCGCGCCGGAGAAATGGCGGACCTTTGCAGCAGGGCCGGAGAAGCCTCCCATTTGCCTGCCAGTGATGCCACCGCGATGGACCGCCCATTTGCCCTTCTCTCATTGGTCAACTGGGTCCGGCGCGACCCTGGCAGTTTCCGAGGGTCCGGCGGAGGGGTCCGATCGATTGTCTGAGTTAGAAAGAAAGCCAAACAAGCCAGAAACTCTCGAACTGGGCTAATCGAAGGCGCTCATTCTAAGTATGAAGTCTGTACTTCAGTATAGTGCTTCTTTCATAAGTTATCTCAGATTTAGAGTAAAAACTGTTTTTCCAATGTCCTCAGAACTATAAGTACGCCATCAAGAAAGTTCGAAAAATGGTGAAAAGTTATGTACTGAATCCAGCACGCTCGAAAACCTTGGTACACAAATTTTCAGATTTTTTTTTCTGAGATTATTTCATCAAAAGGCCTATTCCGCAGTGATGCTGTTTGCTGGAAGTTCGTACCGTAATTCAACAGTAATAAAGAGTGATTGGTGACTCGCGCCATACTGCAAATCTAAGTTGAACCTCGCTCTTCAGAACGGTACCTTAAATTCGGCAAAAAACATGAAAGCAAGGGAGTTATCAAAGATCAAACACTGTGCACATCTTTTTGGGACACTGTACTGTTGCGTCAGCGGCACTTTTGATGCCAATCTGCGCGCAAATATCGAATGCTGGACGAACGTCTTCAGGTGATCTTCACCATATCATTCTTCACGAGCGAGTGTTGTTGTCATTTAAGAACGCTAGATCCTTGAATCAGTAAACTATACCATGTCTCTTCCATCTGGTCAACTGACGCAGTACACTGTTTGCATTAAGACATTGTTGTGTAAAAGGGCGTGTGAAACTAGAAGCTAAAACCTCCGGAAAAGTTGATTCAATGTAGCAAGGAGAATCATGATTTTTGTTTTATCGGCACCTTGGCAAACATCCAGCTGGCACCGACTTCTCATAATTACACCTGGTTCGAGACCCCTCATGCATGCACGCGTAAGGTAGGTGCCAGAGTAAGCGAATATTTTGTTCAAGTTGGGGTCCCGCGCAGAACTGGCGTTACTAATCATGTGGCACAACGCCAAGCTGGCATTATGCCACAATGATTAGTGATGCCAGTTCTGACCCCAACTTGAACAAAATATTCGCTTACTCTGGCACCTACCTAACTCTTCACTACGTTAGTTTGACCCATGTCGTGTCTTTGACGTAATCGATGTTCCATAGAAATTTGATCATCGGAGCTTGTGTGGGATGAACCGATTACCAATATAACAATGAAATGATTGTCATGATGTTGATCTTCACGCAAACAATGTTCAGCTGTCCAAGTGCCACGAGCTCAATCTGGTTACTGTTTGTGACTGTATACTACTGGTAAATGCTAGTCCCAGACGAAGGCTACGCACACGTAATAAGCATTGCGCGGGCTGTAATGGAAAATAGATAATGAATGTTGCATGAACGTGGTTTCGCACACGTTTTGCCAAGTAAACCGATGGCTTTCGTCGCCCTTTTGCATAAAGGCTATTGCCGGACGAAGGCGCAGAAGCAATTTAACTGAAGACAGTGTCCGTACAAGATGAGGAATTCGCGATTTCAGTGCCATGCGAAAGTGGCCTCCCCCAGAAATAGTACAGTTGACTGCACGAAATCGACTGAACTGAGCTAATATTAAAGGCTATGGGGATTTTACGTGGAAAGTACTTTTGGGGCATTAACTTAGGCACTCCCCAAGCGGCAGCGCAGGTAGTGCTTTAGCGGCTGAGATATTCCCCTCGAAACTGGATCCCGCGATCGTATTCGCATGGATTCATGGCAGTTCCGCGCCAGGACCTACGCTTTGCGCCATGGATCCATGCGAAATACGATCGCGGGGCCAGTTTCGAGGGGAATATTTTAGCAAAGCACTACCTGAGCTGCCGGTTGGGCAGTGGCTTACGAGGGAAGGATACTTGGTGACCGTGCCCTTTTGCAATGAGATGTAAACCAGTAGGTGCATCTTGTAACGCTGTTTTTGAATCCATGTTCATTATCTGCTGTGCGACTCCCTGAATGAAGTTATGGTTTTTTCCATAATGATTTTGCGAGATCTAGGCACTCAAAATCGTCATTATCCAGGCTTTTTAGACTCTGATGTATGGGTGACAGTTTTCCTGAGCTTAGCATGAATGCTTTACTCTATCTGTGCTCTTTTGTAGTGCGTAAGCGAACATTCTAACGTAAGCGAACATTCTATTGTTGAATCCCGCATCAAAAACAGCAGTGCAAATTTTGGTGACAAAAACTTCTTTCGGAAGAGGGCACAGCAGATAATGACAGATTTGGAATTAGCGCTTCAAGGTGCATTTAATGGTGTACATTCCATTTGAAAGGACCACGGTCACCTAGTATCCTTTCCTTGTTAGTTAGGGCCTCAAAATTACTATCCACGTGAGATCCCCATGTGTCCAGACTTGCCTGGACGCTGCTTTTAACGTTCGCGCGCATGAGTCATCATAGCGCGGGAGACGGTCTTTTCGCACGGGCGGTCTCCAGAGTCTCCCTGATTTTGACGTGTCTTAACAAGTAGTGCACGCCGCAAACCTTTCCTCCCCCTGTTTTGCTTAGGCAAAAGCCGCCGCAGGATGTGTCGCGCGGGGCAGTGGTCCTGTGTGGAAAGCATTACGGTCGTGCGAATCGTCCTACACCCTCATAGCGCTTGTATCGGCGGCCGCGTTGCAGGCACGCTCGCAGCGTTTAGCCTACAGTGACGATTTCGTGCAGTCGACTTACCATCAAGGAAGACCCCGCCCACCTGCTATTTCTTTCGCGTTAGAGCCCTTTTTCGCCGTTTTCGCGCTCTTCGCTTCGACCCAAGCAATACAAGAGTCAGCCCTCGTCAGTAATCCTGGCACAATGTTAAATGGCCTCGAGTCAGGAAACTTAAATGCATATGGTCATTAGACGGTATAGGCTGTGCGCGATGTGCTCGGAGAGCGTGAAATTAGAAGTCAGACCTCTGTTGACTGCTGTTTAGAGTTCAGTTTATTGTGAGAGGACATCATCTTTCAAAGAGTGGTGTTCGTTGTCCTCTTCTGAATTTTAACTTTCTTTCGTTTCTTGGCGAATTGTACTCTGTCGATTCCTGTATTTTCTCGCATTTTCATTCTTTGAAGCAACTTTGGGCGAATTTGCTCCTGGTGAAGGTATGCGATGGATGAGCAAGATGGTGAGGAGGAATATCAAGTGGAAAGCATCGTAACACATCTCGAGTGAGTTGGCTCTAATTTGATTTCCACACCACGGTGCTAATACGCTCTCTGTTAAATGACTGATATCATTCATTCTCGGACTAAAGCACAAGCTCGGTTTGCGTACGCCTGTCAACAAGTAGTTCATGAGTGCATTCTAACGCGTTCCGGAATAGGTATCGTTCATTCGTTGACCGTACGAACTGCCGACCGCGTGGCGACTGCGACGCGTGCCTTCTAAACTTGCGAAAAAGTGAGAAGTTGGACCGTGGCTTAGGGTGGAGGACACTAGGTCGCCGAATTTGGAAGAGTCCCGCGCGGATTCCCTGCAGGAACGCATGTCCGCGCATGTACAAGGGTGCGTATTTGTCGCAAATGACCGCGGAGACCGCCCTTTTTCGGCGACCTAATGTCCCCCACCCACGTGGCTTAAGATGAGAAGAATTCTTTGTTTCTTTTCTACATTATAAAGATGAGAAGAATCCTCTGTTTTCTTTCTATTCATCTTTTCTACGAAAACATCATGCACGCGCAGCGGTCGCCGCGTGGTCAGCAGTCGTTACGGTCAACGAATAAACGATACTAACAAGAACTAGTGGGTGAACATGTTCGGGCTCATTGAAACGCAAGTTTGACATGCTCCGCGAATTCTATAGCTAATCTATCAAGACGCTGCAGAACGCACGGATTGTTAATCAGAGTACGGAAGGCGTGCTCGTGTTATCTTATTGTTAGTCAGAGAATGATAGGCATGTACTGTGATATTTCTTCTGCACCTTGTAAATTGCAAGCTGCTTTTGTGGGATCTTTAGAAAACACTGCATAGATCGCACATATAGCTGTGTACGCGCGTTCTTCCTTGATTACCTCGCTTTTATACCTCTCGCGCTGTAGCCGGCTTTGGCGCGTCTTTTTTGGAGCATTCGAACGTCTCTACTTTCGTGCCAGCGCGCCAAAGGCACCGAGTCTGTGTTGCAACAGTAAAGATGTTTCGTAAAATGTTGACTACGAATTAGACCGCAGTCTTTGCGTCCACCCAAACTTCACAAGAAGGTAAAATGCTGAAACAAGAGGCATCACTTCAGTGCTCACTAGGAAAGCATGTTTAGTTTGGCTTTTTTAGATGGGATATATACCATATTCAACGGCATAAAACGATTGTTCCAAATCTGCCTTCCTTATCTGCGGAACTTTATAGACGAGGGGTTATGAGCGCTTATTGAAGCAAAAAACTGAATGTAAGTAGCGCAAAATAGTCGTAATAATTTTCACTAGCTCCTCAATGGAGCAGTGATAATCATAGCATTTCATTCAATAAACTTGGTTGCATTATTTGTGAATTAGTAAGATTCTAGCAGCTCATATTATTCATAATGATGTTCATTTTTCGCTCCAAAAACGCTCATAACTCATAACTCCTCGTCCATAAACATGCCGCAGATAAAGAAGGCAGATTTGGAATTGGCGATGCCCTTCAGTATGGTGTACAGTCTGCCCCAATCCTAACCAGGCCAAAATTGGCATGGCGGGAGCCCGCTTCGCTAGGGTCTCGCGGTCACGCCCACGGCCTGCTTCTCTGCTCTCTCTTCAATCTTTTGGCTCTCTCCGACAGCCGCATATGGGGCGCAGACCGCTAGCGCTGCGAGCGCGAAAATTTACGCCGGCGGTTCGGCCTGATCCCGATTGGAGCAGACTGTACATCCCATCAAACGCCACTTCGACTAAACAAGCCTTCCTCGCCAGTTCATTCACTTCCTATAACAAGCTAGCACAAGCATGCAGTAAACAGTAAACCGAGATGAAAGCTAAGAAGGTTTGCCACTTTCATTTGCGATTTGCCAACGCGCGTGTCATCGTCATTGTCACGATTTGTTGAACCCTACGGCTACGGAAAAACCTCCAGACACAGACTATATGTAGTGCACATAGGTGCATAACGTATCGCCCTCTAGATGATTGATTTGAACAAATATAGGTATGTAGAGGCATTCGATCTTCGCGGTTACATCGTCTTCAATCCCGCCACAGGCAATGGTCTCACGCACTCGAAATATGTTTATCTGGTGAGGAGACAACTGCGAATCTAAGCAAGCATATTCTTACAAATAACTTCTCGTTCGAATGATTTTGTATGCTATATCATTAGCAGATATATAATACTGATTACAGGTCAAATGGGTAGGCTATGATGAAGCTGACAATACATGGGAACCCGAAGAGAATCTCGTGGACTGCACCGAACTGCTCACTTTGTACAAAGAAAAGCATGATCTCCCCCTCTATCACGAAACCTTCAATCGCAGATTCAACTGGAGTAAGTGTTCTCTCGCCTCAATTTGCGTATATCGCTGTGTGAATCATAGCAATTTACTGGTTTTAAGGCGCATAGTTTGGTGCAATTTTTGGCAGGTAGGCAGTTTCTACAGTGAATTGCAGTACAAGATTTTAGTCTAAAATGTTGCCGGACTACACTTCGGAGGCTAAGCTGAAGATTTTGAGCGAACAAGATGTTTCGATAGATAGAGCGACCCTCGTAAAAATTTACTTTTGAATAGTCTGTTCATAAATTCTTGGTATTACTGCACTGAAACTTTTGTTGCATTGTGGAAAGGTGTCATCTGTTCTCGCATTTTCTGCTTCGAGTAAGCACGCACTACCTTTCCTTTTCTAGCGCTTTATTTGAACGTAGCGGTAAATCACTCTTCCTGCAATGATATGCTTGATTTAAAGTATAAGCGAATTTGGGCGAGGGAAAGTTGAACATAGGTTAAAAATTTCTTTCTTGAAAATTGGCATCGCTTTTGCATACATCCTCCGTGAGTGCATAAGCGCACAAAAAAAAGAGAAATTTCGTCAGTTTCCCAATTTTCTATCGTCAGTCCAGGATTTTCGCAAATAATAGCTTGTAGTTTCATACTTCAGAGGAACCAACCACATCGATGACTTTGGAAGAAGTGAACAGGAGGGCCTTCAAGAATCGCGATCCCATTACTTCAGCTTCGCAGCTCCTAAGAGATCCTCCAACCAAGAAGCGAAAGAAGAGGGTACATCTTTCATTTTAGAAAAAAAAACTCTTAATAGTCAACCCGCAGGTAAGTGTTTTTTCTCCGGGTTAATTATCAAAAAATCAGGCAAGCTTATTCTGATTCAATCAGTTTACTCGTGTTGTGTGACAGTCACTGGTTTTCTGGGAAAAATGGAAAACGGCAGAGCCACGCCCTTTGAGAAAATTTGGGAACCTTTCCGGATTTTGCGATGGTTAGAAAAAACAATTCCATTAGAAAGTTCGGCAAAACATGCGGGGTCTTTTCAAATATCCTGAATAAATGCTTGATAATCAGTTCTCATGATTCATCAGCTTTCAAGGACCTTCAAGTAGCATATTGTAGGACTGCCTCCCACTTAGATTCATAGTATAAAACGAACCACTTATTTTCATTGATGTATTACCGTAGGATGTAAGAAATTCTAAGCGAATTTGGTTAGAAAAATCATGGTTGAGATCTTAGGTGAAATTGTGTTTCGAAGTTTAGGGAGTTGCTAGGGAGTTTTTAACGTAAAGATGTTGCCCGAAGAAATCAAAGCAGTGAACCCTGATTGCTGTTTGACGCACTTATAGCTCAGAAGCTTTGGAATCAGGGGAAGTTGGGAAAAGGGATTCGAGGGCGTTCGCTCAATAGATAAAAGAGAAGAGGGACGTAGAAGTTAGCTCCACAACGAAATCGTTGGCTGTAAAAAATCTGAGGGTCCTCTGGACTGTACGAGTAGGAGAAGGTTGTTACACTTCGGCTAGGAGCAAATAAAACCTCAGGATATTTTTGCCGCGGAAATCAAAATAGAATGCAAGAAATCTGTGACGCAGACCGGCGTTACAGCATCTAAAATCATCGATAACCTTTATGGATTTTATCGACTTTTTGCGAAGTTCGAGCTACGGGCCTGGGAATTGGCACGGGGTATGGGAAGGGATAAGTGAGCATGCTGATTACGAATACAATTGGGTTACAAAGAGCATAATCTTCCAACATTTTGGAAAGACCTTGGAGTGCTGGGATAGAAGCGCAGAAGCGGCTACAGGCGGCTAGGGGGGGGGGGGGCCTGCCGGCGCGGTACGTTACAAAAACATCGTGGGACAGGAGGGGAATGTATGAAATTAAGGCATTGAGATGTTTATCATTGTGTAGAATTGAGGTTGGGCGGATCCGATGCCAGCTAGTAAATAGCGATTATAAGCTTACATTAAGATAATATAGAGTACCCTGAGGTCTTACAGATAAGTCCGCCTTCTTGACACAAAAAATCGATGAAAAATCGCCGCCAAACGTCTTGCAGAGAAGTCCGCCATCAGATAATTCCGCCTATAGATAAGTCTATCAGATAAGGGAAGAGAAGAGGAGTATCATTCTCTAGTCACGAAATCTCAGATTTTGTCTTATAATTCACATTACCGAAAAGAACGCTTTTGCTAAAACTGACAGAAAAATCCTTCTGTTTTTCATCTCAGAAAAGAAGAGGACTTATCTGATGGCGGACTTATCTGAATAATCGTTATCTGATGGCGGATTTATCTGCAAGACTTTAGGGTATATGCCACAGTACTCAAGAAATGAGAGAAGCGAAGACTGGAAGCTCGCAGTATTTGAGCGGGTCTCTCGGCGAGAAGTTTCGGACGACGGTAGCGCGCTTATTGCAGCTCAGCTGCGGCGATGGCGGCAGCTCTGGCGGCTGGCTGCGGCAGCAGGCGGTAACCTTGCACGCTTCCTTGGGGAAAGCGACCTCATGATGAAGTTTGGCAAATCATGAGGGATTCTAGAGTAGTACAGTATGTATAGCTAAGAGAAATCTGCAAGGAACTTGTTATTTGCATTAAATTGCTCGAAATGAGTTTGAGTCACAGGAACAATGTGCGAAAAATCGTTGAAGAACAAGCGACCGTTTGAGTTTCATGATAGTACGGAGCAACAAGTATTTATGTACGATGTGTGACACTTAAAGGAACTTCGTAACTTTTCATATATTTCCCTCATTTTAAAATTTTTCATATATTCCCCTCATTTCAGAATATGTAGAGATGTAGTGCTTTGTTATATACGGTGTACAAAAATATATTGGGTGTTTGGATATAAATTCTTGTGTGTCATCAGCTTTCACGGACCCTTTGAGTACTATAGTAGAGCTGGAACCGAAATTTATAGTCTCAGAAAACTTGTATGACTGGAGTCTTTTATTGTGATATTTTTAGGCACGCGCCATATTTGATCCGCTTAGTACGTTTGATCCGCTTCGTCATTGGTCAGCAGTGAACTGACCAGTAGTAGTGAAGTGGAGGAAGTGGATCAAGCGGGTCAAGTGAACAACCGCTTCTACTTTCTTCACTGACGAAGCGGATCAAGCGGATAAAGTGGATTAGGCGGATTAAGTACGGCGCGTGCCGTAGACCCGCTGATTATAGAAATAAGTAGAGTTGACTCGTTGACCGCATGGACTGGACATCACCGCGGAGTACGCGTTGTGAGGTCGCGTGCCCCAATAACAAATTCGCCATCGTACAAGTCGTGCTCTCGCAACATAGCCGCGCCGTGCGTGGTCCGCAGTTCGAGCAGTCCGTGCGGTCAACGAAAAGGCGAACATGTTTGTAGAGCGTGTTATCATGATCAGGATCTGAAATGTTGGGAAGGACGCTGCCACAAATTAGCTGTAAGTCTTGAACTAGGAGCTACTGTGGAGCGATTAGCTATTCATGGAATTAGCAATGCTTATCTATTACCTGTTGTCGAAGTTCTGAGCTCTTTTGGACGATTTTGGGGATTTACTCTCATTGGCGCAGAACTCCTTCGGTTCTTACCGTACATCATAAATTTTTTCAGACACCCCGTTCCAGTTTACGATTGTTTTTTGTTTTTGACAAATATTTAGCTTGCTTTATTGGAGCTTAGCATCCAAGCCGCCTTCGTATTAGCTGCAGCTCCCAAAAATCTACAAAAAATTTAGAAATTGTGAAAAATTGTTGGGAAGACCTGTGTTTGTTATTACGTTAAGAGCTGAGTCCAGAAGTTGTTTTCTTTCCACCGCCTTCGCCGTTCCTAGTTCAACACTCAATGCTCGTAGCAGCGCTTTCCAAAAGTCACTGAGAATGGGTGCTATATAAATGGACCAAACGTTAGATTTCTTGAATTTCAATGCTCCAAAACTCGATTACCACTGAACACTTGTTTGCAATATGAATGAGCGCTTCCAGCTTCAAAACAGAACTTCGAAACTTCGGGTATGTGCATGTACACTTGCAGATAGCATCTGCTTGAATCAAGAAATTATCGGATAGGGGAGTAGAAATTACATCAAATGATGCCTGAATCGTTCAACATAGATGCACGAAATTTGAATCAGACGAAAATGGAATTTGATCGCGTTGAAAGATTATTTTTGAAAATTGGCCGGGATGCTTGAGGATGAACTGTCTTGTTCGGACCTTTTATCTATCTTCAGTCCACGTGATTCAAGATAGGTCGAAGAAAGGGCCGGAACCTTCGGACACATAGCAACTAATTCAGTTGGCAACTTTGTCATGATTAACATCACAGTTCTACACAATTGTCGTCATCGTCAACATGTTGGAGACATTCCGGTAGATATTATTTTATTCGTCTTCAGATCTGTTTTTAATGCACCCATCGTCACTTGCAAAGGCTTTGAACGTTAGATCTCTTGTGATTTGAGTGTAGCTTTGCATTGTGAATGATAGTATAATAATTCACTAATTTATTCGAAATTTAAGTGTGCATTAACTCCTCGCAGACTTATCACACTGAGTGCACAAATTCTGGAGTGACTGAAAATTGAGATTTCCCTGATCAAAGGAAGGACCTTTACCTGTTAATAGCGATCGATATATCGATCTCGCGCTGTAAACCCTATTTGCTAGGTTACTACATATACGAACAACTATACTTTCCTGAATCCGTAAAATGTTAGGAACTCTTTAATGGAAATAATTTGTGACTTAGCCTGTTTACCGTATGCATACGTCAATCCAAAGGGAGGGCATTAGTCATAATCTTGTTAGCTACCTCATTTCAGAGAGAAGTGGATCTGCTTGACGGAGATGTTGATGAACCCGAAATCGTCCACCGTAAAATACGAAAGGTTTATATAATTTTTCCTAACGTCTAATCACTCATTCGCTAAATTTTAGACATCACCAACTGTCGACTCTTCGTTGAAAAGCGATAGTAGAAGGAGAGGTCCTAAGGTTGTTTGCATTTTCTTGATTTTTTACCACACTTGAATTCAATGGCTTCCTTTTATAGAAGAAGACAACATTAGAAGGCGGTACGCCTAAAAAGCCTGGCAGGAAGCCACGAAGTGCTGCCGCCACTGAAGAGAAGAAAAGAAAGGTTCTTCTTTTTCATGTTATAAGACCAAGTTTATCCTTTTTTTGAAGAGAAGTGAAAGTGAAGATCGGATTGAGTTGGTCAGATACATTGTTGAAGGTGCATCACATCGCAGCAGGTCGCCTGCAAGGAGGCTTCTGAAGCTACGCAGGTTTTTGTTACTAATTTTTCTCCTTTCTAAAAATTTATTATGTATGATGTCATAACGTGAGATGGTTATGAAGTTCAAAAACGTGGAATCAAAAAGCGAATGCATGTGTTTGCGGAACCTCGCTCATTTATATAGAACACTAAAATGCGATCTTTGGTCCGTAGATGTGGTAACCTATATCAAAAATAGCCGGAAACTTTCCTCATAGTCTTGTAGTAACATTCGGTCCTGAAACAAGTTCTTAAATAGAAATGATTTTGAGCTGATGGTTGAGAATCAGGTTCGGATATGTTGTGTCGAATCAGGTAGCGACTGTGAAGTGCTTTTGAAAACAGCTTCATTACTCTTTCGTGTATACTTTATACAGAAACGCACTTGCATAGAAATAGAAGTGGAATTTTCCGTCGCCCATCAGGATGACTGTTGCAGGTACTCGTCGGCAGAGAGACTGCGACAGAGATGGGACGAGGCTATCAGGAAAAATACTCCCTCGGAATGGTGGAAGAGCATGACCAGGGAGAAACTTGCCAAGATTTTTACGTTAGTTTTGGCCCTGGCCAGACTTCGCTCAAAAGCGCCCAAAAGCGCTCAAAAACGCCTAAATTTCTCTGGTGTCTCTTCACTTTCTCGTGTGAGGAAAGATGAGAGAGAGAGTGAGGAAAGGTTAGAGAAGTTTGGGCGCTTTTGGGCGCTTTTGGGCGCTTTTGAGCGAAGTCTGGCCAGGGCCTTTCCTAGCTTAGGATGATCAAGTCTTGTTCTATCTAGCCCCTTCTACAATACCGCTCACATTTTTTGAAAAATAGACGCGAATGTATGGACATGTATGGACATGTCCGTACATGTCCGTACATGTCCATACATGTATGGACATGTCCATACATCAGCGTCGCGTGGCCATATCTCGCTTCAGAGTGGACGAATTCTGAATCCAAAGCCACCATTCAATTCAGCTCGGCGCGGAGAATCTTCTGATTTATTGTAAGTGGGGGTACAATGTTTTGGATATTCCGTTTTTAGTTTTTTTTTTCAATTTGTTCTGCGGAGGTCCTTTCGCGAATATGTGAAGCAACGCCTACCCAACATAGAAGACTTTTCTAAGTACTATTTTGGAGATAGAAGCGTTGGTGAATTTTGCAAAAATCACGCGTTTTTAAATTCTACTCGCCATAACTTCCTTCGGACAAGTATATTTTTAATCCGAAAACAGCGCCTTGCTGAGCTCATCAAGGCGAATCTTCTCGTATACAGCATGCCCTTGATATTTCGATTTCAGTATTCTTGAATCTTTCTGAGGACGTCTTTTCGCGAAGGTGTAAAGCAGCGAGCATTGTCCGAGTACATTCCAGTAAGGGTCTTTCGATAGCACTTTTTCTGTAGATTATGATGTGCTAAATAGTAGCCGCAGGTTTCTTTTCAAAGGAAAATAGAACGGCTTTTGAATTGTGGAAAAATCTTGTCTTCCCAAATTCTACTCGCCATATCCGCAGGATACGAAGCTATCTTGCTAAGCAGATGTGAGTTTCGAAATCAGCAGGTCGCATAACCTCTACGAGCAAGTTTTCCGATATGTTCGGGTTATTCCATTTTTTCTCGTTTTACGCTCCGGAAGCTCGCCGATGGATTTTGGTCAAAATGTTGATGCTCTTGAATTGCAGGGAAACTTCGCTTATAGAGATTTTCGAAGACGCTCTTTACGAAAATCGTGGTATTTGAGGATTACAGGGTTTTTTTGGAGAGATACGGTGAGGTGACTGTAACTGCATCACGAAAGTGCGTAAATTTGCCCGCACTTCACGCGCATCTGTTGTCAGGAACCTTGCCTGCTTGCTTTTTTCAGTCAAAGTTACTAGGAATTGTGCTATCGAATGGTGCATTACTCAGACTCCAATCTGTGAAATTCGCCGAGTTACGAGCCTACGAAAACACGTTCTCATGAATTTTGCCCAAAATGTAAAGATCGCATATCTTGTCGAAATTCCTCCGTGAGCGCTTGTACAACGCGCTGATCAAATCCTTTATTTATATTTATTTATTTATTTATTCTATACGCTCTTGGCGTTCCATACAGTAGAATAGAAAGCAGTCATTTATAGTCTAACCGCAACGATAGTGCATCATTAGTTTGGGTCTAATCTTGATAAAAATGTGATGAAAGCTTGTATTTGGCTGCTCTATGATTATAATTATCGGAATTAAATGATGCGATTCATGGAGATGTACCCATGCCCCCTTTTGCCAGCAAAATATTTTGATTTTAACAAGCAAAGAAGGTTTGATGGTGGATATATTATCTGACCCCACCAAACCAGTCAGTGTGAGCCAGTGACTCAAAGTGAATTTCAATAAGGGTTGTAATGATGGATGACTCATACGTGAGCGTGATCAAGTTAAGTTATTGTAATCTATGGTGATGGCAATCATGCCAACTCATTTGCCAGCAGAAGATGCTCTTGCAATAATGAAGCAAAGCGGGGCTCGGTTGGTGCAGTAATACCAATCAACCTTGCCCAAATGATTCCGGGGAGAGTTCAATGACTCCGAAAGAATATCAAATAGTTTCACTTTTTGTAATTCATTTAAGAGCAAGTCAACAAGCTGTAATGATTGGGAAGAGAAGTAAATTGATTAGACCTGAACTAACGTAATAGCAAGATATGGGTTAGTAAGACTGAAAAAAAATAATATTAAGAAAAAACAAATTGATGGTTGTATTTGGTATGCATTTTGTGGTCGGATAATGTAATCGCACATGGCCAGCTATAGCAATACAGATGACGAATTGGTGCTATTTATTACTCATTCTCAGAATGCCTCAAACGTAAGAGATCAAGTGTGTTAATTCTGCGTTTAAAAACATTCTGCTCTGAGATTGTAAAGTATCTGGAATCTTTTAATGAATCTTATTGTGTTAGATTTGGTGCTTTGAGCTTTAGCCACGAAATAGCTTTGATATTCAATTGAGCAGCTGAAGCAGACGCAAGCACCATATTCAATACAGTGGGAGTCTTTGGGCGAAGCGAACACAATATCCGCAATGCGAGTGTCATACAAGCGCTCACGGAGGAATTTCGACAAGATATGCGATCTTTACATTTTGGGCAAAATTCATGAGAACGTGTTTTCGTAGGCTCGTAACTCGGCGAATTTCACAGACTGGAGTCTGAGTAATGCACCATTCGATAGCACAATTCCTAGTAACTTTGAATGAAAAAAGCAAGCAGGCAAGGTTCCTGACAGATGCGCGAGAAGTGCGGGCAAATTTACGCACTTTCGTGATGCAGTTACAGTCACCTCACCGTATCTCTCCAAAAAAACCCTGTAATCGTAAAGAGCGTGTCCGAAAACCTCTGCAAGCGAAGTTTCCCTACAATTTAAGAGCATCAACATTTTGACCATCAAAATTCATCGGCGAGCTTCCGGAGCGTAAAACGAGAAAAAATGGAATAACCCGAACATATCGGAAAACTTGCTCGTAGAGGTTATGCGACCTGCTGATTTCGAAACTCACATCTGCTTAGCAAGATAGCTTCGTATCCTGCGGATATGGCGAGTAGAGTTTGGGACGACAAGATTTTTCCACAATTCACTCGCCGTTCTACTTCCTTTGAAAAGACACCTGCGGCTAGTATTTAGCACATTATAATCTACAGAAAAAGTGCTATCGAAATATCCTTGCTGAAATGTACTCGGGACAATGCTCGCTGCCTTACACCTTCGCGAAAAGACGTCCTCAGAAAGACTCAAGAATACTGAAATCGAAATATCAAGGACAAGCTGTATATGAGAAGATTCGCCTTGATGAGCTCAGCAAGGCGCTGTTTTCGGATTAAAAATATACTTGTTCCGAAGGAAGTTATGGCGAGTAGAATTTAAAAACGCGTGATTTTTCCAAAATTCATCAACGCTTCTATCTCCTTTGAAAAGAAGTCTGAGCCTACTTTTTTAGCGCACGATAATCTACAAGAACAGTATTATCGAATAGTACTTAGAAAAGTCTTCTATGTTGGGTAGGCGTTGCTTCACATATTCGCGAAAGGACCTCCGCAGAACAAATTGAAAAAAAAAACTAAAAACGGAATATCGAAAACATTGTACCCCCACTTACAATAAATCAGAAGATTCTCTGCGCCGAGCTGAATCGAATGGTGGCTTTGGATTCAGAATTCGTCCACTCTGAAGCGAGATATGGCCACGCGACGCTGATGTATGGACATGTTCATACATGTCCATACATTCGCGTCTATTTTTCAAAAAATGTGAGCGGTATTGTATGAAGACTTGGACTGTAATTTAGTGCATTGATTGCTGTTTCAGAAGTCGCTTTGCGAACTCTACAGAAGAACTAGCTTCTAAAAAGAAGATGATAGTTTCGTTGAGGGAGAAAGAGGAGTTGGACGAAAATGTCTATTTTTCTACCTTTCTTCTTATGGATGTAGCCATAATCTGCCGCTTATCATTTATAGAGCAAAGAGAGGCAGTGCCGAGTTGTTGGCTCCAGTATTCTCAAGAAACTGCTGAAGGAGAACAATTTACAAAACAGGGTGAGATAGATCAGCATGAATTTGCATGAGGCTCCGGATGAGAGTAGGGACTTCTAGAGGTAGTTTCCTGGCATATCTGGGCACCTGAATTTTGGCGATTGGTCGAGAAGCTTGAATCAGTCAGTTGAAATCAGTCTAATCAGTTATTTGACAAGCATTAGTGCGGTATTGACCGAAAAACTTGTATATTCAACCCACCTGCTAAGTACGTACTCGAGCGTGCTGATCTGCTCTTCAGAAATGTTGTTGCATAGGCGAAGGCTGGAGTTAAGTTTTTGGGCCTGGAATAATAAATAGGAGCTACGTATGAGCAGACGCCTCACTAATTTCTTGATTAGTATTTGCGATAGAAGGCTTGAAACGCAGAGTGTCTGGGAACTGTCAGAGGAAATGGACTACAGTTTGTAGATATACTTCCAGCTGCCTTTGCCGGCCAAAACATCAGTCGTGACTGGGAATGTGCCAAATGGGTTAAGTGCAGCTGCAAAACAAGAGAAAGTAGAAGGTAAGTCTAGCTTTGTTGCATGATCGTTGTAGACCCGAGTAAAATAGTAGGTAAAACTTTGACGTTTGTCTATGTATCAGCCCTTCAGCAATTACTCACAAATATAGCCTCCTTGCCAAAATTTGCTGATCTGATTTAATATGATACGATGGCTCGATTAACAGTGAGCCAGCGTATTTCTCCACTTTTTCCTCTTTCTCCTGAAATCTTGAGTCTCTAGGCCACAAAAATTTTGAATAGCACAAAATCTTTTCGAAGAGTGTGGGTAGCGCCCAGCTTTTTTATCTGAAAATTTTTCTTTCATCCAAAGATATTTCTCGGGCCGCCACTGTGCAAATGTTAGCTCAGCAAATGTGTTGAGCTACAACCCCCACGCTTTGATGCAATGCTAAGATAATTATAATAGGCGAAGCAAACTATCATAGTATCTGCATAGCTGCTTATATCGCGGAATCCTGGATGCGTTTACGGTTTCACTTACTAGCTACAAGCATTTGATATAGATGCAAGGAGGTCACATTTTTCTGACCGCAGTAGCCTCATGATTTGGAGTGGAATATCGATCTCGTATAAGCTGAAATTGAGTTTTTGCAATAATGTATCATCTGTGATGATGGCGCAATTCTGGACACATGAAGCGAATATCCAGCTTATCTCTTTTTAGTGTCAACGAAAAGTGCTTCATCTGTAGCCTTGACCGAAGGCGGATGCTCGTTAGATGAGTTGCGGCATTACGCCCACGAGACAAGCTTGGTGGACTCGGAGAAATTCCTTGAAAGTATTCGAAGCAAGGACTTGTCTGTAACAGACGTAAGTCTATCTTCATTTCCACTTCGTTCGATGAGCTAAACTTTTCTCTTTTCGGCTACAAAGCGAACGGGGGAGGAGGCCTGGCAGTCAATACTCTTTTCGATTTCTAGAATATAAAACTCACGAATGGGAGGGGGAGGGGGGGGAGGGGGGGGGCTGGCATTTCATACTCTTCTTGGTTTCTAAAAAGTAAAACTCAATGTCCTAAATTGGTGGTTCAATGATTCTGTCGGTTATCAAATGTCTGCAATTTCTTCTCATATAGCTTAGGAAAGGGCACCTGCTTGAGCTGTGAATGTCCTAAGGAAGCGAAACAGTTATCGCTGGAATTTTTCCTTCAGATGAATGGCCCTTCAAGAAAATCTTCAGAACGGTCAAACAAATTTTTTTCTCACAAAGCTGTAAATTATGATGTTTCAGTTGTTTATAAGTATGGACAAGTCATTTACATAGTTTATGCCTCAAATAGGCAATTAAGAATTTCTTGATCCTATCTCATAATATCATGCATCTCCAGGAAACACTGCTAGTGATCGCGCTGTGCTACGCCGAGCTTTCTCATGAAAATGCAGTACGGACGCTCAGTGCAATTACTGATGCGCAGACCAGATTTGTTTTAGTGAAGGTATGGATGTTTATGATTGATGCCGGATATTGGCATAAAGCTGCAAGGCTTTGCCCTTACCGAGTAGGCCGAATGCATCCTTTGGAGTAGTCAACGGTTTCTTTTTTCAGCGATATTCCAATGATAATGCCCCCTCTCTTCATCTCCCTTATCTATTGCAAAATCATATTGCTGTTACATATTTCATCTTCCAAAAATCTATCTGATACTGCACTGTTGACTTTTCTCGTAGATCTTGTGACTGGACAAGTGTCAAACAATGTCTGGCGAGCGACTCACTTAAAATTACGTTTCATCATTTTTTGTGAGCATCCATTATAAGTTTGCACACAGCAAACTGTGGGACATAATGGGCTTACACATAATCTTATGCCAAAAATCATTTCAAAAAATTGTTTCAATCAATCACTTTTGTAAAGTGTTTAACGCTTTTGTAGCGTATATCAAAAGCTATATCTTGTCACAACTATTATTTTTTTGACTTCAAAGCAAAGAGCTGACGAGGGAATAATCATAAGTCGAAGTGGCCAATCCAGACAAGCTGCATATCATTCGATGCAGCATAGAATGCTGAATTCAAATCTGTCTCCCATATCTGCAGAGCGCCTTTGTAGGCGAAGTTATGGGCAGCTTTACTTGCGAAAAAATCGCACAAAAATTGTGAAATTAGGCACATTATTGTTCTTTTAGCTCACCTCTAAGTACGGGCCATATGAAGCAACCTAGTTGCAGGTTTTCATCCACACTGCACCGATGCTTTGTACGGCCATGTTTGCACTTTACACGCACAATTTCTTAGCAAAGTAATGGCCTTTAACGGCTTATAAATTCAACCACTGCAGATAAGGATGACAGATTTAGAGTCAATGTTTGACGCTGCGTCTAATGTTAACAATTTGATTGATTTTGTCACTTCGATTTCTGACCATTCCCTTGTGAGTAGAAACGAAATCATAATTATTCATAGAAGCATGGTTCAGCACGAATTTCTCTCAGAAGAGCATGTCATAAAATCAAAACCAAAACTAGATGAGGATTTGATAGAGGTTAGCAGATTTCAAAAGAAAACCACTTCTTGAGTGCTTTTCTTGATCAGCTTGTACCACTGCTAAATATGGCAATAATATATTTTGCGTCAAGTTCTTTGAAAAGTGCAGGATTTTTTTCTGTCTTATGTATATCGTAGTAAAAGAATTCATTGAAGATGGGCAAGATTCTGAATTTCCTAAATTTCTGTTGCAGGACTTATGTATTACTCTATATAAAGATATTTATTTGGTTAACAAACTCTACAGTAAAGATGCTGATATTTCTTAGACTTGAACCAAAACTAATGTTTGAGTAAATTTTGGAAAGGAAGGCTAGATTTAGTTGTTGGCTTTATTGTATACAAAAAAAAGTTTTATATAAATAGCTTTCACCACATTGAGTTTTTGAGCGACAGTATCTTCACTTCAGGTTCTTGTTAATACTGTTCGGATTGTTGGGAATGCAATGATAACAAGGCCTCAGCAGCTGGAAGAGCCCAATTCCTCTCTTGCTTTGCAGTTGATTGAATCGGATCTTAGCGCTGGTGACTGGTTTGAGACTGTGTCCCACTGTTCCGCTTCTCACTGGAAGTGTAGGTGAGAGCACTTCCATGTAATAGGTGCTTGATCAGTAGAATTAGTAGAATGTTCTTCAGGCTACTTCACCAACTTATCACTCTTTGCCCTAATCCCGAAGTTTATGTGGATGTAGACTCACCATTCTGTACAAAAAACTTCCTTCACTGCATGCGCTATGGTGCTCATTGTCAGAAGCTGGCTTTCATAAAAAATGGTAGTCTTTCAGATCTCAGTTGGTGTCTATGCGCTCACTGTGTCAGAGTCATAAATTCCATTTAGGTGTCCCGTTTGGACATGAAACAATTCCATTTGATCTACTCGATGTCAGTGTGAATGAAAGTCATATTTCTGCAGTGCAGGGAAATCCGCGATATGTAGGTGTATCCTTTCAGTTTGCATGGGAAGTGTTTACATAAACTGACATTTCCGGAACCCAGCAAATTCCGTTTGTTAGTAAATAACTAAGAAAAAGTGTTTGCTAAGAGAGTGATTTCTGAGTTAGGTAGTAGAAATGAGAAAGTCAAATTGCTGCCCTAATTGGGACAAACACCTGCCCTTAGTTTCGTTCGTGCAATTTTACGTCATTTTTAAAAAGTTTTACAATTTTAAATTAATATTGTAAGAAATTCTCCTCTGGGCGTGGATGCCATGCCCCCTCTTTGAATCGGGGTCATGGGGCCGCATTTGGGAAGATTCTCAAGAAAATTTTCAGAGTGCGTGGCTAACGCAACGTGCTTTTATTCAAAAGAAAATTTTTGTCCCCCCCCCCCCCCCCTCCCTCCCCAAACGGAAATCTTGAAGCCCACTGCCGTACGCTTATGGTAACTTCGTAAAGTAATCTTTGTCATAGTACGAGAATTGCATCGATTGAAGCCTAGGTGAAAAGTTTCAGCATAATAATTTTCGGAATTCTTAGATTGTGTATCTTCGAGTCATTAGTAGCTTAATATGTGAGCCTGCACACAAAGCATTTCAACGGACGGCACCCTTAGCATTAACTTCTCGATCAAATCTTTTCTAGCGTAACAAAGTGTAGAAGTGTATACTACTGACTAATTAATATCCTTTCAAATTAAAATAGGCAAAGAAACAAGGCGAAGTCGCTGAAATAAGCAGGTTCCAATCTTCTAAGTTCGTAAAATAGCGCGTATGGTGTGCAATACGCATATTAAGTTACAAATGACTCGAGCATATGTGAAAGAGCGCCTATAAGTTTCACTTGCAACCATAGAAGTTTATGAATGGGTGGTAAAAAATAGTCAGCATTGTGACAACTGAATGTGCAATCTCCTATTTGAGTTTTTGACAGCAACTATTCATGAATCCCTCTACCAGAATAGATTACCGTTTTTACAACGTTGATCAAAATTATTACAATATCGCCGCTGTCCAGAATTTGCAAAACAAATTTTTTTTTCAAAGCAGGCATGCTCACTTTTCAAAGGTAGCCTTCACGTTGGTGAAATTTTGGCGCTATACCAAAGCAAGGCCTCTAACTAAGTAGACAGCTAAAGTCCCCATACGAAAGGTGTGTTTCGAAGCGAGAAGATCGCTTCAGATGATGGAGGCTGCTCGAGGCGCCAAGCCCATCAACGTAGGTGACTCAAAAGCAGTGAGCTCGGGACTGGACTCCAGAATACCAGGAGATGTTTTCATATTAAAAAGGCGGAATTTGGACATTGCTAGAAAGCATTCAACCTATTTTCGGACTCACTGCCTTAGACCACGCATAGGTGGCGCAACGATTCCAGCGATATCCCTTCTGGAACGAGTTTCCTGCACTTTTTGCAATGGTATTGAGCAAATGCCTGGCTGGCGACCTCGCTATCCTACTGCATCGGAATCTCACCAATCTTGGTTTTGGATGGAGGGTGCCTTCGATTAAAGTTATTTGTTATGCTTTAGTTCCTGGAATTCATACGGAGTGGTCTCGATGTCAGCTCTTTGACATCAAAGCCGTCGTCAAGCCGATTGGATAGTGATTTGACAGTTTGCTCTTTGCTGGAAAAGCTGGTAAAGTTTGCAAATGTCGGGGTGGGGCCCTAATTTTTCGATGCAGAATAATCATTTTAGATCTCCATGAAAACAGGTGACTCCGGTCAAGCTTTCGAAGTTGATGCTAAGGTAACTCTATTCTTATTCTGCTAGCTGCTATGTTGCTCACTGTGTATTGTTCACGGTCCGTTCAGATTCGCAATCAAATCTCCAATATGATTGGTGTCATAGCTGACTGGGAAAATATTGAGCAGAGATTCGTTCGTGATGCAGTTGAACGGCGATTGCAAATGGATCAGCGATGCGAAGTCATGTTCGACCGTACACTTTCTCCGGTCCACACTCTTCGGGTGTCATCCTACCAGGATGAGGTGAAGCGCTACTCGGAGATGCTCCCTTCTAGTTATCATGGTTGACTTTCAGATGTGTATTAGAACGGCCTTCTTTGGAAATATCTCCACACCGATTCTGGCAAGGATTCTAAGCATGGTGCAAGCCGGCAAATCAGCTGTGGTAAGTGTAGACTCCTCCACAAACTCATTGACAACCTTCTACTTCAACTGCTTGCCTTGTTGGTACATTGATATATGTACTTGGCTCGATTTCAATAGCTTGTTGTTTGAGAGGTGGTTTTAAAATGCTCTTTGCAGGTTCTTTGCATCTATGCCATCTCCATCATTCAAAGATCTCTGGAACTGGATACCTCCAAAAACGAAACCGTATGCGCACTAAACCTTGATGTCGTTCCTGAAGCCATCTCTGGCTGCTCGGTCACGGAAGCGAGGTATGAGCTGATAGGTGTCGAGAAATTGGAAGGGGAGGGGTGGGAAGGGGAGGGGATGATGGAAGTATCTGGCTTCTTAGTGAAGGTTGTTTGTTTCCTTAAAGGCAGTGGCTCGGCAAATCGCAACCTAGTCAAATTCTTGCTTACCTGGGGTTATTCAATATGCTGATTTCGAAAATCCACTTTAGAGAGCTTAAAAACGGCGAAAATATGCGTTTTTGACTGCCCATCCCTTTGAAGTTGGACGAGTGGAGCAAGGCTGATGACGCTGAATCGTTGCTGGACCCAATGGTTATAGCATTGCGGCGGGCAGCCTCCAATGGTGGGAAGGAAATTGCCAACTGGTCCGAGCGCGTGTAAGATTGCCTTGCGCGTGTATGAGAGCAGTTTTCTCGGCAGGGAAGGCATGCTGTGCAACCGGGATTGCACTGTTTTTATACTTGGGCGATAAGGAACCTACTGCGTTAAAATCCTTCGTTGTTAAATTCTGCCGAACCACTGCCTTTAAGTAGGCACCCAAGTGGCGTTCATGCCCATTTTCAAACCATAATTTGGAGAAAGATTGGCAGCTTCACTGTCATTTTTATTGGAATAAAACAAAAAAAATTGAGCAGCTCCGTCAGCTTCTTGTTGAAGAAGATTTCTACTAATAATTGTATTTTCTACTTTCTGCCAGCCAGTTTTAAGATTTTATATGGCTTTTTGAAAGTCATCCTTCGAGGTTTGTACAGTATGTAAATACACCAAACGTTGTAAAGCCTTTTGACAGTGTTTCAAAACTCGTTACCGCTGAACACCATTTCACAAATAATGAGCGTTTAGTATTTCAAACAGTATTTTGAAACTTAGGGTATCATTCATTCTCTGACTAAGAGACGCGAGCACGCTTTGCGTACATTTGATCAACAAGTTAATTTAACGAATTTAGTGAATTTTAACGCTTTTGGTCAATTAATATCAAGAATTCGTGAAAGAACGTGTTCAAGCCAACGTGGTTCAACAAGCTCAAACATGTTCTTTTACGAACTCTAATAGTAAATCAACTAAAATGCGTTGAAACTCGTTTTTGAACTTGCAAAAAAAATGTAATGCAAAGCATGTTCGCGTCTCTTAGTCAGAGAATGAATGATACATGCATGCGCACCTTTGCATGGCAGTTATGAATAGTGCAGTATCCGCAAAAGTCACGGAGAAAGTATGAACGTTGAAGAAGAAGGAAAAATGCATCAAATGATGCTAAATTGTTTACCAGTAAAGGCTCTACGGGGTTCAAGTAGACCGGAAGTAGGATTTGGTCACAATGGGAAGTGTGTAATTAAATTTTCTTAAATCCATGAATAGAAATCCTTGAAATAGCCAAGCTGGGACGAGGTAAAACTTTGGATTAAGATGCTTCGGAGTTCGAGGAATGTCTGAATCACCATGAGAGGAATCAGCAAGAAAGTATAGCTGCTAGAATAAGAAAGTAGTCGCCGTATCGTCTGAAATGTTTGTCTACCGCTTTATGTGATTTACGCGGTCCGAAAAACGGCACTAACTCCTGGAACAACCCAGTTCTTGCTAGTTAGAACAACTAGCTTCAATCCTAGCGAGATTCAGAAGAACATACGAAGATCTGCAAATGAAAAGCTATCTGCAGAGCACCAGTTGTGCGCATCGTAGTATTAGGGTGATCACTAAAAAATGGGGCAGCTTGATTTTTGTCAAATTTTGAGATTTTTTGTTTCGATCAACAACAAGCGGGCTGCAACGTAAACGTCCCTTAAATAAGCGACCTTCGCCTATTATTCTGGCAAAACGTCAACGCTCCTCTCCCACACCCCTACGCGTGGCGCCTTGAAGAACTCGAACGGGGTTTTTTGAACATCGCTCATTCTTGCGCGCAAAGCATTGAATAGCACGTATCTTTGTTCTCAACGCTGCTAATGGCCATATCTCCTGAATTTGAAAGTTGAGGCCAGCAACCCACCGTGGGTCTGATGACTGCACCTTCACGCATTGCAGCAGTAGTACTTTGGATGGTTTCGCATGTTTCACTGCGCAGTACTGCTCGAAGTTTATAATTTGTCAAAGTGACTAACTTTGCATTTCAGCCACTATAAAAATTATTAGTTATGTAAATGACCTTATATAGGTATTTTTTGAAAGAGAATAATCTATTCTAACATCTATCAAAATTGGGAAGTTTAATCATTTTTCTTTTTTGAGAAATCTACATTTATTCTCCAGGTGCCCCATTTTTAGTGATCACCCTAATAGTTATCTCTGTTTCCCAGAGGAAACGTTTTATGTTCTTGTAAAATGGCATTGATGGTGGTGTTTCTAGCCTGGAGGATGTCTTTACCAAACGACGTTTCATATTAACCCTGGACGATTCGTCATCTTCTGACTCGGAATGGTATTTTGTAATGGACAATGAATCTCTAGGTAAGGGTATGCCCATAAAAATTTATTGGAATCACAAGTGAGCACGGCATTTCCTTCTATTGCAGGCCATATTTCAACGAATACAATGCCGCTTCGCCTCAGGCTGAATGCTCCTCCCAATTCACTTTTTCTCGCGCAGTTCGTACTTGTCTCTAGGAAAGACGATAACTCAGCGTTTTGAACGGTTTTGATGGTGATCTCTGAGATGAACTTTGTTGGGTTGAAGCATATTGCCTCTTTTATGATCTCCTTATCTAGCAAACAGTACCGTATCACCTTCATCCCATTGTTCAGTTTTTGTTAGTGAATTTATGTTAGTAGACGTAATCACGGTTGAAGTGACAACGTAGTTGTATTTACTTAAATCGCCTCAAATCTGCTTTATCTTTTTTCTCATTTGTAATTTCAAATATTATTCAGAGCGGACTTACTACCTCATTAGTCATGTGACTCAAAGATAATAGGCAGTCAAACGGCTATTTTCTGTTGGTTTGCCGAATGCACAAGCTTGCAGGATTTGAGGTGTATATTCTGAACCTATTAATTTGTCATAATTTGCATTCTTCGTATTTTTGGGAAAGCATTTTTTGAGTTCTAGAACTCGATATAGTATATAAACAGCTTGCCTTACTTACTGACCCTAGGTTATCAAATGTTTATTCTTTACGTTTTCGGTTTTCGGGAAAATATCATTACATCCATGAGTCACTTTCGAGGCGATGTGAGTTCTTGTTGAAAACTTCACCGTTTTAAGCAATTCACATCCGATATGCGAGCTCCTAGGAAACGGCTCACTTCCTTGTTGTCCACTAGTGAATAGGCGAGTGCTTACGTCTGAACTTCCATGAAGTTGGGACAGATTAGGGAATGACGTAGTGCATTTGCTTGAGGACAAGTGTAGTGTATTTGCGTGAAGCTGTTTCAAATAGGTTTGTAATAAGGTTAGAATACTTTGATTCAAATCCCTGGAACACTTACTTTGCAAATTGAGCTTCTCAAGAACTCTAAAATGCTTGGCCTGTATGATCTCTTAGTTTTTAATTTGTTGTCAGTGGTTTTATGTTGTGACAAATGCTGAGAGCATGATGAGCACAACAGCAAAAAGGAAATCAAGGACAAAGAATCTGAAACTTTGAGAAGCTGCTATGTTACCCGAGCTGCTGGAAGAGTTGCTAAAGGTCAAAACGCTGTCTTTCAAATTCCTGCGCTGAAGTCTTTCCAAGCTTAGGTTGGTCCGAAAGTTCTGTCGCACCATTTTTAAAAAAATCGCGTCTTCTTCCCTAATAATATTGCAGTCAAAAATACTCGTAAAAAGAGTGAAGTTTACACTTTCTAGTGGCATCTTGATTGCTCTCCAGTGAGCTTTCGTCGCAGATATAAAACAGGAAGAATAAAATTTTCTGAGGTTTGGCGATTTGAGGCAAGCCCTCTAAAAATGCAAAAAACTGTGAACTATGTTTTCTCGTCTCCTCTTTCTGTATAAGCAAAGGTTATGCTGATCGAGCTCCTCTTTGAAAACTCCTCTTTTAGAACTTACGATTTTTGAAAGAAATGCCAAAAATCAGTCCAAGAAAAAACCCAAGTCCCGTTTTCATGACTGGGCATTCGCTGTATTTCTGATTACTTCGGGAAGAATAAACAAGAAGAATAAACACCGCTTAACAAACCTGTTCTGCACAGAACCAATCAGAAAAGACAAAAATCATTTTGATTTTTTGGCATTTTTCGCAAAAATCTTAACTTCTCGAAAGGCTCCATCAGTACACTTTGCTTAGTTAGAAAGAGGGGGTCACAAATTTATGATATTGGCTGTCTTGGATTTTATTGCACGCTTTCTGAATTTTAAACGGACTCGCCTCAAATCTTCGATCCTCGAAAAATCTCCCTTTTCCTTTTTATGTCTACAATCAAAGCACAGTAGAAAGCGATCAAGGTGTCATTGGAAAGAGCATGATTTACGCTTTCCAAAAGAAAAATTGTGATAAGCAGGAACATTGTGACAAGAACAAATTACGATTTTTTGAACATAGTGCGACAGAACTTTCGGACCAACCTAATATTTTAAAAGAATGACCAGTTTGCCTTCAAGAAAACAAAAATTCAGCTTCCTTATACGAATTCCAAAGGCAGTGTACATGCGGATCTGAATACTTGAATTTACGACCACCCGAAAGCCTTCCACATTTTTGTCACCTTGGGATCTTCATTCTGGGGTCTTTCAGCGGCCACGATTACATTCAAAATGTGCACCCATCCTCCTCCCCCCTCCCCCCCTCGGCCGAAAAAAGATTTTTGGTCCTGGCACTGACGGCTTTCAGTACTCGACGGCGTGGCTTGACAGCACTTCCGTTGGTTCCAGTTCCATATTCCCATTCAAGACCACATTGGAGGACCGAACCAACGCAGATGCCCCTCTCCTGGGGCCTATTGGGCTAGGTACCAATTGGAGAGGCTCAGATTTTGCCTGGACGTCGCCTCTGAGCAGGTACTGATTGGGTGGTCTTAACTAAACCGATGCTTGAGCGCAGCTCATGTGATTCATTCGTAGTCAAAATATACAATGGTAAACACTAGCTCAACTGTTATCTTTGATCATAGTCCGCAATTATGGTGGAAGATAGTATCGTGACTCACCTAAGAATTGAATGCCTCTTATTATAAATGATTAGATGAGCTGCCGCATGGGCAACGGCTTGATCGAGGCTTCTCAAACCGTTTCCGTATAAGAAACCAAGGTATTCGAATGTGCCTCGATCTTGCCTCCAGAGCGTTCGGAAGGATTTGTTCACTGGAGGCTAAGCAGGAAATGGTCAGAACTTAACCCAGCCATACCAAACAAGCCATATATCATCAGACTCGCCTTGAAACGCTGTGTTCAAAATTATGTTCACCAGACCAGACCTTTGGTCTGGTAAGTGGGTGTGGGCAGTGTTTTTGATGGCGGCATCTGGATCTAATGTTTCAATATCAGGACAGCCAAGATTGCATTTAATAATTAAGTCTCTAAATCAACAACAGCGGCACAGAAATTTGTTTTGTGTAGTGCATCTAAGATCATATGCGATTATGGATGTTTAACGTTTACATCGTTGAAACCGTCAATTGGATTTTTGCGCAACCATAAGTTAGGCGCTTAATCAAGCAAAATATTCTTCCCGTATACACTTTCGCATAAAATTCTATAGCAATGCATTTGAAAGCGCACATGCGGCAACCAAAAAAAATCGCGTTCACTCGACGCCTCAAATGCTAAGATTGATTGTCTCATTCAATTGATGCGAATCAAGCAACTGTTTCTAGACTTTTCGCACTAAAATTCTGGATGGTCATGGTGCATTAACGTGTATGATGTTTGTGCGAAAGTGCATATGCTACTGTCTGATGGATTATTGCTAGTGGCAAATGAAACAGGAGCTCGAGCTTTTACTACTGCTCAAATCACTATGATTATAACCCTGGACACTGAACATATCATTCAAACTGTTCGCAGCCAATCCGCTCTCTCAAGATATCTTGCTTTATGTAAAGCTTTTTTCTCATAAACCACTACATACAATGGTATTTTTGTATGCGTGTTGCAACGCGATCAGTCTCGGTCCTAAGAATGCATTAGGGTGTTACATCTACTTCGAAAAAAGAAATAACATTCCAAAGATGTTGTTGCACTGCTTCAATAACATAAAGATTTCTGCGTACTTACTTTGTTTCGCTACATGTTAGGAACACATTTAGTGAAGTCAAATTTAGTCCAGAAACACTCCATTGTCTTTGCGTTAATTATATCTTTTCGAATGTGTTATTGTGTTATTGTTAAACACAAAGAAATATGGCAGAATTTAAAAAAATAACCTACAAATTTGCATGCTTTCTCATCTTTGGGAATTGCTAAATACATACTATTTCTTTTTGATTTAATATTCGCAAACGATTGGAAGATTTGAATGTTAATGTATAGCAGGTCAAGCTCTTGATCAAGAAGTCAAAGAGAAGACTTTGTATAAATTTCGTTCTAACAGAAGCAGACTTTATTGACAAAGGGAACGAACAGGAGAGATATGTAACGTTGCTAAAAAGGAGAAAGAAAAATTCTCTCATAGATCAGATGTACCTTACCTTCGAAGTCTAATGACGTTTCACAATGATGTAAGTCGACGCTGCGGTATCAGCGTCGACCAACGATTACCCTAGAAGTCAATGAACCAATATGAAAACAGTTCTCTTTCACCATCTCAGTCATCAGTCATGAATGAGACGGTTCATAAGGAATTATTCGAAAAACCTCATCTCTGGCATAAAGGGCACTCTCAAAGGGCAACCATCCGAACTGTTCTGTAGTCAACTTTCGGTGAACTGTGATATTCTGGAGACTGCCATTGACTGACTGCAGGGCACCCGCCCAGATTGTTTACCGCTAACAGCAGGAAAGGGGGGGGGGGATAGTGAACATCATTCGTACGCATGAGTCATCCTGCGCTTTATTATGTAGAGATCATCTGCCAAGCGACTATCTAGACGGAATTATGGGTGTTTGAATGTGCGATTAGTAAGTGTTCTGTGACGCATGCTCCACAAAACCCGTTACAAAAGCACTTGCTTACGTTTTGATCAATGTGTTTCTTCCTTGTAATAAGAGCACCCATATCCGCTGTAAATCCGCGCCATCAGGTTGTCTTTCAATGAAATATATTCGTTGGAACTCGAATATCTCATATTTAACGCTCATAGCCCCGCCCAGATAGTTGCGGCAGATAATAAACATACATATGAAATTAGCGTTACAAGGCGAGCCCGATGATATAGGCTTGTTTAACATGGCTGTTTAACATGTTTAACTTCTGACCATTTCCTACTTAGATTGACCATGCTCAAATCAACATCCTTTTCCTTCACGCAGCATTTGAATAATGGCAAAAAGCACGACTGCATTTAAGGGACAAATGTAGAGTGAAGCATAATTATGCGCGAATTCTAAGACTTTCCATCGGCATAAGTTATTGGCATTATGTCACAGCTGTGTCGTCAGAACGCGTTTGATCCTCGAGAAGGGGTTTCGTTTGATCTTCAACTTTGCGACTTTGGGGAAGACGGAGGTCGATGAAGCGGTTTTTGTAGATCATAAATCTATTAGGTCGTTCCGTAAGTAATGTCGCTTTTTTCAAACGTACGCCACATCTCGTGAGACAAAGATATGTAAGAGATTCTGGTAGCATTTGATGCAGCATTTCATTCTCTTTCTAATAGTTATATAACTACCGCTCAAAATTAAGTAACCTCTGGAAAAATTATCAGAATCTGCGACCCATGCTTTTTGAAAAGGTCAAGTTTCACAATTTTTCTAAATTTTTATAACAATCCCTGGAAGGAGTCCAAGTGGATAGAGCAAACCCTACAGGAAACAGCACAACTCTTTTCTACTTTCCAGAGCCTGTCACAATTTTTGTACAGATTTTTTGATGGAACCACCGAATTTTAGCAGACTCGTCTCAGACACAAATGCATCAAACACCAAGCAATCTTCGGATTTTGAAACTTACAAAGATGGATTATGGTTTTACATTAATTTTACAAAGCAAATGAGCATTTGTCGCTTCAGATTAGCCACTTTCGAAAACTCCGTGTACAGCGTGGGGCGCCTTGAA